ATAATGTTCAAAGTGTAGTAAAACCCAAATCACTCACTCATTACACAGATCTACTGTCCCGAGTGTCAAAGGAGCCCAGTGGTCCCTGTCCCAAGTAGCCAAGGTACCCAGTAGTCACTGTCCCAAGTAGCCAAGGTGCCCAGTAGTCCTTGTCCCAAATGTTCAAGGTGCCCAGGAGTCCCTGTCCCAAGTGTCCAAGGTGCCCAGTAGTCCTTGTCCCAAATGTTCAAGGTGCCCGGGAGTCCCTGTCCCAAGTGTCCAAGGTGCCCAGTAGTCCTTGTCCCAAATGTTCAAGGTGCCCAGGAGTCCCTGTCCCAAGAGTCCAAGGTGCCAAGCAGTCTCTGTCCCAAGTGTCCAAGGTGCCAAGAGGTTTTGTTAGCATGTGTGTTTGTTGTTTTACGCCACACTCAACATTCCAGCTATATGATAGCGGTCTGTAAATAATCAAGTTGGGGCCTGACAATCCAGTGATTGATAACATGAGCATCGATCCATGCAATTGGGATACGATGACATTCATCAACCAAGTCAGTGAGTCTGACCACAGGATTCAGATAGTCGCCTCGTATGACAAGTATGGGTTCCTGGAGACCTATTCTAACCCAGATCTTCAGGGGTCATGCCAGGTGTCCATGGACAGTGACTCAGGGGCACCTTGGCTATTTGGGACAGTGACTCAGGGGCACCTTGGCTACTTGGGACAGTGACTCAGGGGCACCTTGGCTACTTGGGACAGTGACTCAGGGGCACCTTGGCTACTTGGGACAGTGACTCAGGAGCACCTTTGCTACATGGGACAGTGACTCAGGAGCACCTTGGCTACTTGGGACAGACATAAACGCCAGCGACTACAGAACATGCTGTTAGATTGTGAAAAGAGTACAGCTATTAAATGTTGATGTCTATATGTGGGTCTGTTCCTCTTCTGCACATCCTCTTGTCCGGGGGCTGAGCTACACAGAAACATCACTCATCAGTCACGAGGAAGTTTTTATTGAAAAGTAAAAGAAGAAAGATAAAATCACAGGGAATACTTGAGGTGCAGCTATAATATAAAAATGTATGTAAATAAAATACAGATATCTGGTGAAGTTTACAAAAACGAGGTAGGTCAAAGGAGTACAGATCTAGACATCTACTTACTCACAGACGTTATCATCACTTGATGAATACAAGACACAAAATAACTAACTGGCATAACAAATAGGTAGATCTCTGGGTGAAGGGTTTGTACGCCATAAATATACAAAAGTAAGGGCCCTCGTTATTTAAGCAATCTTACAACCACAAATGTCTTCCACGGAGAGTCAACTACAATAGTCGCAGCGTGATCGAGGAACAATGTCATGGCAAGTACAGCCATCCTGGTTTCAGATTCACATCTTCAGACGAGAGAGGTAACAGTAGCCATATATAGCTGGGGGCAACAACATCCTGGTCGCGCTGGTGACCTGGGGCAGTAGCCTATATTTCCTTTAGCACGAGTTTTGCTTTATTCTGAAATCAACTGTTTCCCTGAAACTGTTTACAAGAAAATATAGAAATTCATGTGTTAATGATTGTTGCTGTGAAAACAAATGTGAAAATGGCCACAGTCTATCACATGTATGTCCTGTACAGGTGCACTCGGTGTTGCTCTCACTATGTGCAGAACACGGTTCAAGCTGACATTGGTCGACTCATCAGAAGCATTGGTCGACTCATCAGAAGCATTGGTCAACTCATCAGAAGCATTGGTCGACTCATCAGAAGCATTGGTCAACTCATCAGAAGCATTGGTCGACTCATCAGAAGCATTGGTCAACTCATCAGAAGCATTGGTCAACTCATCAGAAGCATTGGTCGACTCATCAGAAGCATTGGTTGACTCATCAGAAGCATTGGTCAACTCATCAGAAGCATTGGTCAACTCATCAGAAGCATGCCTCAAAGGAGTTGTGCATATATTGCCACCAGAGCTGGTTTTATCTAATATAAGGGTCGTTGCTTGCAAAATGCAAATTTCAAATTTGACCCCCCGACCAAGTGCACCATAATCTCACAACACCAACCATGAGAACTGATTGCCTACTTCCCAGCAGTTATGATCATATCATTTCCATTTACCATTACCATATAGATCAGAAGATATGTCTTGATGATTCCCGCTGCTCCATAATATTTGGGCATAGTATATATTCTAAACTTATTACACCCAGTTAAATAACAAATTTGTTTGTAAACACACAAATACAACTCGGCCCACACAGATATTACAACACAAAACACATTGAAATTGCACTGCAAGTTGTGTCTGAGGTACGTATGTATAAACTCTAAAAAATAAACCAGGAAAATATCAAATGTATAAAAAAGTTGAAATCCTGTATTGAGCAGAACTATGTGTATTATGGCACGGTAGCCCAGGTGGGCCGAGGCGCTAACCTGAGACGTCTATCACAGATATATCAACTGGCATCACTTCAAACATGGTTCTCAAGTATATACTGGTCCCTTAACTTCAAAACAAAGGGGTCATCTATGATAACTAGGGAAACATCAGGTCTCTGTTTCAAAACTCTGAATACCGGGTATGTCATAACAATAAACACAAAAGTGCAACATCAGATCTGCATTGATATGTTTTTTAGAAAATCACAACTCAAAATACCATCTACCTCACTAAATATGTAGCATCTGCCATCCTACCCTGTGTAAGGTGCTATCAAGAAACAGTCATTGTCAAACATTTGTTACACACAAAATTATGGGGTGAAAATCATTGTCAAACATTTGTTACACACAACACTATTGGGGGAAAATCATTGTCAAACATTTGTAACACAAAACTATGGGGTGAAAATCATTGTCAAACATTTGTAACACACAAAGCTATTGAGGCAAAATCATTGTCAAACATTTGTTGCACACAAAACTATTGGGGCAAAATCATTGTCAAACTTTGTTACACACAAAGCTATGGGGGCAAAATCATTGTCAAACATTTGTTACACACAAAACTATTGGGGCAAAACCATTTTCAAACATTTGTTACACACAAAGCTATTGAGGCAAAACCATTGTCAAACATTTGTTACACACAAAGTTATTGAGGCAAAATCATTGTCAAACATTTGTTGCACACAAAACTATTGGGGCAAAATCATTGTCAAACATTTGTTACACATAAAACTATTGGGGCAAAATCATTGTCAAACATTTGTTACACACAAAACTATGGGGGGGGGGGAATCATTGTCAAACATTTGTTACACACAAAACTATGGGGTGAAAATCATTGTCAAACATTTGTTACACACAAAGCCATCAAGAAAGTCTTTGTCATCCCTTAGACAAACAATAAAGAAATGACAACATATCAAAATCATACAACCTAAACTGACTGTGTGGACAACTACGTCTCCAAGATCTAATGCTCCTGATGTCTCCAAGATCTAATGCTCCGGATGTCTCCAAGATGTATTGGAAAAGGTCCAGCCTAATAACTAGCAAAAATAAGTAAAAGGCTACTCCAAATTTGACTAAATTTACAAAACCAACAGCAAAGCTGTAAGGGCAGTTCTATTCTTATCATGATATCATGGTTATGAGTATTGGACACTCAACTCTGTTTTGGCATACATATATGACTTCATTCAAGACACAGGGAAATTACATGATTTTGATGAATTTGTACAAAAATACAGTTTGAAGACAGACTTTTTGACCTATCAAGGACTAAAACTAGCAATAGTCTGGTATTTATAGAATAACAATATAATACATTGTGCTAAAGTTTGCAAAAGGCCTATACTGCCATATCATGTATCAAACAAACTATAAAAAGGGAAGCAAGGTATTTTATGAAGCCCTATTAAACCCTAAATATATTAAACAAAAGTGTTTCAGTAAAACAATATACAGATACAGAGTGGACAAACTTTAACCTTATGGCAAAAAGATGTACACAAAGTTCAGAATTAAGATGGTTTAAATTTAAAGTTATACATAATATTTTAAGTACTAACAGTTATTCATTTAAAATTGGGTATGTTGAATAGCCAGTTTGTTCATGATGTAATGAACCATCTGAAACAATTACTCATGTATTATGTAATTGTATTGTCACTATGCTGCTGATATATGGATGAAACTTTCAGATTGGCTTGGAAACTATACAGAAGGCAGAGTTAATTTTAGTAATGAACACATACTGTTTGGATTTAAATAGAAGAATAACAATTCACTCAATGCAGTAATTATGGTAACAAAATCTGTGCTGTACACATTAAAAAGAAAAAAAGTAAAACCAATCTTTTTACTAATTCAAAAGGAAAAACTTTGATATTATGAAATTACAAAATGTATTGCATATTCAAATTGTAATTATGCAAGTTTCCATGCCTTCTGGTCTTCTCTACATGTATTATTTAGAAACTCTGTATAACTATGATATATGATCTGCCCATGCTGCAAACGTGCACATATCACAATAAATCCATGCACACTCTATGTATGATATTGAAATGTAAAATATGATGAAAAATGGAAAAATAAAAAAAAATAAAAAAAATAATAATAAATAAACAAACAAGAAAACCTCTGTTTTAGCATATATATATCAGAGTGGCTATACATCTATAACTACTCTTGTTTAAATACATTAGACGACAACTACCGTCACATGCTGGTATTTAAAAAATTCTTAAAGGCTAAAAAAAACCATAGTCTTGGTTCTCAGGCACTGCCCGCATCATCATAAAGTTCGCCGCACGTTTCATTTTTATTTCCATTTTTTAAAAAACCCACAAAAAATCCTTAAATATTCCAAGTCCAACGGTAGTCAAATACTGTATTCCAGTATTTTACTCATCAAGGAATACATTTATGTAGGGAGGCCCTTTCCCGGGTGGATTGTACACAATTGTTTATTGATTACACAACTGTTTATTGGTTACAAACTAGTTTGAACAACAACAACAACAACAAAAAAGACACCACCCGCCCGCACTATATTTAAAAAAAAACATTGTCTGAGAACCAATTCTTTATTTTTTTAAGCCTAAAATATTGATTGGGTTGTTGATTGTTCCTGAGCTGCAGTGACACGGTGTAAACCAAGCACTGTTAGTGGAGCCTTTTACTGTAGAGAACACGCCTTGCTCTCAACGTTCCTACTTTCTTTTCCTGATGACTTCTGTGATGGTTTGTCCTTGGTTTTGCTTGGGGCTGCTTGTTTAGATGCTGTTTCCTGTTTGGGGGCTTGTTTTGTTGTTGAGGGCAAGGGCTGTTGTGTTGTTGAGGGTGGGGGCTCTTGTGTTGTTGAGGGTGGAGGCTCTTGTTTTGTCGAGGTTGGAGGCTCTTGTTTTGTCGAGGTTGGAGGCTCTTGTTTTTTTGCAGGTGGGAGGTTTGCCTTTGATTGTACAGAGGAAAGCTTCTGACTGGCAGGGTTACCTGCCCCTGGTGTAGGGGCATCAGACTGTGTTCTGTCTTCAGGTGATTGACTGGTTTGTCCTGACTTGTCCTCATCCTCACGTCCTGCTTTTGGGTCCTGTTGTTTAGCCTCCTTGGCATTTTGCTTTCCTTGAAGCTTGGTATTTTCTAAAAGTAAATTGGCATAAACATAGACCTGCCATGTTTTGGGGAGAATAGGAAGGGGGATGATAGATATTCAAACCAATTACCATGATTACTAATTTGTTCTCTTGTTTAAAAATAACTTATACTTCCATTGTTTTATGATTTTAGAGAGAAATAATAAATTGTGATTAACATTGAAATGAAGCTACCCTCAGGTGTTGGTGTAGGTTCCAGCTGTTTTATGTTGGATTTCTCCACTTTCTTCTTCTGGTAAACTTCAGATTTCTCAATCAGCTCCTTCAGGAGAATGGCATCCTCAAATATGACCTTCCTCTGGTTGACCCGAGATCCAGTATCCTGACTCAGTTTTGTGATCCGAGGCCCAGACTGATGCTTCTTGCAAAGCCAGAACACCTTACCGCTCGGCAGATGACACCTGTAACAAGGGAGATAATACCTGTAAATAGGGCAATGTCACTTCAAGCTCCTAACAGCGATAGCCCGTTCAAAGAGCTCTCTGTACTATCGCTGCCACCAGTCAAAACTTCCAACTGTGATATGTGGTCACAACCATGCTTGGAGGTGAATTCACAACCGACGCACCGTAATGCTTACAAACAAGCGATGACTGCCGTAATGCTAAGTACTCTTACCCTAACTAAATTATTTTCTTTGTTTGTCAATTTGAATTTCTATTTCATTTCAACTTTCGTGTAATTGGTATAGTAAGAGTGTAAAGGGGAATTTGGGTGTTTTTCTGTTCGTCTGCAATCTCGAACCAATCTGATCAAACAAACAACAAGAGTGCTCTGAGAGCACAACATCCCCCGCATGAATTTTTTTAATGAGTCAAATGAGTAAAACAGGGGCAGTAACTCTGTCAAAATTTGTCGAAATGAAACGGGACTGCGATATGCGTATCATAAACTTGTCGACATCTTGTGTGTAGAGTGTCAGGGATATTCTCTGGAAACTGGAGGAGGAGTAGATTTCACATGCTTAGTACCCTCTCTCACAATTAGGCAAATGAAGCTCCCTAAAACAGGGGCAGTAACTCTGTCAAAATTAGTCGGAATGAAACGGGACTGCGATATGCGTATCATCAACATGTCGACATCTTGTGTGTAGAGTGTCAGGGATATTCTCTAGAAAAAACTGTAGGAGGAGTTGATTTCACAAGCTTAGTACCCTCTGTGGGACAGACAGATGGACGGACAGACAGACTGATACAAGGTAGGATAACACGTGGAGGTACACAACTCACCTGCTGATACAAGGCAGGATAACACGTGGAGGTACACAACTCACCTGCTGATACAAGGCAGGATAACACGTGGAGGTACACAACTCACCTGCTGATACAAGGCAGGATAACACGTGGAGGTACACAACTCACCTGCTGATACAAGGCAGGATAACACGTGGAGGTACACAACTCACCTGCTGATACAAGGCAGGATAACACGTGGAGATACACAACTCACCTGCTGATACAAGGCAGGATAACACGTGGAGGTACACAACTCACCTGCTGATACAAGGTACGATAACACGTGGAGGTACACAACTCACCTGCTGATACAAGGTACGATAACACGTGGAGGTACACAACTCACCTGCTGATACAAGGCAGGATAACACGTGGAGGTACACAACTCACCTGCTGATACAAGGCAGGATAACACGTGGAGGTACACAACTCACCTGCTGATACAAGGCAGGATAACACGTGGAGGTACACAACTCACCTGCTGATACAAGGCAGGATAACACGTGGAGGTACACAACTCACCTGCTGATACAAGGCAGGATAACACGTGGAGATACACAACTCACCTGCTGATACAAGGCAGGATAACACGTGGAGGTACACAACTCACCTGCTGATACAAGGTACGATAACACGTGGAGGTACACAACTCACCTGCTGATACAAGGCAGGATAACACGTGGAGATACACAACTCACCTGCTGATACAAGGCAGGATAACACGTGGAGGTACACAACTCACCTGCTGATACAAGGTACGATAACACGTGGAGGTACACAACTCACCTGCTGATACAAGGTACGATAACACGTGGAGGTACACAACTCACCTGCTGATACAAGGTACGATAACACGTGGAAGTACACAACTCACCTGCTGATACAAGGTACGATAACACGTGGAAGTACACAACTCACCTGCTGATACAAGACCGGATAACACGTGGAGATACACAACTCACCTGCACAACTGGCTGATGAATGTTTGCCACACTTCCTTCTGCCGAAGTTTCATGCTGTCATTGATGAAGACCCGCATGTCTTCATACGCCTCCAAGAAATCAGAACCTTGGGCCTCCTAAAATGACAACAGCAACTTGTTCACTGTAAACACAACGCACATCACACCAATATCAAGTAGGAATGGAGGTATATTGTTACGCCCTACGTTGTCTCCACAAGAAGATGACCCCTGTGGCGGGGGAGGTGTATTGTTACACCCAACGTAGTCCACAAGTAGTTGACCCCTGTGACGATGGAGGTGTATTGTTACACCCTACATAGTCTACACAAGTAGATGGCACCTGTGGCGGGGTGGTGTACTGTTATGCCCTACGTAATCTACACAAGAAGATGACCCCTGTGACAGGGGAAGTGTATTGTTACGCCCTACGTTGTCCACAAGTAGTTGACCCCTGTGACAGGGGAAGTGTATTGTTATTAAGTCTACACAAGTGGCGGGGAAGGTGTATTGTTATGGCCTATGTTGTCTAAAGGAGAATGTGTCACCTGCTCCACCCAGTCCAGGAACTGCTTGCCGGTGTCTCCACTCAGACAGTTGAGCTGCATGGAACTCTGCCGCAGGATGGCGTAGATGCGAGCCAGGTAGGGAGACACCTTCTTTATCTGACTGACAAACTCCTCCGTCTTTGTTAAAGGAAATGACTGGTCACACAGATGCCAACCCTGTAAAATCATATGAAAATGTCAGGAGAGCAGTTTTTTTGGAACAGTTTCAGTGAGAACAGTTTGCAGGGAACAGTTTCAGTAAGAGCAGTTTGTAGGGAACAGTTTTAGTGAGAACAGTTTGCAGGGAACAGTTTGCAGGGAACAGTTTCAGTAAGAGCAGTTTGAAGGGAACAGTTTTAGTGAGAACAGATCGCAGGGAACAGTTTGTAGGGAACAGTTTCAGTAAGAGCAGTTTGAAGGGAACAGTTTTAGTGAGAACAGATCGCAGGGAACAGTTTGTAGGGAACAGTTTCAGTAAGAGCAGTTTGTAGGGAACAGTTTTAGTGAGAACAGGTCGCAGGGAACAGTTTGCAGGGAACCGTTTCAGTAAGAGCAGTTTGTAGGGAACAGTTTTAGTGAGAACAGGTCGCAGGGAACAGTTTGCAGGGAACCGTTTCAGTAAGAGCAGTTTGTAGGGAACAGTTTTAGTGAGAACAGGTCGCAGGGAACAGTTTGCAGGGAACCGTTTCAGTAAGAGCAGTTTGGAGGAAACAGTTTCAGTAAGAGCAGTTTGGAGGGAATATTTTCAGTGAGAACAGTTGTCAGGTACTTTATGGGTGAATCTTCTCCTGGGTAACTCACCTCTTCATACTCGCATAGCAGCAGAAGACAGAAGCTGTCCGACTCCCAGTTCTGCAGGTCTGGGTTGACCATCTGCATGAATACAAAGTGTTTCCTTCACTGACACACTTACACACTGTGTGGCACTTAACAGTTGAACTCTTGTTTCACTGACACACTGTGTAGCACTTAACAGTTGAACTCGTTTCACTGACACACTTACACACTGTATAGCACTTAACAGTTGAACTCTTGTTTCACTGACACACTTACACACTGTATAGCACTTAACAGTTGAACTCTTGTTTCACAGACACACTTACACACTGTGTGGCACTTAACAGTTGAACTCTTGTTTCACAGACACACTTACACACTGTGTAGCACTTAACAGTTGAACTCTTGTTTCACAGACACACTTACACACTGTGTAGCACTTAACAGTTGAACTCTTGTTTCACAGACACACTTACACACTATGTAGCACTTAACAGTTGAACTCTTGTTTCACTGACACACTCACACACTGTGTGGCACTTAACAGTTGAACTCTTGTTTCACTGACACACTTACACACTATGTAGCACTTAACAGTTGAACTCTTGTTTCACTGACACACTCACACACTGTGTAGCATTTAACAGTTGAACTCTTGTTTCACTGACACACTTACACACTATGTAGCACTTAACAGTTGAACTCTTGTTTCACTGACACACTTACACACTGTGTAGCACTTAACAGTTGAACTCTTGTTTCACTGACACACTTACACACTGTGTGGCACTTAACAGTTGAACTCTTGTTTCACTGACACACTTACACACTGTGTAGCACTTAACAGTTGAACTCTTGTTTCACTGACACACTCACACACTGTGTGGCACTTAACAGTTGAACTCTTGTTTCACAGACACACTTACACACTATGTAGCACTTAACAGTTGAACTCTTGTTTCACTGACACACTCACACACTGTGTGGCACTTAACAGTTGAACTCTTGTTTCACTGACACACTTACACACTGTGTAGCACTTAACAGTTGAACTCTTGTTTCACTGACACACTTACACACTGTGTAGCACTTAACAGTTGAACTCTTGTTTCACAGACACACTTACACACTGTGTAGCACTTAACAGTTGAACTCTTGTTTCACTGACACACTTACACACTATGTAGCACTTAACAGTTGAACTCTTCCTTCACTGACACACTTACACACTGTGTAGCACTTAACAGTTGAACTCTTGTTTCACTGACACACTTACACACTATGTAGCACTTAACAGTTGAACTCTTGTTTCACTGACACACTTACACACTATGTAGCACTTAACAGTTGAACTCTTGTTTCACTGACACACTTACACACTGTGTAGCACTTAACAGTTGAACTCTTCCTTCACTGACACACTTACACATTATGTAGCACTTAACAGTTGAACTCTTGTTTCACTGACACACTTACACACTGTGTAGCACTTAACAGTTTAAGCCTTCCTTCACTCACATTCACACACTGTGTGACACTTAACAGTTTAAGTCTTCCTTCACTGACACACTTACACACTGTGTAGCACTTAACAGTTTAAGCCTTCCTTCACTCACATTCACACACTGTGTAGCACTTAACAGTTGAACTCTTCCTTCACTGACACACTTACACACTGTGTAGCACTTAACAGTTTAAGCCTTCCTTCACTCACATTCACACACTGTGTGACACTTAACAGTTTAACTCTTCCTTCACTGACACACTTACACACTGTGTAGCACTTAACAGTTTAAGTCTTCCTTCACTCACATTCACACACTGTGTGACACTTAACAGTTGAACTCTTCCTTCACTGACACACTTACACACTGTGTAGCACTTAACAGTTTAAGCCTTCCTTCACTCACATTCACACACTGTGTGACACTTAACAGTTGAACTCTTCCTTCACTGACACACTGTGTAGCACTTAACAGTTTAAGCCTTCCTTCACTCACATTCACACACTGTGTTGCACTTAACAGTTTAAGTCTTCCTTCACTGACACACTTACACAGTGTGTAGCACTTAACAGTTTAAGCCTTCCTTCACTCACATTCACACGCTGTGTAGCACTTAACAGTTTAAGCCTTCCTTCACTGACACATTCACACACTGTGTGACACTTAACAGTTTAACTCTTCCTTCACTGACACACTGTGTAGCACTTAACAGTTTAAGCCTTCCTTCACTCACATTCACACGCTGTGTAGCACTTAACAGTTTAAGTCTTCCTTCACTGACACACTTACACACTGTGTAGCACTTAACAGTTTAAGCCTTCCTTCACTCACATTCACACACTGTGTGACACTTAACAGTTTAAGTCTTCCTTCACTGACACACTTACACACTGTGTTGCACTTAACAGTTTAAGTCTTCCTTCACTGACACACTTACACACTGTGTAGCACTTAACAGTTTAAGCCTTCCTTCACTCACATTCACACACTGTGTAGCACTTAACAGTTTAAGTCTTCCTTCACTGACACACTTACACACTGTGTAGCACTTAACAGTTTAAGCCTCCCTTCACTCACATTCACACGCTGTGTAGCACTTAACAGTTTAAGCCTTCCTTCACTGACACATTCACACACTGTGTAGCACTTAACAGTTTAAGCCTTCCTTCACTGACTCACTTACACACTGTGTAGCACTTAGCAGTTTAAGCCTTCCTTCACTCACATTCACACACTGTGTAGCACTTAACAGTTTAAGTCTACCTTCACTGACACACTCATGGATAGTGCAGCACTTGGCAGTTGTCAACAGGGAGTTTAAGTCTGGCTGTAATTTTCTTTGAAATGCCTAACTGTTAAAGTTTCATATAACCCTGAATGTAAGATATGACAGATCCTTCCTACCTCGATGCGTTCACGGATCCTTGATGCTGTCCTTGGTCGAGAAGATTTTGGACGAGAAGACTGACTAGACGTTGACTCCGAGCTCTCTGTCTGTTCTGAAATGAAGTACATTTTATTATTGAATCAAAGCACTTACATTTGTAAGGGTGTTGTGCTCTTGGCTAAGCCAGCATCCATTGATGCAAGGAGTTACCACAACAGTAACGTAGGAAACATTCTCAGATCATGAGACATTACTCACTTGATAAAGGCTTCCTGTCAAAGTCGATGACAGCAAGTCTGGGCATCGGGGTAGTGTCCATGTTGCTGACGAAGGTGATGATGTGACGCATGAAACGACGCTGAGTCAGTTCATACTCTTCCTATGAATGTGAAGCAAAACTCAAGTTAAAAGAAAACATGAACAGAGAAGAACAACGAAGGAAGAAGCAGGAAGGGGACGTGGGGTGAGAAAGGGGTGTGGGTGAGGAAGGGTGTGGTTGAGGAAGGGGACGTGGGGTGAGAAAGGGGTGTGGGTGAGGAAGGGGACGTGGGGTGAGAAAGGGAATAGGGGATGAGGAAGGGGTGTGGGTGAGGAAGGGGTGTGGGTGAGGAAGGGGATGTGGGGTGAGGAAAGCGTGTGGGTGAGGAAGGGGACGTGAGGTGAGAAAGGGGACGTGAGGTGAGAAAGGGGATAGGGGATGAGGAAGGGGTGTGGGTGAGAAAGGGGTGTGGGTGAGGAAGGGGATGTGGGGTGAGAAAGGGGATGTGGGGTGAGAAAGGGGACGTGGGTGAGGAAGGGGACTTGGGGTGAGAAAGGGGTGTGGGTGAGGAAGGGGATGTGGGGTGAGAAAGGGGATGTGGGGTGAGAAAGGGGACGTGGGTGAGGAAGGGGACTTGGGGTGAGGAAGGGGTGTGGGTGAGGAAGGGGATGTGGGGTGAGGAAAGGGTGTGGGTGAGGAAGGGGACGTGGGGTGAGAAAGGGGATGTGGGTGAGGAAGGGGTGTGGGTGAGGAAGGGAACGTGGGGTGAGAAAGGGGATGGGGGTGAGGAAGGGGTGTGGGTGAGGAGGGGGTGTGGGTGAGGAAGGGGACATGGGGTGAAGAAGGGGACGTGAGGTGAGAAAGGGGATAGGGGATGAGGAAGGGGTGTGGGTGAGAAAGGGGTGTGGGTGAGGAAGGGGATGTGGGGTGAGAAAGGGGATGTGGGGTGAGAAAGGGGACGTGGGTGAGGAAGGGGACTTGGGGTGAGAAAGGGGTGTGGGTGAGGAAGGGGATGTGGGGTGAGAAAGGGGATGTGGGGTGAGAAAGGGGACGTGGGTGAGGAAGGGGACTTGGGGTGAGGAAGGGGTGTGGGTGGGGAAGGGGATGTGGGGTGAGGAAAGGGTGTTGGTGAGGAAGGCGACTTGGGGTGAGAAAGGGGATGTGGGTGAGGAAGGGGTGTGGGTGAGGAAGGGAACGTGGGGTGAGAAAGGGGATGGGGGTGAGGAAGGGGTGTGGGTGAGGAGGGGGTGTGGGTGAGGAAGGGGACATGGGGTGAAGAAGGGGACGTGAGGTGAGAAAGGGGATAGGGGATGAGGAAGGGGTGTGGGTGAGAAAGGGGTGTGGGTTAGGAAGGGGATGTGTGGTGAGAAAGGGGATGGGGGTGAGAAAGGGGATGTGGGTGAGGAAGGGGACGTGGGGTGAGGAAGGGGTGTGGGTGAGGAAGGGGATGTGGGGTGAGAAAGGGGATGTGGGGTGAGAAAGGGGATGTGGGGTGAGGAAGGGGACGTAGGGTGAGAAAGGGGTGTGGGTGAGGAAGGGGATGTGGGTTGAGAAAGGGTGAGAAAGGGGATGTGGGGTGAGAAAGGGGTGTGGGTGAGGAAGGGGACGTGGGTGAGGAAGGGGACGTAGGTTGAGAAAGGTGACGTGGGGTGAGAAAGGGGTGTGGGTGAGAAAGGGGACGTGGGGTGAGAAAGGGGACGTGGAGTGAGAAAGGGGACGTGGGTGAGGAAGGGGATGTGGAGTGAGAAAGGGGATGTGGGGTGAGAAAGGGGTGTGGGTGAGGAAGGGGATGTTGAGTGAGAAAGGGGATGTGGGGTGAGAAAGGGGTGTGGGTGAGGAAGGGAACATGGGGTGAGAAAGGGTTGTGGGTGAGGAAGGGGACGTGGGGTGAGAAAGGGGATGTGGGGTGAGAAAGGGGTGTGGGTGAGGAAGGGGATGTGGGGTGAGGAAGGGGGATGTGGGGTGAGGAAGGGGGATGTGGAGTGAGAAAGGGGATGTGGGGTGAGGAAGGGGACGTGGAGTGAGAAAGGGGACGTGGAGTGAGAAAGGGGATGTGGGGTGAGAAAGGGGACATGGGGTGAGAAAGGGTTGTGGGTGAGGAAGGGGACCTGGGGTGAGAAAGGGGATGTGGGGTGAGAAAGGGGTGTGGGTGAGGAAGGGGATGTGGGGTGAGGAAGGGGGATGTGGGGTGAGGAAGGGGGATGTGGAGTGAGAAAGGGGTGTGGGTGAGGAAGGGGACGTGGGTTGAGAAAGGGGACGTGGGGTGAGAAAGGGGATGTGGAGTGAGAAAGGGGACATGGGGTGAGGAAGGGAAAGTTGGGTGAGAGAGGGGACGTTGGTGAGGAAGGGGATGTGGGATGAGAAAGAGGACGTGGGGTGAGAAAGGGGTGTGGGTGAGGAAGGGACGTGGGGTGAGAAAGGGGACGTGGAGTGAGAAAGGGGACGTGGGTGAGGAAGGGGATGTGGGGTGAGAAAGGGGACGTGGAGTGAGAAAGAGGATGTGGGGTGAGGAAGTGGATGTGGGGTGAGAAAGGGGACATCGAGTGAGAAAGGGGATGTGGGGTGAGGAAGGGGATGTGGGGTGAGAAAGGGGTGTGGGTGAGGAAGGGGACGTGGGTGAGGAAGGGGACGTAGGTTGAGAAAGGTGACGTGGGGTGAGAAAGGGGTGTGGGTGAGAAAGGGGACGTGGGGTGAGAAAGGGGACGTGGAGTGAGAAAGGGGACGTGGGTGAGGAAGGGGATGTGGAGTGAGAAAGGGGATGTGGGGTGAGAAAGGGGTGTGGGTGAGGAAGGGGACATGGGGTGAGAAAGGGTTGTGGGTGAGGAAGGGGACGTGGGGTGAGAAAGGGGATGTGGGGTGAGAAAGGGGTGTGGGTGAGGAAGGGGATGTGGGGTGAGGAAGGGGGATGTGGGGTGAGGAAGGGGGATGTGGAGTGAGAAAGGGGATGTGGGGTGAGGAAGGGGACGTGGAGTGAGAAAGGGGATGTGGAGTGAGAAAGGGGACATGGGGTGAGGAAGGGGAAGTTGGGTGAGAAAGGGGACGTTGGTGAGGAAGGGGATGTGGGATGAGAAAGAGGACGTGGGGTGAGAAAGGGGTGTGGGTGAGGAAGGGGACGTGGGGTGAGAAAGGGGACGTGGGGTGAGGAAGGGGACGTGGGGTGAGAAAGGGGTGTGGGTGAGAAAGGGGTGTGGGTGAGGAAGGTGATGTGGGGTGAGAAAGGGGTGTGGGTGAGGATGGGGACGTGGGGTGAGAAATGGGTGTGGGTGAGAAAGGTGATGTGGGGTGAGAAAGGGGTGTGGGTGAGGAAGGGGATGTGGGGTGAGAAAGGGGACGTGGGGTGAGGAAGGGGACGTGGGGTGAGAAAGGGGTGTGGGTGAGAAAGGGTTGTGGGTGAGGAAGGGGACGTGGGGTGAGAAAGGGGACGTGGGGTGAGAAAGGGGTGTGGGTGAGGATGGGGACGTGGGGTGAGAAATGGGTGTGGGTGAGAAAGGGGTGTGGGTGAGGAAGGGGACGTTGGGTGAGGAAGGGGACGTTGGGTGAGGAACGGGACATGGGATGAGGAAGGTGACGCTAGTGGTGCAGATGTCAACGTAGGAGATGCTTCACCTGGAACCTGATGTTGTTCTGGCTAATGGCGGCCTTCTGCATGTCTCTCATCTCTTGCTTCATCACCTCCTTCTTCACAGAGGATTCTCCAGCTTTCTGTGGCAACTGCTGCTTCACCAGCTTCAGCAGGCTAGAGTAAGCAGTGGAGCTCTCCTCCTGGAAATGGACTCGGTCAGCCTTGGCTCTCTGAGCCAGCGCCCCCGCCTGTGACAAAGAACAGGGTGAATGAGGGAGTGGACATGGTCAGCCTTTGGTTTTATGTCAGACACATCCAGGATCAAGGTCTTACCTCCATGTACATCCACTCACTGCCAGACCCCACCACGGCCAGGATGAGGGGAAGATTCAGATTCAGCACTCCAAATCTCAGCTCCATCATACAGTTCGCAGATTCAGCATACTGGAAACACAGAATATTGAATTAAGTGAAACATGAGACACAGATTCCCTGGAGTTAGCCCTTGGGCTTCAAAGAACAAACAATGATTCTGCTTCAGCTGATTCACAAATTCAATGCAGACACAAAACTTCAATTGGTTATCTTCATGTGATCAACATACAAATACTATGTGCACTGTTGCCAGACATGTCTGGATTAACACATCTGCAGTGAAGGCTTACCTCGTCTGACACACAGGCAACCATCACTTTAGCATAGCGCATTCCTTGAGTTATGTTTTCAAACAGCCCTTTACCCTGAAAATGTATGGAAAATGATCTTCTGTGACAACAATCCAAATCTTTGCAAAGTCAATTAAGGATTGACTGTGTATTTTTTCGGTTCATCGTGGTATGAATCTAAAAACCGATGTGCAAATTGTAAGAATCCATGTAGCGTAGGTTTTTCGATTTATACCTCAATGAACCGAAAAAAATACACAGGCAATGCTTATAATTAAATTCGACAATGAAAACATACAATAGTTTAACCAAAAACATTTGTTTATATCAAAGCAGACAAAAATGACATACATACTGTGGCGTGACATGAATCAGGTGATTGTTTAATTTATGCACATAACTTGACATGCCCCCAAAGTCAGCAGCCAATCAACGGAGAGTAGGATCAAAACAAAGCTGAAGAAGCATACAAAGAGACAGAAACCATGGAAACACAAGGAACACTTGAATTTGGGGAACACTTGAGACCGGGTAACATTTTAAGTTGTGCCATACTAGCAGATAGGGAACACTTAAAATCTGGGAACACAAGAGATTGGGAACACTAAAAGACTAGGAACACAAGAAAATGGGGAGCACTAAAAGACTAGGAACACAAGAAAATGGGGAACACTAAAAGACTAGGAACACAAGAAAATTGGGAACACTAAAAGACTAGGAACACAAGAAAATGGGGAACACTAAAAGACTAGGAACACAAGAAAATGGGGAACACTAAAAGACTAGGAACACAGGAAAATGGGGGATCACTAAAAGACTTGGAACACAGGTAAATAGAGAACATTTAAAAACTAATATCAAGAAAATGGGGAACACTAAAAGACTGGGAACAAGAAAATGGGGGATCACTAAAAGACTGGGAACACAGGAAAATAGAGAACATTTAAAAACTAATATCAAGAAAATGGGGAACACTAAAAGACTGGGAACACAAGAATACAGGGAACATTTAGAAACTGTGATATCAAGAAAATGGGGAAGACGTAAAGACTGGAAACAAAAAGACGGGACAAAGGGAATATGGAGAGCATCATGTGTTCATTTACAAGCAATGTTTGAACTAGCTTGCTTCTTCTTTGTAAGGTGTTGTTCTGAAGTGTCCGGGAACAAGTGTCCGGGAACAAGTATCATGTTCCTGGACACAGTGGTTGATTCATAGGTACACAATAGCTTCGCGGAAAGCGTTAAAGTTGGCATGAAGCACGTGCTTCTTGATGGATGAGCACAAAATGCGAATGCTCTAGACACAGTGTATTTCAGTTGGCTTCTGGCATTCATTTGTGCAAGTAGTAAATGGATATCTCTCTCTAAGTTACAAAAAAGTGAACCAGATTGGTACAGAAATAGAATAGAATAGAAATAGTTGAGAGAGTTACCCATTTACATTGTTAACATAAGCTAATCAAACGGCAACTTCAATTAAAGTTTCAAATCCATTTCATTTAATCTTATAACATTTTTATTGTTCATTACATGACAAGGGGATTTCACGTTTAGTTTATTACAAGGGTATTTCACATTTAGTTGATTGCAAGGTAAGTTCATGTTTAGTTAATCTGAGTTTAGTCTTCCACTGCGAACCAGGTGTCTTACCGTGACCATCTGCTCATGGTCAATCCAGGTAGAAACACCGTTACTTTCCAAGTATTTCTTGAGGCTCCGAGGGTCTCCCCACCCCATAGAGCCAGGCCGAGCTTTTGTGCCCTGTGAAACAGCATCCTTAGAGTTGCACCAACAGTAGCTGATGAAACACAAGGGGTACTCCTTGCTCTGCAACATGGAACCACAGAACCAATGACCATTTTATATTTCAGAAAAATAATCAAATGTGTAAGGCTGTACAAAGACAATGTGAGGCATATCAACATGTGTATACATAAAATCTCATGTATTTTACCCTATACTCTGAACCCCTCTCTATTGACTGTATTTAACATGGTGAAATTGTGTATAAATGTAACAACTGGAGGGGAAACACTTGTGAGTAGTTTCATGCATCCTCTACACCTCATTGTACACACCCGCATCCTCTACATCTCCTTGTCCCCACCCACATCCTTTACACCTCCTTGTACCCACCCCTCATCCTCTACACCTCCTTGTCCCCATCCACATCCTTTACACCTCCTTGTACCCACCCGCATCCTCTACACATCCTTGTACCCACCCTCATCCTCTACACCTCCTTGTACCCATCCACATCCTTTACACCTCCTTGTCCCCACCCGCATCCTCTACACCTCCTTGTACCCACCCGCATCCTCTACACCTCCTTGTACCCATCCACATCCTTTACACCTCCTTGTCCCCACCCGCATCCTCTACACCTCCTTGTACCCACCCGCATCTTCTACACCTCCTTGTACCCACCCGCATCCTCTACATCTCCTTGTCCCCACCCGCATCCTCTACACCTCCTTGTACCCACCCCTCATCCTTTACACCTCCTTGTCCCCACCCGCATCCTTTACACCTCCTTGTACCCACCCGCATCCTTTACACCTCCTTGTACCCACCCCTCATCCTTTACACCTCCTTGTACTCACCCGCATCCTCTACACCTCCTTGTACCCACCCCTCATCCTTTACACCTCCTTGTCCCCACCCGCATCCTCTACACCTCCTTGTACCCACCCACATCCTCTACACCTCCTTGTACCCACCCCTCATCCTCTACATCTCCTTGTCCCCACCCGCATCCTTTACACCTCCTTGTACCCACCCCTCATCCTCTACACCTCCTTGTCCCCATCCACATCCTTTACACCTCCTTGTACCCACCCCTCATCCTTTACACCTCCTTGTCCCCACCCGCATCCTTTACACCTCCTTGTACCCACCCTCATCCTCTACACCTCCTTGTACCAACCCCTCATCCTTTACACCTCCTTGTCCCCACCCGCATCCTTTACACCTCCTTGTACCCACCCCTCATCCTCTACACCTCCTTGTCCCCATCCACATCCTTTACACCTCCTTGTACCCACCCCTCATCCTTTACACCTCCTTGTCCCCACCCGCATCCTTTACACCTCCTTGTACCCACCCTCATCCTCTACACCTCCTTGTACCCACCCCTCATCCTTTACACCTCCTTGTCCCCACCCGCATCCTTTACACCTCCTTGTACCCACCCGCATCCTTTACACCTCCTTGTACCCACCCTCATCCTCTACACCTCCTTGTACCCACCCGCATCCTTTACACCTCCTTGTACCTTCCCGCATCCTCTACACCTCCTTGTACCCACCCGCATCCTCTACACCTCCTTGTACACACCCGCATCCTCTACACCTCCTTGTACCAACCCGCATCTTCTACACATCCTTGTACCCACTGGCATCCTCTACACCTCCTTGTACCCACCCGCATCCTCTACACCTCCTTGTACCCACCCGCATCCTCTACACCTCCTTGTACCCAACCGCATCCTCTACACATCCTTGTCCCCATCCGCATCTTCTACACCTCCTTGTCCCCACCCGCATCCTCTACACCTCCTTGTACCCACCTGCATCCTCTACACATCCTTGTATCAAACCTCATCCTCTTCACCTCCTTGTACCCACCTGATCCTCTACATCTTCTTGTACAAACCCGCATCCTCTACATCTCCTTGTACACACTCGCATCCTCTACACATCCTTGTACCCACCCGCATCCTTTACACCTCCTTGTACCCACCCACATCCTCTACACATCCTTGTACCCACCCGCATCCTCTACACCTTGTACCCCACCTTTACACCTCCTTGTACCCACCCGCATCCTTTACACCTCCTTGTACCCACCCGCATCCTCTACACCTCCTTGTACCCACCCGCATCCTTTACACCTCCTTGTACCCACCCACATCCTCTACACATCCTTGTACCCACCCGCATCCTCTACACCTTGTACCCACCCGCATCCTTTACACCTCCTTGTACCCACCCGCATCCTTTACACCTCCTTGTACCCACCCGCATCCTCTACACATCCTTGTACCCACCCACATCCTTTACACCTCCTTGTACCCACCCGCATCCTCTACACATCCTTGTATCCACCCGCATCCTGTACATCTCCTTGTACCAACCCGCATCCTCTACACATCCTTGACACATCCTTGTATCCACCTGATCCTCTACATCTCCTTGTACCCACCCGCATCCTCTACACCTCCTTGTACCCACCCGCATCCTTTACACATCCTTGTACCCACCCGCATCCTCTACATCTCCTTGTACCCACCCGCATCCTCTACATCTCCTTGTACCCACCCGCATCCTCTACATCTCCTTGTACCCACCCACATCCTCTACACATCCTTGTCCCCACCCACATCCTCTACACATCCTTGTACCCACCCACATCCTCTACACATCCTTGTACCCACCCGCATCCTCTACATCTCCTTGTACCCACCCGCATCCTCTACATCTCCTTGTACCCACCCGCATCCTCTACATCTCCTTGTACCCACCCGCATCCTCTACATCTCCTTGTACCCACCCGCATCCTCTACATCTCCTTGTACCCACCCACATCCTCTACACATCCTTGTCCCCACCCACATCCTCTACACATCCTTGTCCCCACCCACATCCTCTTCACATCCTTGTACCCACCCGCATCCTGTACACATCCTTGTCCCCACCCACATCCTCTACACATCCTTGTCCCCACCCACATCCTTGACACATCCTTGTACCCACCCGCATCCTCTACACATCCTTGTCCCCACCCACATCCTCGACACATCCTTGTACCCACCTGATCCATCACATCTCCTTGTACCCACCCGCATCCTCTACACATCCTTGTCCCCACCCACATCCTGTACACATCCTTGTCCCCACCTGATCCTCTACATCTCCTTGTACCCACCGGCATCCTGTACATCTCCTTGTCCCCACCCGCATCATGTACATCTCCTTGTCCCCACCCGCATCATGTACATCTCCTTGTACCCACCCGCATCCTCTACACCTCATTGTCCCCACCTGCATCCTGTACATCTCCTTGTACCCACCCGCATCCTCGACACATCCTTGTACCCACCTGCACCCTCTACACCTCTTTGTACACACCCGCACCCTCTACACCTCTTTGTGTCCCTCCTACCTTGGTCTGTATTCCTCTCAGCTTTTGCTGCACCAACTTCTGGAGTTCCTTGACCTTGTCTCTGTATCGCGACTTGTTCTTTGCCATCACCATCAGCTGAGAAAAAGAACAGTCAGGATTACTGAGAACTGCAGGATCTCTATGAGAGAAATAACCTTGAACACAACATAAAACCCCACTGCTCATCCCTTCACACCCCTCAAACCCACGTCCCTGAGTCCCCCTCACATCCATGTCACTCAGTCCCCCTCACACCCCTCACACCCACGTCCCTGAGTCCCCCTCACACCCACGTCCCTGAGTCCCCCTCACACCCATGTCCCTGTGTTCCCCTCACACCCACGTCCCTGTGTTCCCCTCACACCCACGTCCCTGTGTTCCCCTCACACCCATGTCCCTGTGTTCCCCTCACACCCATGTCCCTGTGTTCCCCTCACACCCATGTCCCTGAGTCCCCCTCACACCCATGTCCCTGTGTTCCCCTCACATCCATGTCCCTGTGTTCCCCTCACATCCATGTCCCTGTGTCCCCCTCACACCCATGTCCCTGTGTTCCCCTCACACCCATGTCCCTGTGTTCCCCTCACACCCATGTCCCTGTGTTCCCCTCACACCCATGTCCCTGAGTCCCCCTCACACCCCTCACATCCATGTCCCTGTGTTCCCCTCACACCCACGTCCCTGTGTCCCCCTCACATCCATGTCCCTGAGTCCCCCTCACACCCATGTCCCTGTGTCCCCCTCACATCCATGTCCCTGTGTTCCCCTCACACCCATGTCCCTGTGTCCCCCTCACATCCATGTCCCTGAGTCCCCCTCACACCCCTCACATCCATGTCCCTGTGTCCCCCTCACACCCATGTCACTGAGTCCCCCTCACATCCATGTCCCTGTGTTCCCCTCACATCCATGTCCCTGTGTCCCCCTCACATCCATGTCCCTGTGTTCCCCTCACATCCATGTCCCTGTATTCCCCTCACACCCATGCCCCTGTTTTCCCCTCACACCCATGTCCCTGTGTTCCCCTCACACCCATGTCCCTGTGTTCCCCTCACACCCATGTCCCTGTGTTCCCCTCACACCCATGTCCCTGAGTCCCCCTCACACCCATGTCCCTGAGTCCCCCTCACACCCATGTCCCTGAGTCCCCCTCACACCCATGTCCCTGAGTCCCCCTCACACCCATGTCCCTGAGTCCCCCTCACACCCCTCACATCCATGTCCCTGTGTTCCCCTCACACCCATGTCCCTGAGTCCCCCTCACATCCCTCACATCCATGTCCCTGTGTTCCCCTCACATCCATGTCCCTGTGTTCCCCTCATACCCCTCACATCCATGTCCCTGTGTTCCCCTCACATCCATGTCCCTGTGTTCCCCTCACACCCCTCACATCCATGTCCCTGTGTTCCCCTCACATCCATGTCCCTGTGTTCCCCTCACACCCCTCACATCCATGTCCCTGTGTTCCCCTCACATCCATGTCCCTGTGTTCCCCTCACACCCCTCACACCCATGTCCCTGTGTTCCCCTCACATCCATGTCCCTGTGTTCCCCTCACACCCCTCACATCCATGTCCCTGTGTTCCCCTCACATCCATGTCCCTGAGTCCCCCTCACACCCCTCACATCCATGTCCCTGTGTTCCCCTCACATCCATTTCCCTGTGTTCCCCTCACACCCATGTCCCTGTGTTCCCCTCACACCCATGTCCCTGAGTCCCCCTCACACCCATGTCCCTGAGTCCCCCTCACACCCATGTCCCTGAGTCCCCCTCACACCCATGTCCCTGAGTCACCCTCACACCCATGTCCCTGAGTCCCCCTCACACCCATGTCCCTGAGTCCCCCTCACACCCCTCACATCCATGTCCCTGTGTTCCCCTCACACCCATGTCCCTGAGTCCCCCTCACACCCCTCACACCCATGTCCCTGTGTTCCCCTCACACCCACGTCCCTGAGTCCCCCTCACATCCATGTCCCTGTGTTCCCCTCACATCCATGTCCCTGTGTTCCCCTCACACCCATGTCCCTGTGTTCCCCTCACACCCATGTCCCTGAGTCCCCCTCACACCCATGTCCCTGAGTCCCCCTCACATCCATGTCCCTGTGTTCCCCTCACACCCATGTCCCTGTGTCCCCCTCACACCCATGTCCCTGTGTTCCCCTCACACCCATGTCCCTGTGTTCCCCTCACATCCATGTCCCTGTGTCCCCCTCACACCCATGTCCCTGTGTTCCCCTCACACCCCTCACACCCATGTCCCTGTGTCCCCCTCACACCCCTCACATCCATGTCCCTGTGTTCCCCTCACACCCATGTCCCTGTGTCCCCCTCACACCCATGTCCCTGTGTCCCCCTCACACCCATGTCCCTGTGTTCCCCTCACACCCATGTCACTGAGTCCCCCTCACATCCATGTCCCTGTGTTCCCCTCACACCCATGTCCCCCACACATCCATGTCCCCGAGTCCCCCTCACACCCATGTCACTGAGTCCCCCTCACATCCATGTCCCTGTGTTCCCCTCACACTCATGTCCCCCACACATCCATGTCCCCGAGTCACCCTCACACACATGTTCCTGTGTCCCCCACACATCCATATCCCCGAGTCCCCCTCAGTGCTCACCTCCTGCTTGCCGATCCTCATGCCCAAGTCAGTGTTCTGCCAGCTCATGCCACCGCCAATGGTCAAGATGACATAGTCTTTGTGGAGGGTGTTCATCGTGTACAGCATCAAGTCTCGACATTTCTCATCCTTCTCAAAGTTGTCGGAGACCAGAGCCACCACCACCTTCAGAAGACATGAAAACTAGGATACAATCACATAGGACCAGTAAAAACTAAAGGCACCAGTTTTCATACAATCAGACCAACACTGATGATCAGGCCTTGGGTCAAATACAAATGGTAGTCTAAGGGACACAACTCCGCACAACAGATGGGGGTGGGGCATCCTTGAGTGAGTCAGTGGGATGTACTTTGACGGTTGTCCAAGGGACATAACTCTGCATTACAGACAGGGGCATCCTTGAATGTGTGAGCGGCATGTATTTTGATGGTGGTCCAAGGGACATAACTCTGCACAGAGATTTGCAGAGCCATGATCTGTGGAAACCTTGCTAGTAACAATCAGAAAACAGAACCAATAAGATCAATGTGTGGCTATTAGTCAGCCAAAAAACACTGATCAGTGAGAACCACAATGAGACCAACGACATTCGTAGTTGCTGACCTTGCAGTTCTTGAGGGCCAACATTAAGTCCTGGATACTGGCATTAAGCATGTCCTCGCAGAACCACCTGAATAACAAGAAGCAGAACCAGAACACGATCATGTCCATGATAAAGAATACGGAGACATTTACCCAAATAATGACAACACAAGAACACATTTGCACTCAAACCAACATTTTTCACAAGACTCTTAATCTAAATTTCATCATCCCGGCAACTAACTTAGACAGGTAAACTTCCATTGATAAACTAACATTTTTCAGACACCTAATTTACTTGCCTTTGAATGTGTTTGCGATTGGTGCCACTGGAGGAGCAGGATACGTTCACTTGTTTTAGAGCACATGGTATCATCACTACCGTATTTGACGTAATAAGCCCCCTGCTCTAATAAGCGCCCACGGCGATATTTGCTAATATATCGGCTAGTGAACTATCCCAATTAGCACCCCTTCAGATTGATCAATGTACACAAGACTTATTTAATACGCACTCCTGTGTTATATGCACCCTTAATTATGGGCAATTAAATTCTTGAAAAATCTGCCGTACATAAACATTTCAGGCTGTCAGTATAAACCACAAAATTTATGTTTTTTCACCAAAATAATATTCTGATAAGAGCCCCCTATTTCTAATTTTCAGAGCGCCCTGGGCGCTTATTCCATCGAATACAGTATTTGTTAGTGATTCATAAACACATGCTTATGATATCAGAATGGTACTGTAGCAATTCCTGTGATTATGGAAAGGGGTTTGTCATGTTTCTATGCACAGATAAATAAAGCGGACAACAAACTTACACTGACAGTCCCACAGCCTGCACATCTTCCTTCACCCAGAAAGGGTTGATCTTCTCTGCAGGATCTCGGGGCGCCGGCACATCGGAGGCGGAGTACAGGACAGCGACGTCCGTGGTGAGGGCGGAGTTCAGTTCCTGCAGCATCATCAGGCTGTGCTGGAGGTGGGCGTCGAAGTCGCCGGCGTGGGTGTTGGGCATGTTTTCTGTCAAGAGTCAAACAATGTGAATTATCACATCCAAATTATTACCACCCAGACAAATGGGTGATGCACGTAATGCCATGCATAGCGACCTACATGACATGATCATGTGCTTACCACTGCCACATCATTCTCTTTAGACAGAGCTAACTAGCTAGAGAAGCTGTGAAGCAGGGACGGTCAGGTGGACATATAGTGTGTGAGATGGGATAAGTGTATTAATATATATATATATATATATATATATATATATATATATATATATATATATATATATATATATATATATATATATATTCATACAATTTATTGGAAAATTTCCAAATTTTTAAACTTATCCTATACTGAACAGATAAAGAAATGTCGTATTTTTTTATTATTAGGACATAATTGTGCATGATCAAAATTGTTATTTTTCTTCATGAATATGTTTTTTAGACTTTAAAAAAAGCCAGTTTATGACATTCAACTGATAATACCGGTTGCGTTCGGTGTAACAGTTGTGAACCTTGGGAACTGTGAGGTGCCCGTGGGAGCAAGTTGCAAGTGATGCACAGGAACATTGAAATGCACGTGAAACATGTGCCAGGGTTCTGTATAAGAACCACCTGACACCTACTGAGAATTCAGTTTCTTTGTGAAGACAGTGACCATGCCACGACTATCCTCTCAACAACGTGAACAAGCCATCGGACGATTAAATGCCGGACAACGTACCCAAGTCATTGCCAATGTTTTAACTGCAGTGTACGAACCATTGAAAGACTTCGGATTCGTTACAACACCACCAACAGCACTTTTGACCGTCCACGCAGTGGTCGTCGCCGAGTCACAACACCAAGACAAGATCGCTTCATCCTGCGGCAACATCTGCAGGACAGATACACCACAGCGGCACAGACAGCTCGTCAGACCATTGGCAATAATCAGCGACCCATCAGTGCTGACACTGTTCGAAATTGGCTCGCCTCCCAGAACCTGTCTTGTCACCGTCCACACAGGGGTCCAGTGCTCACTCCTCATCATCGTCAGCAACGTCTTGCGTGGGCCACCCAACGACAACATTGGCGGCATCAGCAGTGGAGGACCCACGTGTTCTCAGATGAGAGTCGGTACTGCATTTCCACTGCAGATGGCAGAGTACAAGTGTGGCGAAGGAGAGGTGAACGTTTTACAGAACAGTGTGTGGTTGAAAGAGACCAGTGGGGAGGACCAAGCATTATGGTATGGGGTGCAATCGGCATCAATCAGAAACTTGGACCTGTTGTCTTCCAGAATATTGGCCCAGGCAGAGGCCATGGAGTCACAGCCGCCCATTACATCGACCAGGTTCTCTGACCCCACGTTTTACCTCATTTGGCAAGACTTCCGAAACCACACCTTCCAGCATGACAACGCCCGTCCACACACTGCCATAGCCACCAGGACCTTCCTCCAACAGCATAACATCAGAGTAATGCAATGGCCTTCACTCAGCCTGGACTTAAACCAAATTGAACACTTGTGGGATGACATCCAAAGACGACTAAACCAGATCCAACCGCGTCCAAGAAATGCAGCAGAACTCCAATGGCGTCTGTAAACCATTTGTGCCACTCCATGTACAGAAGATGCCGGGCCATTATCAACGCACAAGGGACATGGACACACCAGGTACTGACTTTCAGCCTCCATCTGTGAGGATCACGTGATCAGACCCTCGATATGACATTGCAATAACATGACGAACACTCAACAATCCCTTGTGCCAAAGGTGGTTGTTTTCTGACAATTATTTTTTGCATTATTGACATTTGAATAAACAGTTCACTATTTTCTGAATTCTTGCGATGTTTCTTTATCTGTTCAGTATATTTCACTCGATGCACGGTTGGAAGGCGGGCCGCAGATACCCTAGCCTGTGTAGACTACAAGCATGACACACGCATGAGGAGGCTGGTTGTAAACAGTGAAATGAATAAAACATTTAAAACACTTTCTAGTGTCATAAACGACAACATGCTGGTCAGATGTAAAAGCATGAGATTGGGTACAACATGTGGAACGTGTTTTCAGATATGACATCATTACGATCGTACGATCTGGAACAAGTCACCAGTCAATAGATTCTACAAGACAGGTCTCAACACTATCTCCTGTGGACACTAGAGTGCAACTGCTCAGCATCTCTTCTAAAGCTTCATCAAAGTTATCAAGGACTCCCCAGGGATTGAAGCAAGCCAAGAGGAGAAGTGGAACGATTGACAATATCTTCGAGCCAGTACCCAACAACAAAAATACACAGGGCAGACATGAGAAGGGGGGGCACTCTATTGAAACAGCCGCGCCTTGAGGCAACTTCGAAGTCTCTACAGACGAGCGAATCCACACTCCAATTGCTACTCAGTCTGGGAACCTGAAAAATCAAAGAACAGTAAACACAGGATCTACAGTTCTCAAATTTATTCTCTATATACACGAGCATAGTACGAGAGAGCAGGAGCAGGTACACACATCGATTATCTGAGCTGGTGTGCAGTCGACACCTGCTGTGCCAGGAGCAAGGGACCGAGTTGATGTAAGCCCTGGACATCTGTGACGGAGATGTCACAGAGATAGCGGGAAGTGAAGACTGTGTCTGTCTTCGAAAATCACCCTTTCATCAAGGCGGAGAGAGAGCAGTTGCTATGTAGGGCCTTGGTAGAAAGGGGCTGTACGGGTCTCATGAAGATTGGACATGACAGGCGGAGGAAATCCAGCAAAGTTGTAAGCCTGGATGATCGAGCTAGCCAGGAGAACGTGGTACGGGAGACTTGAGTTAAAACTGCTGTTGAGAGTGGAATGAAGAGTCTTTTCCATGAGCGCCGAAGTGGTCTTGCAGCTTACCCATCAACTGAGACATTGAGACAGCGTGGAAGCTTACCCATCAACTGCGACATTGAGATAGTGTGGAAGCTTACCCATCAACTGTGACATTGAGATAGTGTGGAAGCTTACCCATCAACTGCGACATTGAGATGGTGTGGAAGTATTTGCGGCACTGGAGAAATGGGGCTTTATGATCCTTGGCTGCATAGACCAGCTCAGAGTCAAACAAACTGGGTTCCAAGCATCCCTGGAAAACAGAAAAAAGTTTCATAGTTTACACAACATGGTTCTGACATTGCAGCAATGTCGATGTTGTCAAGAATAATATTCACCCCCTTCCAAAAAAACCAACAACAAACAAATCCTCTATTGTAGGCTCTTTGACAACACACCTGCATCATGACTCACCCCTTCATGACTCACTCCTAGATGACTCACTCCTTCATGACTCACTCCTTCATGACTCACCCCTTCATGATTCACTCCATGACTCACTCCTTCATGATTCACTCCATGACTCACTCCTTCATGACTCACTCCTTCATGACTCACTCCTACATGACTCACTCCTTCATGACTCACTCCTTCATGATTCACTCCTTCGTGACTCACTCCTTCATGACTCACTCCATGATTCACTCCTTCATGACTCACTCCTTCATGATTCACTCCTTCGTGACTCACTCCTTCATGACTCACGCCTTCATGATTCACTCCTTCATGACTCACTCCTTCATGATTCATTCCATGATTCACTCCTTCATGACTTACTCCTTCATGACTCACCCCTTCATGATTCACTCCATGACTCACTCCTTCATGATTCACTCCATGACTCACTCCTTCATGACTCACTCCTTCATGATTCACTCCATGACTCACTCCTTCATGACTCACTCCTTCATGACTCACCCCTTCATGACTCACTCCTTCATGATTCACTCCATGACTCACTCCTTCATGACTCACTCCTTCATGATTCACTCCATGACTCACTCCTTCATGACTCACTCCTTCATGATTCACTCCATGACTCACTCCTTCATGACTCACTCCTTCATGATTCACTCCATGACTCACTCCTTCATGACTCACCCCTTCATGATTCACTCCATGACTCACTCCTTCATGACTCACTCCTTCATGATTCACTCCATGACTCACTCCTTCATGACTCACTCCTACATGACTCACTCCTTCATGACTTACTCCTTCATGATTCACTCCTTCATGACTCACCCCTTCATGACTCACCCCTTCATGACTCACTCCTTTATGATTCACTCCATGACTCACTCCTTCATGACTCACTCCTTCATGACTCACTCCTCCATGACTCACTCCTTCATGACTTACTCCTTCATGACTCACCCCTTCATGACTCACTCCTTTATGATTCACTCCATGACTCACTCCTTCATGACTCACTCCTTCATGACTCACTCCTTCATGACTTACTCCTTCATGACTCAGTCCTTCGTGACTCACCCTTTCAAGACTCATACCTTTATGATTCAGCCCCTTCATGACTCACTCCTTCATGACTCACTCCTTTCATGACTCACTCCTTTCATGACTCACCCCTTCATGACTCACCCCCTTCATAACTCACCTCTTTCATAATGCAGTCGGGGCATGGCACCAGGAAGTCATACACAACGCCATGGAAAGATTCCTCGATGAGACTCTCAAAGACTTCATGAATCAGGAACAGAATGTTTTCTGGGCGTTGGCCTTGGACCCACACAATCACTTCAAAGTTACTGAAAAAAACATTCATATTCATAGTTGTACACTTCATCCTCATGCCCCGTGCACACCTTCAATGTAACCTGGTCAATCTTTCCTGACCTAGGTACAGCATACCTGATCTGTCTGATGTCAGCAACTATACAGCATCACTGTCCCTAACCCACTCCTTCCTACCTCCACTACATACCTGATCTGTCTGATGTCAGCAACTATACAGCATCACTATCCCTAACCCGTTCCTTCCTACCTCCACTACATACCTGGTCTGTCTGATGTCAGCAACTATACAGCATCACTGTCCCTAACCCACTCCTTCCTACCTCCACTACATACCTGATCTGTCTGATGTCAGCAACTATACAGCATCACTGTCCCTGACCCACTCCTTCCTACCTCCACTACATACCTGGTCTGTCTGATGTCAGCAACTGTAAAGCATCACTGTCCCTAGCCCACTCCTTCCTACTTCCACTACACACTTGATCTGTCTGATGTCAGCAACTATACAGCATCACTGTCCCTAGCCCACTCCTTCCTACTTCCACTACACACTTGATCTGTCTGATGTCAGCAACTATACAGCATCACTGTCCCTAGCCCACTCCGTCCTACTTCCACTACATACCTGGTCTGTCTGATGTCAGCAACTATACAGCATCACTGTCCCTGACCCACTCCTTCCTACCTCCACTACATACCTGATCTGTCTGATGTCAGCAACTATACAGCATCACTGTCCCTAGCCCACTCCTTCCTACTTCCACTACATACCTGATCTGTCTGATGTCAGCAACTATACAGCATCACTGTCCCTGACCCACTCCTTCCTACCTCCACTACATACCTGATCTGTCTGATGAGGGCGAGGTGGTTGTTCTTCTTCAGGAGAGAGCCACGCTTCCAGATGAATTTGCCGTCTGAAAACTGGAACAGTCGAACCTGGAAACAGGCATCAGGATTAAACCAACATTTCTGAGCATTGATCATAGGCTGCAAGATGTGTCAAGTCTCTACTTTTGCTGAATCTATCACTGTCAAGTCTCTTCTCTGGCTGAATCTCCACACTGTCAAGTCTCTTCTCTGGCTGAATCTCCTCAGTGTCAAGTCTCTTCCCTGGCTGAATCTCCTCACTGTCAAGTCTCTTCTCTGGCTGAATCTCCTCACTGTCAAGTCTCTTCTCTGGCTGAATCTCCAAACTGTCAAGTCTCTTCTCTGGCTGAATCTCCTCACTGTCAAGTCTCTTCTCTGGCTGAATCTATCACTGTCATGTCTCTTCTCTGGCTGAACCTCCACACTGTCAAGTCTCTTCTCTGGCTGAATCTCCTCAGTGTCAAGTCTCTTCTCTGGCTGAACCTCCACACTGTCAAGTCTCTTCTCTGGCTGAATCTCCTCACTGTCAAGTCTCTTCTCTGGCTGAATCTCCACACTGTCAAGTCTCTTCTCTGGCTGAATCTCCTCACTGTCAAGTCTCTTCCCTGGCTGAATCTCCTCACTGTCAAGTCTCTTCTCTGGCTGAATCTCCTCACTGTCAAGTCTCTTCTCTGGCTGAATCTCCTCACTGTCAAGTCTCTTCTCTGGCTGAATCTCCTCACTGTCAAGTCTCTTCTCTGGCTGAATCTCCTCACTGTCAAGTCTCTTCTCTGGCTGAATCTCCAAACTGTCAAGTCTCTTCTCTGGCTGAATCTCCTCACTGTCAAATCTCTTCCCTGGCTGAATCTCCTCACTGTCAAGTCTCTTCTCTGTCTCAAACTCCACACTGTCAAGTCTCTTCTCTGTCTGAATCTCCTCACTGTCAAGTCTCTTCTCTGGCTGAATCTCCTCACTGTCAAGTCTCTTCTCTGGCTGAATCTCCACACTGTCAAGTCTCTTCTCTGGCTGAATCTCCTCACTGTCAAGTCTCTTCTCTGGCTGAATCTCCAAACTGTCAAGTCTCTTCTCTGGCTGAATCTCCAAACTGTCAAGTCTCTTCCCTGGCTGAATCTCCTCACTGTCAAGTCTCTTCTCTGTCTCAAACTCCACACTGTCAAGTCTCTTCCCTGGCTGAATCTCCTCACTGTCAAGTCTCTTCTCTGGCTGAATCTATCACTGTCAAGTCTCTTCTCTGGCTGAATCTCCACACTGTCAAGTCTCTTCTCTGGCTGAATCTCCTCACTGTCAAGTCTCTTCTCTGGCTGAATCTCCTCACTGTCAAGTCTCTTCTCTGGCTGAATCTCCTCACTGTCAAGTCTCTTCTCTGGCTGAATCTCCTCACTGTCAAGTCTCTTCTCTGGCTGAATCTCCTCACTGTCAAGTCTCTTCTCTGGCTGAATCTCCTCACTGTCAAGTCTCTTCTCTGGCTGAATCTCCTCACTGTCAAGTCTCTTCTCTGGCTGAATCTCCTCACTGTCAAGTCTCTTCTCTGTCTGAATCTCCTCACTGTCAAGTCTCTTCTCTGTCTGAATCACCTCACTGTCAAGTCTCTTCTCTGGCTGAATCTCCTCACTGTCAAGTCTCTTCTCTGGCTGAATCTCCTCAGTGTCAAGTCTCTTCTCTGGCTGAATCTCCTCAGTGTCAAGTCTCTTCTCTGGCTGAATCTCCTCACTGTCAAGTCTCTTCTCTGTCTGAATCTCCTCACTGTCAAGTCTCTTCTCTGGCTGAATCTCCAAACTGTCAAGTCTCTTCTCTGGCTGAATCTCCTCACTGTCAAGTCTCTTCTCTGTCTGAATCTCCTCACTGTCAAGTCTCTTCTCTGTCTGAATCTCCTCACTGTCAAGTCTCTTCTCTGGCTGAATCTCCTCACTGTCAAGTCTCTTCTCTGTCTCAAACTCCACACTGTCAAGTCTCTTCTCTGGCTGAATCTCCTCACTGTCAAGTCTCTTCTCTGGCTGAAAGTATCCACTGTCAAGCCTCTACTCTGGCTAAAGCTATCTACTATCAAGATGAGGACACTAGAAATGGGCTTCACACAATGTAACCTTGTGTGGAATTGAACCATGTCCTTCTGATAGATAAACAACCCTAGGCTATGCCCTACAAACAACCCTAGGCTATGCCCTACAAACAACCCTAGGCTATGCCCTTCAAACAACCCTAGGCTATGCCCTTCAAACAACCCTAGGCTATGCCCTACAAACAACCCTAGGCTATGCCCTACAAACAACCCAAGACTATGCCCTACAAACAACCCTAGGCTATGCCCTTCAAACAACCCTAGGCTATGCCCTTCAAACAACCCAAGACTATGCCCTACAAACAACCCTAGGCTATGCCCTTCAAACAACCCTAGGCTATGCCCTACAAACAACCCAAGACTATGCCCTACAAACAACCCTAGGCTATGCCCTTCAAACAACCCTAGGCTATGCCCTACAATCAACCCTAGGCTATGCCCTACAAACAACCCTAGGCTATGCCCTACAAACAACCCTAGGCTATGCCCTACAAACAACCCAAGACTATGCCCTACAAACAACCCTAGGCTATGCCCTACAAACAACCCTAGGCTATGCCCTACAAACAACCCTAGGCTATGCCCTACAAACAACCCTAGGCTATGCCCTACAAACAACCCTAGGCTATGCCCTTCAAACAACCCTAGGCTATGCCCTACAAACAACCCTAGGCTATGCCCTTCAAACAACCCTAGGCTATGCCCTTCAAACAACCCTAGGCTATGCCCTACAAACAACCCTAGGCTATGCCCTACAAACAACCCTAGGCTATGCCCTTCAAACAACCCTAGGCTATGCCCTACAAACAACCCTAGGCTATGCCCTTCAAACAACCCTAGGCTAAGCCCTACAAACAACCCTAGGCTATGCCCTACACTGACCTGAACTCTGTTAAACAGTCCAGCTGGAAGGTAGGAGAACTTGTACATCATCTTGGTCTGCCTGACATCGGAATTTCTTGGAATCAAAGGCCAATTGAGCTGAAACCCAAGGAGTGAGTGAGCAAGCAAGTTAAACTTTAATGTAGCATCAGCATTATTTCAGAGAAAATGTTGCCATGGTCGGATCATAGATGTTTCATTTATTTGAAAATCTTATATCAAGATTAAGCATTGAATCAATATGATCTGTACTTTGCACTTTGAATATGATACCTCTGATGAGGATGATAAATAAGTGTGTTACTTCTGCTGTGGATGATAAACAAATGTACTGTCTCTGCTGAGGATGAAAGAGAAGTGTGCTGCCCCTGGAGAGGATGCCAAAGAAATGTGTTACCTCTGCTGGTTCTTCTGGCGGCAGGAGGCAGGGCACAACGTTCACCGGTTCTTTAGGCAGTGGGAAAGTCAGGTCAAACTCCTCAGTCAACTGCAGCAGCCATTTGTGTAGTGAGGGGGGATACTCCTTCCACACATCGCTGATGTGCTTGTGGTGGAAACGACCTTCTTCGTCCTGAAAAATACAACATTGCAGTAGACCATTGCAGTGACACAGATCATCCTGAAGCATGTGTCAAGAAAGCTGCAGAGAACATACAGAATTAGTTATCGCATGTGTCAAGAAATCTGCAGAGAACATGCAGAATTAGTTATCGCATGCATCAAGAAAGCTGCAGAGAACATGCAGAATTAGTTATAGCATGCGTCAAGAAAGCTGCAGAGAACATTCAAAATTAGTTATAGCATGCATCAAGAAAGCTGCAGAGAACATGCAGAATTAGTTATAGCATGCGTCAAGAAAGCTGCAGAGAACATTCAAAATTAGTTATAGCATGCATCAAGAAAGCTGCAGAGAACATGCAGAATTAGTTATCGCATGCATCAAGAAAGCTGCAGAGAACATTCAAAATTAGTTATAGCATGCATCAAGAAAGCTGCAGAGAACATGCAGAATTAGTTATAGCATGCATCAAGAAAGCTGCAGAGAACATGCAGAATTAGTTATAGCATGCATCAAGAAAGCTGCAGAGAACATTCAAAATTAGTTATAGCATGCATCAAGAAAGCTGCAGAGAACATGCAGAAATAGTTATAGCATGCATCAAGAAAGCTGCAGAGAACATTCAAAATTAGTTATAGCATGCATCAAGAAAGCTGCAGAGAACATGCAGAATTAGTTATCGCATGCATCAAGAAAGCTGCAGAGAACATGCAGAATTAGTTATAGCATGCATCAAGAAAGCTGCAGAGAACATTCAAAATTAGTTATAGCATGCATCAAGAAAGCTGCAGAGAACATGCAGAATTAGTTATAGCATGCGTCAAGAAAGCTGCAGAGAACATTCAAAATTAGTTATAGCATACATCAAGAAAGCTGCAGAGAACATGCAGAATTAGTTATAGCATGCGTCAAGAAAGCTGCAGAGAACATTCAAAATTAGTTATAGCATGCATCAAGAAAGCTGCAGAGAACATGCAGAATTAGTTATAGCATGCATCAAGAAGTCTGCAGAGAACATTCAAAATTAGTTATAGCATGCATCAAGAAAGCTGCAGAGAACATGCAGAATTAGTTATAGCATGCATCAAGAAAGCTGCAGAGAACATACAGAATTAGTTATAGCATGCATCAAGAAAGCTGCAGAGAACATGCAGAATTAGTTATAGCATGCATCAAGAAAGCTGCAGAGAACATGCAGAAATAGTTATCGCATGCATCAAGAACGTTACAAAGAACATGCAGAATTAGTTATAGCATGCATCAAGAAAGCTGCAGAGAACATGCAGAAATAGTTATAGCATGCATCAAGAACGTTACAAAGAACATGCAGAATTAGTTATAGCATGCCTCAAGAAAGCTGCAGAGAACATACAGAATTAGTTATAGCATGCATCAAGAAAGCTGCAGAGAACATGCAGAAATAGTTATAGCATGCATCAAGAACGTTACAAAGAACATACAGAATGAGTTAATGTGGTCTTGAGGGGAGGAAGTGATGCATACCTTGATTGGGGAGTTTTTGACGGAGACCACGCAGGCCATGACATCCACAATCCACTGCGGGTTGATGACAACTTTGTGCCTCAGGAACTCATTGTCAAAATACTGCACAGAACCAAGCTCATGAAGGAACTCAATTGCCTCCTTGATCTGTAACCATGGAAACTGATCTACTTATCTATAATAATAACATTGAGCGCATAATTGTAATTGTAGTCATAGCTAAGGGATCATTACATTATGAGGATAGACTAGTAAACAGTGAAAGGTAATAACTTATACACATGTTAGTTAATGTTTTAATACATACAAATATGTGAAATGTAAGACAATGTGACAAACTTTCTCTTAGAGATGAACATATCAGGAAGTGTTCATGTTCACATAGGGACATCTGTATCATCGTAGATGTCATTGTTCATGTCAACACAGCTACTTACATCTTTATCGTCGTAGATGCCGACCCCCATGCCATACTCCTTGATGACAGACCAGTCCATGATGCTGTTCTGGTCCCGGGCACTGAAGACATCAAGACAAATCTTCATGAATATATACCGTCCAAACACCTTTTGTTTACATTGCTATTTTGGTTTTATGCAATTAGCAATATGACGACAGGTGACATCTGGGCTTCACACAGACAGGTTATCAAGTCTATAATGAAGCATGTTAGGTATATCTGTTGTCCAGCTGTATGATTGTGCTTGATATTATGAGCAACAATCCATGTCATCAGGGTACGAGGACACTTGAGTCACTGAGTCTGATCACCCAATTCACCTGGTCACCTGGTAGTTGGGAACAAAACCTGAACCAGAGACCAGCACAGGTTGTTGGGGACCAACTCTAGCCTTGAGACCAGCATAGGTTCCTGGGGATAAACTCTAGGCTTGAGACCAGCATAGGTTGCTGTGGACCTATCCTGACCCAGAGACCAGCATAGGTTGTTGGGAACCTAACCTGACCCGGAGACAAGCATAGGTTGCTGTGGACCTATCCTGACCAAGAGAGCAGCATAGGTTCCTGGGGATAAACTTTAGGCTTGAGACCAGCATAGGTTGCTGTGGACCTATCCTGACACAGAGACCAGCACAGGTTGTTAGGGACCTAACCTGACCCAGAGACCAGTATAGGTTGTTGGGAACCTAACCTGACCCAGAGACCAGCATAGGTAGCGAGGAACCTAACCTAACCTGGAGACCAGCATTGGTTGTTGGGAACCTAACCTGACCTGGAGACCAGCATAGGTTGCTGGGGACCTAGCCTGACCCAGAGACCAGCACAGGTTGTTGGGAACCTAACCTGACCTGGAGACCAGCATAGGTTGTTGGGGACTTAACCTGACACAGAGACCAGCACAGATTGTTGGGGACCTAACCTGACCCAGAGACCAGGCCAGATTGTTGGGGACCTAACCTGACCTGGAGACCAGCACAGATTGTTGGGGACCTAACCTGACCCAGAGACCAGCACAGATTGTTGGGGACTTAACCTGACACAGAGACCAGCACAGATTGTTGGGGACCTAACCTGACCCAGAGACCAGCACCAATTGTTGGGGACCTAACCTGACCAAGAGACCAGCACAGATTGTTGGGGACCTAACCTGACCCAGAGACCAGGCCAGATTGTTAGGGACCTAACCTGACCTGGAGACCAGCACAGATTGTTGGGGACCTAACCTGACCCAGAGACCAGCACAGATTGTTGGGGACTTAACCTGACCTGGAGACCAGCACAGATTGTTGGGGACCTAACCTGACCCAGAGACCAGCACAGATTGTTGGGGACCTAACCTGACCCAGAGACCAGGCCAGATTGTTGGGGACCTAACCTGACCTGGAGACCAGCACAGATTGTTGGGGACCTAACCTGACCCAGAGACCAGCACAGATTGTTGGGGACTTAACCTGACCTGGAGACCAGCACAGATTGTTGGGGACCTAACCTGACCCAGAGACCAGCACCGATTGTTGGGGACCTAACCTGACCAAGAGACAAGCATAGGTTGTTGGGAACCAAACCTGACCCAGAGACCAGCATAGGTTGTTGGGAACCTAACATGACCCAGAGACCAGCATAGGTTGTTGGGAACCTAACCTGACCCAGAGACCAGCATAGGTTGTTGGGAACCTAACCTGACCCAGAGACCAGCATAGGTTGTTGGGAACCTAACCTGACCCAGAGACCAGCATAGGTTGCGAGGAAACTAACCTGACCTGGAGACCAGCATTGGTTGTTGGGAACCTTACATGACCTGGAGACCAGCATAGGTTGCTGGGGACCTAACCTGACCCAGAGACCAGCACAGGTTGTGGGTTGTATCACCCTGATCAAACCACAGTCTCACAGTAAACAGTCTCCTGCTCTCCAGGATGGATGAACGCTTCTTCCTCTAGTACAAGACTTATCTCACTCACTCCAATATCATCGTCTCCATTTTCAGCCAGACTTGCGGTATCTTCTCCCCCATGTTCTTCTGCTCCAAGGTGACCTTCAGCAGCTGCTTCTCCAGCTCAGCCACGCCCTGAAAACATTCAACCACTGACAGATGTGTTTGGCTGGCTTTGGAACTCTAGCCTCACTTAATCAGACAAACCATACCCTTTTCAATTCTGGTGCCTACCCATCTTGTAACCCACATTGTCAAAACTTACTTACACCTGGCGCATTGTCAACCCTTATACCTGCCAACACCATCTACCCTTTCACCTGCCCACATTGTCAACACTTACACCTGCCCACATTGTCAACACTTACACCTGCCAACACCATCAACCCTTTCACCTGCCCAGATCGTCAACCCTTATACCTGCCAACACTATCTACCCTTACACCTGCCCACATTGTCAACACTTACACCTGCCCACATTGTCAACACTTTCACCTGCCCACATTGTCAACACTTACACCTGCCAACACCATCAACCCTTTCACCTGCCCAGATCGTCAACCCTTTCACCTGCCAACACCATCTACCCTTACACCTGGCACATCGTCAACCCTTTCATCTGTCCACATTGTCAACACTTACACCTGCCCACATTGTCAACACTTTCACCTGCCCACATTGTCAACACTTTCACCTGCCCACATTGTCAACACTTACACCTGCCAACACCATCAACTCTTTCACCTGCCCAGATCGTCAACCCTTTCACCTGCCAACACCATCTACCCTTACACCTGGCACATCGTCAACCCTTTCATCTGTCCACATTGTCAACACTTACACCTGCCAACACCATCAACTCTTTCACCTGCCCACATCGTCAACTCTTATACCTGCCAACACTATCTACCCTTACACCTGCCCACATCGTCAACTCTTTCACCTGCCCACATCGTCAACTCTTATACCTGGCACATCGTCAACTCTTTCACCTGCCCACATCGTCAACTCTTTCACCTGCCAACACCATCAACTCTTACACCTGGCACATCGTCAACCCTTTCACCTGCCCACATCGTCAACACTTTCACCTGTCCACATCGTCAACTCTTACACCTGGCACATCGTCAACCCTTTCACCTGCCCACATTGTCAACACTTTCACCTGCCCACATTGTCAACACTTACACCTGCCCACATCGTCAACTCTTACACCTGCCAACACCATCAACTCTTTCACCTGCCCACATCGTCAACTCTTATACCTGCCAACACTATCTACCCTTACACCTGCCCACATCGTCAACTCTTTCACCTGCCCACATCGTCAACTCTTACACCTGGCACATCGTCAACCCTTTCACCTGCCCACATTGTCAACACTTACACCTGCCCACATTGTCAACACTTACACCTGCCCACATTGTCAACACTTTCACCTGCCCACATTGTCAACACTTACACCTGCCCACATTGTCAACACTTTCACCTGCACACATCGTCAACTCTTACACCTGGCACATCGTCAACCCTTTCATCTGTCCACATCGTCAACCTTACACCTGCTCATATTGTCAACCCTTACACCTGAGAGAAAGAAAACAGTAAAATACTTACTGTTCCTTCAATGGAGCTGACAAAATGAAAGCCTGCAATCTGTGGGTATGTTTTGGTGAGCTCTGCCATTGGGATGTCTGCTTTAGGAACCTTCAGCGAAACAAATCAACATATCATCACAATTGCAAGGGTGTTTTTATTGTGCTTATGCTGGTTTTCTAAACAAATCAAAATAACAGTTTCATTTAGAAAATTAAAAATCTATGATGGTAATTTATTAGAATAATCTTTCAGGATTAACAAATGGCAATGCCATCATAGGATCATAGCTTAGCATTAACAATGTCACAGGCTTAATGACATCACAGCGTCTATTACATTTGTTCGTTTGTTTGTCATTTAATGCCGCACTCAGCAATATTCCAGTTATATGACAGCAGCCTGCGTAGAAATCGAGTCTTGGCCAGCCAATCCAGTGATTGACATCATGAGCATCAATCATCACATGACATGGCCACCCAGTGTATGAATCACATGACATGGCCACCCAGTGTATGAATCACACGACATGGCCACCCAGTGTATGAATCACATGACATGGCCACCCAGTGTATGAATCACATGACATGGCCACCCAGTGTATGAATCACATGACATGGCCACCCAGTGTATGAATCACATGACATGGCCACCCAGTGTATGAATCACATGACATGGCCACCCAGTGTATGAACCACATGACATGGCCGTCCAGTGTTTGAACCCACATGACATGGCCGCCCAGTGTATGAATCACATGACATGGTCGCCCAGTGTCTGTATCCTCAAGGTCAGTAGATTGGCTTCCTTTGTAACAATATTCTAGTCATATGAAGTCATGCGAGTAAAAAATGTGATCAACTTTTGACACTTCAGTTAAACCTAAGTCCCTGCGCATAATCATGGCATATTCCAACCCCAAAACAGTAGATCCTGATACATCTAAGGGACACAACTCCCTTCAATGTCGACAACTCACCTGATCACAGTGGGTGCCCACTATAAAGATGGGTGTCTTGGGGGCGTGGCAGGCGATGGAGCTGAGCCAGAAGTCCAGGCCGGCATGTTCAAAACCCTGGCGTGTCGACCACAGAAGCATGTACACAGCTCGCTTGGACAGGAAAAACTGGCATGCAAAAAGTGACATCATTTAAACTCAGAACTGTAAATGGTGACAATTTATTTAAAGTGGGTATTTCTTAATATAAACTACATCTAGTTAGATGACCTACTAGCTGACCTACTCATGTGTTTTAGAACAATATTTTTTAAGCCATGTATTGCCATGTCATGTGTATTGTAGAACAATGTTCATGCATCCAAGTATTTTCACCGTTCATCCAAGTATAGTCACCTGATGTGTATTGTAGAACAATGTCTGTTCATCCAAGTATAGTCACCTGATGTGTATTGTAGAACAATGTCTGTTCAGCCAAGTATAGTCAGTCACCTGATGTGTAATGTTGAACAATGTCTGTTCAGCCAAGTATAGTCACCTGATGTGTATTGAAGAACAATGTCTGTTCAGCCAAGTATAGTCACCTGATGTGTATTGTAGAACAATGTCTGTTCATCCAAGTATTGTCACCTGATGTGTATTGTAGAACAATGTCTGTTCAGCCAACTATTGAGTGAGTGAGTGAGTGAGTTGGGTTTAACGCCGCTTTTAACAGTATTCCAGTTATATCACGGCGTGTCAGCTTAATGTGGGAGGAAAGCCCGAAGTGATGCAGGTCTAAGCCTTTTACCACTTCGATGAAACCCACGAGCATGGGTATGGTGCTGACAAACCTAGAAACATAATTGTGGCGAACCAGGATTCGAACCCACAATCAAAGGTTTCTGGCATGCCCAAGGGACGCAATTCTGCACAGCGAAGCGCTGCGCCTTAGACGACTGGGCCACCCGCGCCTCCTCAGCCAAGTATAGTCACCAGATGTGTATTGTAGAACAATGTCTGTTCATCCAAGTATAGTCACCTGATGTGTATTGTAGAACAATGTATGTTTATCCAAGTATTGTCACCTCATGTGTATTGTAGAACAATGTTTGTTCAGCCAAGTATAGTCACCTGATGTGTATTGTAGAACAATGTCTGTTCATCCAAGTATAGTCACCTGATGTGTATTGTAGAACAATGTCTGTTCATCCAAGTATAGTCACCTGATGTGTATTGTAGAACAATGTTTGTTCAGCCAAGTATAGTCACCTGATGTGTATTGTAGAACAATGTCTGTTCAGCCAAGTATAGTCACCTGATGTGTATTGTTGAACAATGTCTGTTCAGCCAAGTATAGTCACCTGATGTGTATTGTAGAACAGTGTCTGTTTAGCCAAGTATAGTCACCTGATGTGTATTGTAGAACAGTGTCTGTTCAGCCAAGTATAGTCACCTGATGTGTATTGTAGAACAATGTCTGTTCAGCCAAGTATAGTCACCTGATGTGTATTGTAGAACAATGTCTGTTCATCAAAGTATAGTCACCTGGTGTGTATTGTAGAACAATGTCTGTTCAGCCAAGTATAGTCAGTCACCTGACGGTATTGTTGAACAATGTCTGTTCATCCAAGTATAGTCACCTGATGTGTATTGTAGAACAATGTCTGTTCAGCCAAGTATAGTCACATGATGTGTATTGTACAACAATGTCTGTTCAGCCAAGTATAGTCACCTGGTGTTTATTGTAGAACAATGTCTGTTCAGCCAAGTATAGTCAGTCACCTGATGTGTATTGTTGAACAATGTCTGTTCAGCCAAGTATAGTCAGCTGATGTGTATTGTAGAACAATGTCTGTTAAGCCAAGTATAGTCACCTGATGTGTATTGTAGAACAATGTCTGTTCAGCCAAGTATAGTCACCTGATGTGTATTGTACAACAATGTCTGTTCATCCAAGTATAGACACCTGGTGTGTATTGTAGAACAATGTCTGTTCATCCAAGTATAGTCACCTCATGTGTATTGTAGAACAATGTCTGTTCAGCCAAGTATAGTCACCTGATGTGTATTGTAGAACAATGTCTGTTCAGCCAAGTATAGTCACCTCATGTGTATTGTAGAACAATGTCTGTTCAGCCAAGTATAGACACCTGGTGTGTATTGTAGAACAATGTCTGTTCATCCAAGTATTGTCACCTGGTGTTTATTGTAGAACAATGTCTGTTCATCAAAGTATAGTCACCTGATGTGTATTGTAGAACAATGTTTGTTCATCCAAGTATAGTCACCTGATGTGTATTGTAGAACAATGTCTGTTCATCCAAGTATAGTCACCTCATGTGTATTGTAGAACAATGTATGTTCATCCAAGTATAGTCCCCTCATGTGTATTGTAGAACAATGTCTGTTCAGCCAAGTATAGTCAGTCACCTGATGTGTATTGTAGAACAATGTCTGTTCAGCCAAGTATAGTCACCTCATGTGTATTGTAGAACAAAGTCTGTTCATCAAAGTATAGTCACCTCATGTGTATTGTAGAACAATGTATGTTCATCCAAGTATAGTCACCTCATGTGTATTGTAGCACAATGACTGTTCATCAAAGTATTGACACCTGGTGTGTATTGTAGAACAAAGTCTGTTCATCCAAGTATAGTCACCTGATGTGTATTGTAGAACAATGTCTGTTCAGCCAAGTATAGTCAGTCACCTGATGTGTAATGTTGAACAATGTCTGTTCAGAAAGTATAGTCACCTGATGTGTATTGTAGAACAATGTCTGTTCAGCCAAGTATAGTCACCAGATGTGTATTGTAGAACAATGTCTGTTCAGCCAAGTATAGTCACCTGATGTGTATTGTAGAACAATGTCTGTTCAGCCAAGTATAGTCACCTGATGTGTATTGTAGAACAATGTCTGTTCAGCCAAGTATAGTCAGTCACCTGACGGTATTGTTGAACAATGTCTGTTCAGCCAAGTATAGTCACCTGATGTGTATTGTAGAACAATGTCTGTTCATCCAAGTATTGTCACCTCATGTGTATTGTAGAACAATGACTGTTCATCAAAGTATTGACACCTGGTGTGTATTGTAGAACAAAGTCTGTTCATCCAAGTATAGTCACCTGATGTGTATTGTAGAACAATGTCTGTTCAGCCAAGTATAGTCAGTCACCTGATGTGTAATGTTGAACAATGTCTGTTCAGCCAAGTATAGTCACCTGATGTGTATTGTAGAACAATGTCTGTTAAGCCAAGTATAGTCACCTGATGTGTATTGTAGAACAGTGTCTGTTCAGACAAGTATAGTCACCTGATGTGTATTGTAGAACAGTGTCTGTTCAGCCAAGTATAGTCACCTGATGTGTATTGTAGAACAATGTCTGTTCAGCCAAGTATAGTCACCTGATGTGCATTGTAGAACAATGTCTGTTCATCAAAGTATAGTCACCAGGTGTGTATTGTAGAACAATGTCTGTTCAGCCAAGTATACTCAGTCACCTGACGGTATTGTTGAACAATGTCTGTTCAGCCAAGTATAGTCACCTGATGTGTATTGTAGAACAATGTCTGTTCAGCCAAGTATAGTCACCTGATGTGTATTGTAGAACAATGTCTGTTCAGCCAAGTATAGTCACCTGGTGTTTATTGTAGAACAATGTCTGTTCAGCCAAGTATACTCAGTCACCTGATGAGTATTGTTGAACAATGTCTGTTCAGCCAAGTATAGTCACCTGATGTGTATTGTAGAACAATGTCTGTTAAGCCAAGTATAGTCACCTGATGTGTATTGTAGAACAATGTCTGTTCAGCCAAGTATAGTCACCTGATGTGTATTGTAGAACAATGTCTGTTCATCCAAGTATAGTCACCTGATGTGTATTGTAGAACAATGTTTGTTGATCCAAGTATAGTCACCTGATGTGTATTGTAGAACAATGTCTGTTCATCCAAGTATAGTCACCTCATGTGTATTGTAGAACAATGTATGTTCATCCAAGTATAGTCACCTCATGTGTATTGTAGAACAATGTCTGTTCATCCAAGTATAGTCACCAGATGTGTATTGTAGAACAATGTTTGTTCATCCAAGTATAGTCACCTGGTGTGTATTGTAGAACAATGTCTGTTCAGCCAAGTATAGTCAGTCACCTGATGTGTATTGTTGAACAATGTCTGTTCAGCCAAGTATAGTCACCTGGTGTCTATTGTAGAACAATGTCTGTTCATCCAAGTATAGTCACCTGATGTGTATTGTAGAACAATGTCTGTTCAGCCAAGTATAGTCACCTCACGTGTATTGTAGAACAATGTCTGTTCAGCCAAGTATAGTCAGTCACCTGATGTGTAATGTTGAACAATGTCTGTTCAGAAAGTATAGTCACCTGATGTGTATTGTAGAACAATGTCTGTTCAGCCAAGTATAGTCACCTGATGTGTATTGTTGAACAATGTCTGTTCAGCCAAGTATAGTCACCTGATGTGTATTGTAGAACAATGTCTGTTCAGCCAAGTATAGTCACCTGATGTGTATTGTAGAACAATGTCTGTTCAGCCAAGTATAGTCAGTCACCTGACGGTATTGTTGAACAATGTCTGTTCAGCCAAGTATAGTCACCTGATGTGTATTTTAGAACAATGTCTGTTCATCCAAGTATAGTCACCTGGTGTGTATTGTAGAACAATGTCTGTTCAGCCAAGTATAGTCAGTCACCTGATGTGTATTGTAGAACAATGTCTGTTCATCCAAGTATAGTCACCTGATGTGTATTGTAGAACAAAGTCTGTTCAGCCAAGTATAGTCACCTCATGTGTATTGTAGAACAATGTTTGTTCAGCCAAGTATAGTCACCAGATGTGTATTGTAGAACAATGACTGTTCATCGAAGTATAGTCACCTGATGTGTATTGTAGAACAATGTTTGTTGATCCAAGTATAGTCAGTCACCTCATGTGTATTGTAGAACAATGTCTGTTCAGCCAAGTATAGTCACCTGATGTGTATTGTAGAACAATGTTTGTTCATCCAAGTATAGTCACCTGGTGTGTATTGTAGAACAATGTATGTTCATCCAAGTATAGTCACCTGATGTGTATTGTAGTATAACGTTTGACCTGCGAAGTCCCAGGCACTGTATGTCACTTCAATCTGCTCTGGCGTGGTGACAGTCCATGGCTGAATTGCAATCCCGTCTGTGACGTTTTCCCCACTTGTCCCTTTTGTCTTCTTGTTTGCATCCATCAGGGCTTTCAGGAGGCTGCAGCAAGAGAGCCAGGGTCAAACTGGGATCTGTACTGGGTCCAGGCCTGGGGTGGATCTGGGGTGGTGTTGGGATGGTGTTGGGGTTGTGTTGGGGTGGTGTTGTGGAAGTGTTGGGTGGTGTTGTGGAAGTGTTGGGGTGGTGTTGTGGTAGTGTTGGGGTGGTGTTGTGGTAGTGTTGGGATGGTGTTGTGGAAGTGTTGGGTGGTGTTGTGGAAGTGTTGGGTGGTGTTGTGGAAGTGTTGGGGTGGTGTTGTGGTAGTGTTGGGGTGGTGTTGTGGAAGTGTTGGGTGGTGTTGTGGAAGTGTTGGGGTGGTGTTGTGGTAGTGTTGTGGTGGTGTTGTGGAAGTGTTGGGTGGTGTTGTGGTAGTGTTGGGTGGTGTTGTGGTGGTGTTGGGGTGGTGTTGTGGTGGTGTTGGGGTGGTGTTGTGGTAGTGTTGGGGTGGTGTTGTGGTGGTGTTGGGGTGGTGTTGTGGAAGTGTTGGGTGGTGTTGTGGTAGTGTTGGGGTGGTGTTGTGGTGGTGTTGGGGTGGTGTTGTGGTGGTGTTGGGATGGTGTTGTGGAAGTGTTGGGTGGTGTTGTGGTAGTGTTGGGGTGGTGTTGTGGTGGTGTTGTGGTGGTGTTGGGGTGGTGTTGTGGAAGTGTTGGGTGGTGTTGTGGTAGTGTTGGGTGGTGTTGTGGTGGTGTTGTGGTAGTGTTGGGGTGGTGTTGTGGTAGTGTTGGGGTGGTGTTGTGGTAGTGTTGGGGTGGTGTTGTGGTGGTGTTGGGGTGGTGTTGTGGAAGTGTTGGGTGGTATTGTGGTAGTGTTGGGGTGGTGTTGTGGTGGTGTTGGGGTGGTGTTGTGGTGGTGTTGGGGTGGTGTTGTGGAAGTGTTGGGTGGTGTTGTGGTAGTGTTGGGGTGGTGTTGTGGTGGTGTTGGGGTGGTGTTGTGGAAGTGTTTGGTGGTGTTGTGGTAGTGTTGGGTGGTGTTGTGGTGGTGTTGTGGTAGTGTTGGGGTGGTGTTATGGTAGTGTTGGGGTGGTGTTGTGGAAGTGTTGGGTGGTGTTGTGGTAGTGTTGGGGTGGTGTTGTGGTGGTGTTGGGGTGGTGTTGTGGTAGTGTTGGGGTGGTGTTGTGGTGGTGTAGGGGTGGTGTTGTGTTGTTGTTGGGGTGGTGTTGTGTTGCTGTGGTGTTGGGATGGTTTTGGGGTGGTGTTGTGGTAGTGTTGGGGTGGTGTTGTGGTAGTGTTGCTGTGGTGTTGTGGAAGTGTTGGGTGGTGTTGTGGAAGTGTTGGGTGGTGTTGTGGTGGTGTAGGGGTGGTGTTGTGTTGTTGTTGGGGTGGTGGTGTTAGGATGGTGTTGTTGTGTTGCTGTTTTGTTGTTGTGGTGGTGTTAGGATGGTGTTGTTATGTTGCTGTTTTGTTCGGGTGGTGTTAGGATGGTGTTGTTGTGTTGCTGTGGTGTTGGGATGGTGTAGGGGTGGTGTTGTGGTGGTGTTGGGTTGTGGTGTTGTGTTGTTGTTGTGGTGGTGTTAGGGTGGTGTTGTTGCTGTTGTGGTGGCTTTGGGATGGTGTTGGATTGGTGTTGTGGTGGTGTTGGGTTGTGGTGTTGTGTTGGTGTTGTGGTGGTGTTAGAATGGTGTTGTTGTGTTGTTGCTGTTGTGGTGGTTTTGGGATGGTGTTGGGGTGGTGTTGTGGTGGTGTTGGGTGGTGGTGTTGTGTTGTTGTTGTGGTGGTGTTAGGATGGTGTTGTTGTGTTGTTGCTGTTGTGGTGGTTTTGGGATGTTGTAGGGGTGGTGTTGTTGTGTTGTTGCTGTTGTGGTGGTTTTTTGTTGGTGTTGGGATGGTGTTGGGGTGGTGTCGGTTGGTGTAGGAGTGGTAAAAGGGGATGTTTGGGTGGAGGATTGATGGGTGTGAATGTGTATACATTGTATACATTGTTTTTACTTATTTACTGCTGTAAAAGGGATTTCAGGCTATACAAAGAAGGAATCTATGTCTGTCATTACAGCTTTCACAGCATCATGCAGTACAGTTGACATCTACCTTGTTTTGCCGGCTCCCCCGAGCCCAACCAGCATCAACTTGGTCCGGCGGCAGACCGTGAAGCCACCAGAGAGACGTTTCAGATACGCCTTGACTGACTCGAAGCCTCGGCTCACAACCTCATTCGGGGGTGTTCTCAAGGAGGGACAGCGGGAAAGATTTAACCCTGGAAATATGATACATAATGCAATACTTGTCCTGCTCCATCATCACATATGAAGAGAAATAGCAGCACCAGACAACGCCAATAAGGTTTATAGTGTCAGGAAGGAATGTTTATAGAAGTGGCCAAGGAGGTTTATAGTGTTGGCTAGGAAGGTTTATAGTGTTGGCCAGGAAGGTTTATGGTGTCAAACAGGAGGGTTTATAGTGCTGGACAGGAAGGTTTATAGTGTTGGCTAGGAAGGTTTATAGTGCTGGACAGGAAGGTTTATAGTGTTGGCTAGGAAGGTTTATAGTGTTGACCAGGGAGGTTTATAGTGTCGGCTAGGAAGGTTTATAGTGCCCCTGACAGGAAGGTTGATAGTGTTGGCTAGGAAGGTTTATAGTCTTGGCTAGGGAGGTTTATAGTGCGTGACAGGAAGGTTTATAGTGTTGGCTAGGAAGGTTTATAGTGCTGGACAGGAAGGTTTATAGTGTTGGCTAGGAAGGTTTATAGTGTTGACCAGGGAGGTTTATAGTGTTGGTAAGGAAGGTTTATAGTGTCGGCTAGGAATGTTTATAGTGCTGGACAAGAAGGTTTATAGTGTCGGACAGGAAGTTTTATAGTGTCGGACAGGAAGGTTTATAGTGTTGGCCAAGAAGGTGTTGGACAGGAAGGTTGATGGTGTCGGCTAGGAAGTTTTATAGTGTTGGCTAGGAAGGTTTATAGTGTTGGCTAGGAAGGTTTACAGTGTCGGACAGGAAGGTTTGTAGTGTTGGCCAGGGAAGTTTATAGTGTCGACCAGGAAGGTTCATAGTGTTGGCTAGGAAGGTTTATAGTGCTGGACAGGAAGGTTTATAGTGCTGGACAGGAAGGTTCATAGTGTTGGCTAGGAAGGTTTATAGTGCTGGACAAAAAGGTTTATAGTGCTGGACAGGAAGGTTTATAGTGTCTGCCAGGAAGGTTTATAGTGTTGGCTAGGAAGGTTTATAGTGTCGGACAGGAAGGTTTATAGTGTTGGCCAGGGAGGTTTATAGCGTTTGCCAGGAAGGTTAATAGTGTTGGCCAGGGAGGTTTATAGTGTCGGCTGGGAAGGTTTATAGTGCTTGACAGGAAGGTTTAAGTGATGGCTAGGAAGTTTTATAGTGTTGGCCAGGGAGGTTTATAGTGTCGGCTAGGAAGGTTTATAGTGCTGGACAGGAAGGTTTATAGTGCTGGACAGGAAGGTTTATAGTGCTGGACAGGAAGGTTTATAGTGTCGGCTAGGAAGGTTTATAGTGCTGGACAGGAAGGTTTATAGTGTCAGACAGGAAGGTTTATAGTGTCAAACAGGAAGGTTTATAGTGTTGACGAAGAAGGTTTATAGTGTCGGCCAGGAAGGTTTATAGTGTCGGCTAGGAAGATTTATAGTGTTGGCTAAGAAGGTTCATAGTTTCGGCCAGGAAGGTTTATAGTGCTGGACAGGAAAGTTTATAGCATTGGCCAGGAAGGTTAATAGTGTTCGCCAGGGAGGTTTATATTGTCGGCTGGGAAGGTTTATAGTGTCGGACAGGAAGGTTTAAGTGTTGGCTAGGAAGTTTTATAGTGTTGGCCAGGGAGGTTTAAAGTGCTGGACAGGAAGGTTTATAGTGCTGGACAGGAAGGTTTATAGTGTCGGCTAGGAAGGTTTATAGTGCTGGACAGGAAGGTTTATAGCGTTGGCCAGGAAGGTTAATAGTGTTGGCCAGGGAGGTTTATAGTGTCGGCTGGGAAGGTTTATAGTGTCAGACAGGAAGGTTTAAATGTTGGCTAGGAAGGTTTATAGTGTTGGCTAGGGAGGTTTATAGTGCGTGACAGGAAGGTTTATAGTGTTGGCTAGGAAGGTTTATAGTGCTGGACAGGAAGGTTTATAGTGTTGGCTAGGAAGGTTTATAGTGTTGACCAGGGAGGTTTATAGTGTTGGTAAGGAAGGTTTAAGTGTTGGCTAGGAAGTTTTATAGTGTTGGCCAGGGAGGTTTAAAGTGCTGGACAGGAAGGTTTATAGTGCTGGACAGGAAGGTTTATAGTGTCGGCTAGGAAGGTTTATAGTGCTGGACAGGAAGGTTTATAGCGTTGGCCAGGAAGGTTAATAGTGTTGGCCAGGGAGGTTTATAGTGTCGGCTGGGAAGGTTTATAGTGTCAGACAGGAAGGTTTAAATGTTAGCTAGGAAGTTTTATAGTGTTGGCCAGGGAGGTTTATAGTGTCGGCTGGGAAGGTTTATATTGTCGGACAGGGAGGTTTAAGTGTTGGCTAGGAAGTTTAATAGTGCTGGACAGGAAGGTTTATAGTGTCGGCTGGGAAGGTTTATAGTGCTTGACAGGAAGGTTTTTAGTGTCGGACAGGAAGGTTTATAGTGTCGAACAGGAAGTTTTATAGTGTTGGCTAGGAAGGTTGATAGTGCTGGACAGGAAGGTTTATAGTGCTGGACAGGAAGGTTTATAGTGCTGGACAGGAAGGTTTATAGTGTCGGTTGGGAAGGTTTATAGTGCTTGACAGGAAGGTTTATAGTGCTGGACAGGAAGGTTTATAGTGTCGGCTAGGAAGGTTTATAGTCCTTGACAGGAAGGTTTATAGTGTTGGACAGGAAGGTTTATAATGTCGAACAGGAAGTTTTATAGTGTTGGCTAGGAAGGTTTATAGTGCTAGACAGGAAGGTGTACAGTGTTGGCCAGGAAGGTTTATAGTGTCGGCTGGAAAGGTTTATAGTGCTGGACATGAAGGTTTATAGTGTCAGACAGGAAGGTTTATAGTGTCGAAGAGGAAGTTTTATAGTGTTGGCTAGGATGGTTTATAGTGCTGGAGAGGAAGGTTTATAGTGTTGGCAAGGAAGGTTTATAGTGTTGGCCAGGAAGGTTTATAGAGTTGGCTTGGAAGGTTTATAATGCTGGACAGGAAGGTTTATAGTGTCGGACAGGAAGGTTTAAAGTGTTGAACAGGAAGTTTTATAGTGACGGCTGGGAAGGTTTATAGTGCTTGACAGGAAGGTTTATAGTGTCGGACAGGAAGGTTTATAGTGTAGAACAGGAAGTTTTATAGTGTTGGGTAGGAAGGTTGATAGTGCTGGACAGGAAGGTTTATAGTGCTGGACAGGAAGGTTTATAGTGCTGGACAGGAAGGTTTATAGTGTCGGCTAGGAAGGTTTATAGTGCTTGACAGGAAGGTTTATAGTGTTGGACAGGAAGGTTTATAATGTCGAACAGGAAGTTTTATAGTGTTGGCTAGGAAGGTTTATAGTGCAAGACAGGAAGGTGTACAGTGTTGGCCAGGAAGGTTTATAGTGTCGGCTGGAAAGGTTTATAGTGCTGGACATGAAGGTTTATAGTGCTGGACATGAAGGTTTATAGTGTCAGACAGGAAGGTTTATAGTGTCGAAGAGGAAGTTTTATAGTGTTGGCTAGGATGGTTTATAGTGCTGGAGAGGAAGGTTTATAGTGTTGGCCAGGAAGGTTTATAGTGTTGGCCAGGAAGGTTTATAGAGTCGGCTTGGAAGGTTTATAATGCTGGACAGGAAGGTTTATAGTGTCGGACAGGAAGGTTTAAAGTGTTGAACAGGAAGTTTTATAGTGACGGCTGGGAAGGTTTATAGTGCTTGACAGGAAGGTTTATAGTGTCGGACAGGAAGGTTTATAGTGTAGAACAGGAAGTTTTATAGTGTTGGGTAGGAAGGTTGATAGTGCTGGAGAGGAAGGTTTATAGTGCTGGACAGGAAGGTTTATAGTGCTGGACAGGAAGGTTTATAGTGTCGGTTGGGAAGGTTGATAGTGCTGGACAGGAAGGTTTATAGTGTTGGCTAGGAAGGTTTATAGTGTCAAACAGGAAGTTTTATAGTGTTGGCTAGGAAGGTTTATAGTGCTTGACAGGAAGGTTATAGTGTTGGCCAGGAAGGGTTATAGTGTTGCCCAGGGAGGTTTAAAGTGTCGGTTAGGAAGTTTTAAAGTGTCGGACAGGAAGGTTTATAGTGTTGGTTAGGAAGGTTTATAGTGACGGACAGGAAGGTTTATAGTGTTGGCCAAGAAGGTGTTGGACAGGAAGGTTTATGGTGTCGGCTAGGAAGTTTTATAGTGTTGGCTAGGAAGGTTTATAGTGTTGGCTAGGAAGGTTTACAGTGTCGGACAGGAAGGTTTATAGTGTTGGCTGGGAAGGTTTATAGTGCTGGACAGGAAGGTTTATAGTGTCTGCCAGGAAGGTTTATAGTGTTGGCTAGGAAGGTTTATAGTGTCGGACAGGAAGGTTTATAGTGTTGGCCAGGGAGGTTTATAGTGTCGGCTAGTAAGATTTATAGTGTTGGCTAGGAAGTTGGCTGGGAAGGTTTATAGTGTCAGCCAATGAGGTTTATACTGACTTACGTGCCAAGTTGGGCATATGTCCGAGCGAGCCTGGGAGACTCTCCATCAGTGGGTTATTGTTGAGGTCAAGGTTCTGGAGCTTGACGAGGCGGCACATGTGCATGGGTACCTGCGTGATGGCCGTGAAGTTCAGGACCAGGGTCTCCAGGGTATGCAGCTGGAACACAGCTGGTGGGATGCCTCCAAACTCCTCGTCAGCTGTGCAGCACATTGAACAAAACAATATTCAGGTGGACACAGTGATAGCACATTCAACAATGCAATGTTCCAGGTGGGAATATAGTGATAGCACATTCAAAAATGCAATGTTCCAGGTGGGAATATAGTGATAGCACATTCAACAATGTAATGTTCCAATTGGGAATATAGTGATAGCACATTCAACAATGCAATGTTCCAGGTGGGAATATAGTGATAGCACATTCAACAATGTAATGTTCCAGGTGGGAATATAGTGATAGCATATTCAACAATGTAATGTTCCAGGTGGGAATACAGTGATAGCATATTCAACAATGTAATGTTCCAGGTGGGAATATAGTGATAGCACATTCAACAATGTAATGTTCCAGGTGGGAATATAGTGATAGCACATTCAACAATGTAATGTTCCAGGTGGGAATATAGTGATAGCATATTCAACAATGCAATGTTCCAGGTGGGAATATAGTGATAGCACATTGAACAAAACAATATTCAGGTGGGAATATAGTGATAGCACATTCAACAATGTAATGTTCCAGGTGGGAATATAGTGATAGCACATTGAACAAAACAATATTTAGGTGGGAATATAGTGATAGCACATTCAACAATGTAATGTTTCAGGTGGGAATATAGTGACAGCACATTCAACAATGCAATGTTCAGACAAAGAGGCAGACTATGCAGACTGGGGGTGTGCAGCTGAAGACCTGCTACGTACAAGACTGCAGCAAATCCATTGTAGAACCTATGGAGGGATGTCAGAATCTGACTCAGATATCATGAACTTCTGAGGTTACTATGATCACCACCTTCCAGCAGGCATCAAGTGACACAATGTTACTGACGAAATGGGAACTTACTGATACACTGGGAGCCGAGACGGGGAATGTTCCAGAACAACTCTGCATTCAGGGCAGACAACTCCGCTGCATCCAGCTTCCCGTTTCTGTTTAAGTCATAGTTATCAAACTGCTGCTTTATGTCCTGTGAGGAAAAACAACTTGTATGAGTGACGAGTACCACCACAGCACTACAACAATACCACAAGAGTGTCATCTTGTATGAGTGATGACCACAGCACTACAACAATACCACAAGAGTGTCATCTTGTATGAGTGACGAGTACCACCACACAGCACTACAACAATACCACAAGAGTGTCATCTTGTATGAGTGACGAGTACCACCACAGCACTACAACAATACCACAAGAGTGTCATCTTGTATGAGTGACGAGTACCACCACAGCAATACCACAAGAGTGTCAACTTGTATGAGTGATGAGTAGAGCACTACAACAATACCACAAGAGAGTCAACTTGTATGAGTGATGACCACAGCACGACAACAATAACACAAGAGTGTCAACTTGTATGAGTGACGTGTACCACCACAGCACTACAACAATACAAGAGTGTCAACTTGTATGATTGAAGAGTACAGCACTACAACAATACAAGAGTGTCAACTTGTATGAGTGACGAGTACAGCACTACAACAATACAAGAGTGTCAACTTGTATGAGTGACGAGTACCACCACAGCACTACAACAATACAAGAGTGTCAACTTGTATGAATCACTAGTACCACCACAGCACTACAACAATACAAGAGTGTCAACTTGTATGAGTGACGAGTACAGCACTACAACAATACAAGAGTGTCAACTTGTATGTGTGACGAGTACCACCACAGCACTACAACAATACAAGAGTGTCAACTTGTATGAGTGACGAGTACAGCACTACAACAATACAAGAGTGTCAACTTGTATGTGTGACGAGTACAGCACTACAACAATACAAGAGTGTCAGCTTGTATGTGTGACGAGTACAGCACTACAACAATACAAGAGTGTCAACTTGTATGAGTGACGAGTACAGCACTACAACAATACAAGAGTGTCAACTTGTATGTGTGACGAGTACAGCACTACAACAATACAAGAGTGTCAACTTGTATGAGTGATGAGTACCACCAAAGCACTACAAGAAGACCAGAAGGTGTCAACTTGTATGAATGACGAGTACAGTTCCAGCACAACAACAAAACTACAACAGTAATACAACTGGTATTCAATGTGGTGCAGTGATATCTGCGGATACCCCAGGGTGGAAGCAGCCAGTCAGCAGCAGTCACCTGTTTGTCCAGGAACGTGTGCACATAGGAGTGGAGGGAACACCAGTCTTTAAATCCATCCCACTTGAAGCCAGATGTCAACTGAGATGACGTTGGGACTAACCAGGGCATCCCTGAAACAAACATCACCATCGTTAGAAATCCTCATCTCTATACATTAGATCCATCACCATCAGGTAGCATAAAGCATGAATATCACCACTGAGTATCACGACTGACCACAGAAGCAAATATACCAGCAGTATCCAACAAGCATTTCACACACACACACACACACACACACACACACACACACACACACACACACACACACACACACACACACACACACACACACACACACACACACACACAATATGACATCAATCTCACCTGACAGGTTAAGTATTTCAGTGTAAATATGACGTCCATCTCACCTGACAGGTTCAAGTATTGCAGTGTAAATATGACATCAATCTCACCTGACAGGTTAAGTATTGCAGTGTAAATATGACATCCATCTCACCTGACAGGTTTAAGTATTGCAGTGTAAATATGACATCCATCTCACCTGACAGGTTAAGTATTACATTGTAAATATGACGTCCATCTCACCTGACAGGTTCAAGTATTGCTGTGTAAATATGACATCCATCTCACCTGACAGGTTAAGTATTACATTGTAAATATGACGTCCATCTCACCTGACAGGTTCAAGTATTGCAGTGTAAATATGACATCAATCTCAACTGACAGGTTCAAGTATTGCTGTGTAAATATGACATCCATCTTACCTGACAGGTTCAAGTATTGCAGTGTAAATATGACATCCATCTCAACTGACAGGTTCAAGTATTGCTGTGTAAATATGACATCCATCTCACCTGACAGGTTCAAGTATTGCAGTGTAAATATGACATCAATCTCACCTGACAGGTTCAAGTATTGCTGTGTAAATATGACATCCATCTCACCTGACAGGTTCAAGTATTGCTGTGTAAATATGACATCCATCTCACCTGACAGGTTCAAGTATTGCGGTGTAAATATGACATCTATCTCACCTGACAGGTTCAAGTATTGCTGTGTTAATATGACATCCATCTCACCTGACAGGTTCAAGTACTTCAGTTTCTGCAGCTTCCTGAAGTCGTGTGGAACATCAGTGAGAGGGTTGGAGCTGAGGTCAAGGTGAGTGAGCTCGGGGAATTTGCAGATCTCAGGAGGAATCCTGGTGATCATGAGCCCGGTCAGTGACAGCTGGGTGAGGTGCGAGGTGGTCGGCCACTTGGACGGCAAGGTGGTCAGCGGCAGTCGGTGGAGGGTCAGCTGCTCCATGCGAGGAACCAGGAACAGGTCTTCAGGAATTTGCTTCATGGCGCCATTTTGAAGAATGATTGCTTGGAGTTGAGCACACCCAGACACACCATTGGGTATCGACTGCAGGTTGTGACAGTTCTCCAGAACAAGATATTGCAGGTTGGAGAACCTGGAGAAGAAGTCATCCGGGAGGCTCTTCTGATTTGGTAACTCTCTGTGGAAATAGTTGACAGTTTCATTGTAAGGTTCAAAGTACTTGTGGTCATAAAGTAATTGCTTCGCCTCTTCAGGATCAAAGATTTCGGTTGTCTTCATTGACAACTGGTGACCCTTACAGAACATGTTTTTCTTTTTGACCATCAGCAAAGATGGGTCTTCAAACAGTTCACCCTTGAAGTCCTGCCGATAAGAGTCTGAGTCGGGGATACTCTTCTCGATATCTTCTGGATGGGAGTTGGAGCCTTGCTGGGAATACATAGCTCCTCGCTGCTCTGCAAAGATGTGACACTGGGCGGTGTATACCTTCAGAAGTGAGGTTAACTGATTCTCCACCTGAAACATGAACATTGAAGGTCATACAAGTGTAGACCTCAGAAATGAGGTTAACTGATTCTCCACCTGAAACATGAACATTGAAGGTCATACAAGTGTAGACCCTCAGAAGTGAGGTTAACTGAGTCTCCACCTGAAACATGAACATTGAAGGTCATACAAGTGTAGACCCTCAGAAATGAGGTTAACTGATTGAATTGGCACCTAAAACATGAATATTGAAGATCATTCAAGTGTAGACCCTCAGAAGTGAGGTTAACTGATTGAATCGGCACCTAAAACATGAATATTGAAGATCATTCAAGTGTAGACCCTCAGAAGTGAAGTCCTTCAGCATAAGGGTACATGTGTGAGTGATCATTGCTTTATACAGTATATCATGGTAATTCAGCTGTGAGAGGAAAGCCCAAAGTAACACAGAACAAGGATGACACCACCCCTTTGTGGATCTCCATCAGCATGGGCATGGTGCTGTCCAAGCGGATATGCTGGCCACTGCTGATGGGAATATGACCTAGGAGCATTCAAATTAACAGAACTAAGCAGTTAATAGAGATCACTTTACAATGGTCAGCATAAGATAATAACGAGACAGTGAACAGCCAACACAAAACAGTAAATAGACAAATACACAATGAATAGACAGCACTAGACAGTGAGTACACAGTGCGAGAGTGCACGCTAGACAGTGAATAGACAGCACTAGATGATGAATAGACTTGTCTGATCTTTCCGTGTTGGAGATGACTGACCTGCTGTCTTGAAGCATCTGGTTTCATTCCTGAGAGGATCTTGTCAAACACAGGCAGGATCAGCTGGAATAGACAGAATGTCCCACATATAAGTTTCTAGTCACAAAGAGCCATGTATTTACCCTGATGGCAATGCTAGTCAGGTATCTATCTTCAGGGCAATGATGTATTTACCTTTTTGGCAATGATAATGATGCATTTACCCTCGTGGTAATGATAGTCTGGTATTTATCGTGAAGGCAAAGATGTATTTACCTTGGTGGCAGTGAGTGCTATGTATTTACCCTGGTGGCAATGAGAGTTATATATTTACCCTGATGGCAGTGAGTGCCATGTATTTACCCTGGTGGCAGTGAGTGCCGTGTATTTACCCTGGTGGCAGTTAGAGTCATGTATTTACCCTGGTGGCAGTGAGAGCCATGTGTTTACCCTGGTGGCAGTGAGTGCCATGTTTTTACCCTGATGGCAGTGAGCGCCGTGTATTTACCCTGGTGGCAGTTAGAGTCATGTATTTACCCTGGTGGCAGTGAGAGCCATGTGTTTACCCTGGTGGCAGTGAGTGCCATGTGTTTACCCTGATGGCAGTTAGCGCCGTGTATTTACCCTGGTGGCAGTTAGAGTTATGTATTTACCCTGGTGGCAGTTAGAGTCATGTATTTACCCTGGTGGCAGTGAGAGCCATGTGTTTACCCTGGTAGCAGTGAGTGCCATGTATTTACCCTGATGGCAGTGAGTACCATGCATTTACCTTGGTGGCAGTGAGTGCCATGTGTTTACCCTGATGGCAGTGAGCGCCGTGTATTTACCCTGGTGGCAGTTAGAGTCATGTATTTACCCTGGTGGCAGTGTGTGCCGTGTATTTACCCTAGTGGCAGTGAGTGATGTGTATTTACCCTGATGGCAGTGAGTGCAATGTATTTACCCTGGTGGCAGTGAGAGTCATGTATTTACCCTGGTGGCAGTGAGTGTCGTGTATTTACCCTAGTGGCAGTGAGCGACATGTATTTACCCTGGTGGCAGTGAGAGCCATGTGTTTACCCTGGTGGCAGTGAGTGCCATGTGTTTACCCTGGTGGCAGTGAGAGTCATGTTTTTACCCTGGTGTCAGTGAGTGTCATGTATTTACCCTAGTGGCAGTGAGTGCTATGTATTTACCCTGGTGGCAGTGAGAGTCATGTATTTACCCTGGTGGCAGTGAGTGCCATGTATTTACCCTGGTGGCAGTGAGTGTCGTGTATTTACCCTAGTGGCAGTGAGTGTCGTGTATTTACCCTAGTGGCAGTGAGTGATGTGTATTTACCCTGGTGGCAGTGAGTGCCGTGTATTTACCTTGGTGCCAGTGAGAGTCATGTATTTACCCTTGTGTCAGTGAGAGTCATGTATTTACCCTGGTGGCAGTGAGCGTTGTGTATTTACCCTAGTGGCAGTGAGTGATGTGTATTTACCCTAGTGGCAGTGAGTGCCGTGTATTTACCCTGGTAGCAGTTAGAGTCATGTATTTACCCTTGTGTCAGTGAGAGTCATGTATTTACCCTGGTGGCAGTGAGCGTTGTGTATTTACCCTAGTGGCAGTGAGTGATGTGTATTTACCCTAGTGGCAGTGAGTGCCGTGTATTTACCCTGGTAGCAGTTAGAGTCATGTATTTACCCTGGTGGCAGTGAGAGCCATGTGTTTACCCTGGTGGCAGTGAGTGCCATGTATTTACCCTGATGGCAGTGAGTGCCGTGTATTTACCCTGGTGGCAGTGAGAGTCATGTATTTACCCTGGTGTCAGTGAGAGTCATTTATTTACCCTGGTGTCAGTGAGTGTCATGTATTTTTTCCTAGTGGCAGTGAGTGATGTGTATTTACCCTGGTGGCAGTGAGTGCCGTGTATTTACCCTGGTGGCAGTGAGTGCCATGTGTTTACCCTGGTGGCAGTGAGTGTCATGTGTTTACCCTGGTGGCAGTGAGTGTCATGTGTTTACCCTGGTGGCAGTGAGTGCCATGTGTTTACCCTGGTGGCAGTGAGCGTCGTGTATTTACCCTAGTGGCAGTGAGTGATGTGTATTTACCCTAGTGGCAGTGAGTGCCGTGTATTTACCCTGGTGGCAGTGAGTGCCATGTGTTTACCCTGGTGGCAGTGAGTGTCATGTGTTTACCCTGGTGGCAAAGATAGTCAGGTATTTATTTTGGGGGCAATGTTAGTCAGGTATCTATCTTCAGGGCAATGATGTATTTACCTTGGTGGCAATGAGAGCAGTGTATGCCCAGCCTGAGTTGTGGGAGGCAAACATGAGGTCAGTTGGGAGGCTGGGTTGGGGAGTGAGGGGAGGGATGTTCACCAGATGGATGGGGATGTCCAAGCTCATCTTCCGGTCTTCCACCTTGTGTCGAACAAACACCTGATCTGAAGAACAATTTTATTTTGATCAATTTGTTATGTTGGTCAATAGCTTGATGTATGTGATTTAATTAACACCACAAGACCGAAACATGAGACAATCTGTTTACCTGGACATGACTATTTACCTTGGACGAGAGTCTGTGCACCTGGACAAGACTATTTACCTTGGAGCAGACGTGACTATTTACCTTGAATCAGATGTGACTATTTACCTCAGAACAGATAGAGTCTGTGTACCTGGACGAGACTATTTACCTCGGAGCAGACAGAGTCTGTGCACCTGGACATGACTATTTACCTCGGATCAGATGTGACTATTTACCTCGGAGCAGACAGAGTCTGTGTACCTGGACAAGACTATTTACCTCGGAGCAGACAGAGTCTGTGCACCTGGACGTGACTATTTACCTTGGATCAGATGTGACTATTTACCTCGTAGCAGACAGAGTCTGTGCACCTGGACGTGACTATTTACCTTGGATCAGATGTGACTATATTTACCTCGGAGCAGACAGAGTCTGTGCACCTGGAGGTCCTTGAACAAGTGAAGGACTGGTGAGTAGAGTAATTTGTGGAAGTCCAGGCCCGAGGGGAGGAAGATGTAGGCTTTTTCTACAACACTTGTTTCTCCAACATTCCAATCAGCCAACGTCCTCGCGTGTTCAGTGATCTGCAGTTCTTGCACTGCAAGATAGTAGTGTGTATTCAGGTACAGATACTCAGGGTGCAGGTATTGGTGAATACTTCCTAGAGTGCAGGTATTGGTAAATACTTCCTAGAGTGTAGGTTATTGGTGAATACTTCCTAGAGTGCAGGTATTGGTGAATACTTCCTAGAGTGCAGGTATTGGTGAATACTTCCTAGAGTGCAGGTATTGGTGAATACTTCCTAGAGTGCAGGTATTGGTGTATACTTCCTAGAGTGCAGGTATTGGTGTATACTTCCTAGAGTGCAGGTACTGGTGAATACTTCCTAGAGAGTAGGTATTGGTGAATACTTCCTAGAGTGCAGGTATTGGTGAATACTTCCTAGAGTGCAGGTATTGGTGAATACTTCCTAGAGTGCAGGTATTGGTGAATACTTCCTAGAGTGCAGGTATTGGTGTATACTTCCTAGAGTGCAGGTATTGGTGTATACTTCCTAGAGTGCAGGTACTGGTGAATACTTCCTAGAGAGTAGGTATTGGTGAATACTTCCTAGAGTGTAGGTATTGGTGAATACTTCCTTGAGTGCAGGTATTGGTGAATACTTAATAGAGTAATACTTAATAGCGTGCAGGTATTGGTGAATACTTCCTAGAGTGCAGGTATTGGTGAATACTTCTTAGAGTGCAGGTTCTAGTGAATTCTTCCTAGAGTGCAGGTTTTAGTGAATACTTCCTAGAGTGCAGATTCTAGTGAATACTTCCTAGAGTGCAGGTTTTAGTGAATTCTTCCTAGAGTGCAGGTTTTAGTGAATACTTCCTAGAGTGCAGGTTCTAGTGAATACTTCCTAGAGTGCAGGTATTGGTGCATACTTCCTAGAGTGCAGGATCTGGTGAATTCTTCCTAGAGTGCAGGTACTGGTGAATACTTCCTAGAGAGTAGGTATTGGTGAATACTTCCTAGAGTGTAGGTATTGGTGAATACTTCCTTGAGTGCAGGTATTGGTGAATACTTCCTAGAGTGCAGGTATTGGTGAATACTTCCTAGAGTGCAGGTATTGGTGAATACTTCCTAGAGTGCAGGTACTGGTGAATACTTCCTAGAGAGTAGGTATTGGTGAATACTTCCTAGAGTGCAGGTATTGGTGAATACTTCCTAGAGTGCAGGTATTGGTGAATACTTCCTAGAGTGCAGGTATTGGTGAATACTTCCTAGAGTGCAGGTATTGGTGTATACTTCCTAGAGTGCAGGTACTGGTGAATACTTCCTAGAGAGTAGGTATTGGTGAATACTTCCTAGAGTGTAGGTATTGGTGAATACTTCCTTGAGTGCAGGTATTGGTGAATACTTAATAGAGTAATACTTAATAGCGTGCAGGTATTGGTGAATACTTCCTAGAGTGCAGGTATTGGTGAATACTTCTTAGAGTGCAGGTTCTAGTGAATTCTTCCTAGAGTGCAGGTTTTAGTGAATACTTCCTAGAGTGCAGATTCTAGTGAATACTTCCTAGAGTGCAGGTTTTAGTGAATTCTTCCTAGAGTGCAGGTTTTAGTGAATACTTCCTAGAGTGCAGGTTCTAGTGAATACTTCCTAGAGTGCAGGTATTGGTGCATACTTCCTAGAGTGCAGGATCTGGTGAATTCTTCCTAGAGTGCAGGTACTGGTGAATACTTCCTAGAGAGTAGGTATTGGTGAATACTTCCTAGAGTGTAGGTATTGGTGAATACTTCCTTGAGTGCAGGTATTGGTGAATACTTAATAGAGTAATACTTAATAGCGTGCAGGTATTGGTGAATACTTCCTAGAGTGCAGGTATTGGTGAATACTTCTTAGAGTGCAGGTTCTAGTGAATTCTTCCTAGAGTGCAGGTTTTAGTGAATACTTCCTAGAGTGCAGGTTCTAGTGAATACTTCCTAGAGTGCAGGTTTTAGTGAATTCTTCCTAGAGTGCAGGTTTTAGTGAATACTTCCTAGAGTGCAGGTTCTAGTGAATACTTCCTAGAGTGCAGGATCTGGTGAATTCTTCCTAGAGTGCAGGTACTGGTGAATACTTCCTAGAGAGTAGGTATTGGTGAATACTTCCTAGAGTGTAGGTATTGGTGAATACTTCCTTGAGTGCAGGTATTGGTGAATACTTAATAGAGTGCAGGTACTGGTGAATACTTCCTAGAGTGCAGGTATTGATGAATACTTAATAGAGTGCAGGTACTGGTGAATACTTCCTAGAGTGCAGGTATTGGTGAATACTTAATAGCGTGCAGGTACTGGTGAATACTTCCTAGAGTACAGCAGATACTCACCTGTGATCCTGGTGGGTCTTGTGCTGCATCTGGCCACAGACACTAGTGACCGAAGCTTCCAGTCAGGGTCCAGGGCATCGATGGCCTGGCGACTAGCTTTTGTCAGCAGGAACGACGGGGGGAACATGTATGGTCGCTTATCCGCAACCATGTTTTCTGTGTAAACACAAACGTTTTTTGTCATTTCTACTTCAAGAGATACCCTTTTCTTGTAAAACAAATGAACAACCTTTCAAACATTATTTTGGGAAACTAATGATCCATCAGAACTTTCAAACTACACACTACAGGTAACATAGCTCTGTCAAGTGTAAAGGTAACATAGCTCTGTAACATGTACAGGTAACATAGCTCTGTCAAGTGTACAGGTAACATTGCTCTGTCAAGTGTACAGGTAACATAACTCTGTCAATTGTACAGGTAACATAACTTTGTCAAGTGTACAGGTAACATAGCTCTGTCACGTGTACATGTAACATTGCTCTGTCAAGTATACAGGTAACATAGCTCTGTAAAGTGTACAGGTAACATAGCTGTGTCAAGTGTACAGGTAACGTAGCTCTGTCAAGTGTACAGGTAACATAGCTCTGTCAAGTGTACAGGTAACATAGCTTTGTCAAGTATACAGGTAACATAGCTTTGTCAAGTGTACAGGTAACATAGCTCTGTCAGGTGTACAGGTAACATAGCTCTGTCAAGTATACAGGTAACATAGCTCTGTCAAGTGTACAGGTAACATTGCTCTGTCAAGTGTACAGGTAACATTGCTCTGTCAATTGTACAGGTAACATAGCTTTGTCAAGTGTACAGGTAACATAGCTCTGTCATGTGTACATGTAACATTGCTCTGTCAAGTATACAGGTAACATAGCTCTGTAAAGTGTACAGGTAACATAGCTGTGTCAAGTGTACAGGTAACGTAGCTCTGTCAAGTGTACAGGTAACATAGCTCTGTCAGGTGTACAGGTAACATAGCTCTGTCAAGTATACAGGTAACATAGCTCTGTCAAGTGTACAGGTAACATAGCTCTGTCAAGTGTACAGGTAATATATCTCTGTCACATGTACAGGTAACATAGCTCTGTCAAGTGTACAGGTAGCATAGCTCTGTCAATTGTACAGGTAACATAGCTCTGTCAAGTGTACAGATAACATAGCTCTGTCAGGTGTACAGGTAACATAGCTCTGTCAAGTATACAGGTAACATAGCTCTGTCAAGTGTACAGGTAACATAGCTCTGTCAAGTGTACAGGTAATATAGCTCTGTTAAGTGTACAGGTAACATAGCTTTGTCAAGTGTACAGGTAACATAGCTCTGTCACGTGTACAGGTAACATAGCTCTGTCAAGTATACAGGTAACATAGCTCTGTTAAGTGTACAGGTAACATAGCTCTGTTAAGTGTACAGGTAACAAAGCTCTGTCAAGTGTATAGGTAATATATCTCTGTCACATGTTCAGGTAACATAGCTCTGTCAAGTGTACAGGTAACATAGCTCTGTTAAGTGTACAGGTAACATAGCTTTGTCAAGTGTACAGGTAACATAGCTCTGTTAAGTGTACAGGTAACATAGCTCTGTCAAGTATACAGGTAACATAGCTCTGTTAAGTGTACAGGTAACATAGCTTTGTCAAGTGTACAGGTAACATTGCTCTGTCAAGTATACAGGTAACATAGCTCTGTCAAGTGTACAGGTAACGTAGCTCTGTCAAGTCTAGGGAAACAACTCATCTCAACCAAACTACAACCAAAAAAACAAAAATGCTCAATAACCAGTTGAAACAACAGTTCCAAAGATTGTGGATGTTTTGAATTGATATTAGTTCTCACCTCTGGATTCAAATCCCTGTATGTCAATGTCAGCTTTCATTTGGACCTTCGGTTTAGGCTTATCTTCCGTTGTAGTGTCTTCCTTCTTGTCATCCCCATCTTCAACCGGTATCTCAACAGCCTTCAGGGGAATCTTCTCCAGCTGAATCTCCTTAATTGATGTCATGTCCAACTCTTCATTGCAGTTTGAATCTTTGGGTGAAAACTCCAGTGACAACTTGGTGTTGTCAGTGGAGAGAGACTTGATGACACACTCCATGTACTGATCCCTGATGGCGAGAAATCACTGTTAGACAGACACATCAACAATCTGTGTGGCTAATTCACTGTCAGACATACCATCAACAATTTCTTTGGCCAAATCACTGTCAGACAGACGCATCAACAATTTCTTTGGCCAAATCACTGTCAGACAGACCATCAACAATTTCTTTGGCTAATTTACTGTCAGACAGACCATCAACAATTTCTTTTGCCAAATCAGTCAGACAGACGCATCAACATTCAGTAACTTAAGTAGAATGAGATGCTATCGACCCTTCTAATCAAGAATAGAGCAATTGCTTTGCATGCAGTACATGGGGTACCATCTTATGAATAAGAGAGTGAGTGTTTATTGCTATTGAAATGCTGAACCAGCAATTTTGCAGTTATTCATAGTATTTGGTTTGGTTTGTTGTTTAATGCTGCACTCAGCAATATTGCAGCTATATGACGGCAGTCTGTAAATAATCGAGTCTGGACCAGACAATCCAGTGATTAATATCATGAGCATCGATCCACGCAATTGGGATAGATGACACGTATCAACCAAGTCAGCGAGTCTGACCACCCGATCCCGTTAGTCGCCTTTTACGGCAAGTATGAGTTGTTGAAGACCTATTCTATCCCGGAATCTTCACGGGTCTTATTCATAGTTGTGTGTGTTATTAAGCTGTCAAGGTCAAATGTCAAGACTTACTTGACTGGTTGTGCTATAACTCTTGCTCCCCTCTGCAACACACCTGGCTGGTCAAATGTCTAAAAAACACGAAGTCATAAATGTCAGTAAAGTAGGTCAGTGAAACCCATAGTCACATCGCTATATAAATGCAATGATCTTTGACGCAATGTTAAACCCCATTTCATCTCACCAAACTGAAACTCACAGTAATCCACAGTCAGTGCAACTCACAGTAATGTCAGTCATTGAAACTCACAGTAATGTCACAGTCAGTGAGACTCACAGTAATGTCACAGTCAGTGAGACTCACAGTAATGTCACAGTCAGTGAAACTCACAGTAATGTCACAGTCAGTGAAACCCATAGTCACATCGCTATATAAATGCAATGATCTTTGATGCAATGTTAAACCCCATTTCACCTCACCAAACTGAAACTCACAGTAATCCACAGTCAGTGCAACTCACAGTAATGTCAGTCATTGAAACTCACAGTAATGTCACAGTCAGTGAGACTCACAGTAATGTCACAGTCAGTGAAACTCACAGTAATGTCACAGTCAGTGAAACTCACAGTAATGTCACAGTCAGTGAGACTCACAGTAATGTCACAGTCAGTGAGACTCACAGTAATGTCACAGTCAGTGAAACTCACAGTAATGTCACAGTCAGTGAAACTCACAGTAATGTCACAGTCAGTGAAACTCACAGTAATGTCACAGTCAGTGAGACTCACAGTAATGTCACAGTCAGTGAAACTCACAGTAATGTCACAGTCAGTGAGACTCACAGTAATGTCACAGTCAGTGAAACTCACAGTAATGTCACAGTCAGTGAAACCCATAGTCACATCGCTATATAAATGCAATGATCTTTGATGCAATGTTAAACCCCATTTCACCTCACCAAACTGAAACTCACAGTAATCCACAGTCAGTGCAACTCACAGTAATGTCAGTCATTGAAACTCACAGTAATGTCACAGTCAGTGAGACTCACAGTAATGTCACAGTCAGTGAAACTCACAGTAATGTCACAGTCAGTGAAACTCACAGTAATGTCACAGTCAGTGAGACTCACAGTAATGTCACAGTCAGTGAGACTCACAGTAATGTCACAGTCAGTGAAACTCACAGTAATGTCACAGTCAGTGAAACTCACAGTAATGTCACAGTCAGTGAAACTCACAGTAATGTCACAGTCAGTGAGACTCACAGTAATGTCACAGTCAGTGAGACTCACAGTAATGTCACAGTCAGTGAGACTCACAGTAATGTCACAGTCAGTGAGACTCACAGTAATGTCACAGTCAGTGAAAACTCACAGTAATGTCACAGTCAGTGAAACTCACAGTAATGTCACAGTCAGTGAGACTCACAGTAATGTCAGTCATTGAAACTCACAGTAATGTCACAGTCAGTGAGACTCACAGTAATGTCACAGTCAGTGAAACTCACAGTAATGTCACAGTCAGTGAAACTCACAGTAATGTCACAGTCAGTGAGACTCACATTAATATCAGTCAGTGAAACTCACAGTAATATCAGTCAGTGAAACTCACAGTAATGTCACAGTCAGTGAGACTCACAGTAATGTCACAGTCAGTGAAACTCACAGTAATGTCACAGTCAGTGAAACTCACAGTAATATCAGTCAGTAAATATTCACAGTAATGTCAGTCAGTGAAACACATGGTCATTGAAACTGAGTGACAGTCTATACTTTTAAGTGATAACGGATCCTTGTTTACCGGGCGGCGAGGGTGGTAGAGCATGACGTCAGGTGCCCTGGAGTCGTCAACGTGAGGCAGCAAGCAGCTGTAGTTACCTCCCCTTAGGTAGTATCGGTCCAGCAGACTTCCGTTAATGCTGACGTGGAGCTCGTACATGTCCTGGATTGAAACATCATCATTTTACAAAGTACCACAATTATCCACTGAGAAGCTCATTATCAGGCCGATAAGACTATTTTTTCCTACAGATTCTGTCCATTCAGAGGGTCTGGGATGCATGACAAGTATTTTTCGTCCTGTGTATTTGGTCTGAGTATGGGTCTGAAGGCTGGTGACTGCGATCGACTATACTTGGCATATATGCAGTGTAAGTTCTTTACCAGCATGAACTGAAATAAATAAATGTGCGCACATAGTATTTTAAGCGCTACTGACCTAGTTCAAGATGCATACATTGCTAGATATAGCCGCTCGGAGTCCCCGGACTCCCAACCCTTACCCAGATTGTTATTATGTGATCAAAACTCAAGGATGATGTTTATTGCTAGCAAAATTGACTTTTCTTGAAAAGCGCACTTTTGTTTCAAAAGTTAGTAATATTACCTAGTGCTGGAATGGCTTGTCTTCATTTCTAAGTTTTAGAACACATGTAGCTATCTCTGTTAAGTAATAATCGAGATATTACGTGATGAACTTTCAAGTGTCAAGGACTCTAGTTAATCAGCCATGAACATTTCTATAAAACTTTGTTGTTAGGCCTCACAACATGCATTAAGGTTTTCGGGCAGAAGAATAGTATTTCATTGTCACCATCTTGTGTGGTTTGGCTTGAGCCGCTCTCGTCAAGTTGACAATGGCTGATGACTTGCTCTCTTCGATCTTGACCTTCAGCCTACAAGACAGGTTGTTGTCATAATATAATATCAACTGTGAAGTGTAACCCTGAAATAGAGTGAATTTGTGAATGATCTCGAGTATTTGTATTAATTGATTTGACCTACATTTAAATATATCCACATTTATCAGAGATGGTGCCAAAGAACTCACAAAAAAACATGTTCACTCTCATTTGTCCATGGACACTCTCTGAGAAACATATATACTCTCATTTGTCCATGGACACTCTCTGAGAAACATATATACTCACAATTGTCCATGATAACTCTCTGAGATACATATATACTCACAAGTGTCCATGATAACTCTCTGAGATACATATATACTCACAAGTGTCCATGATAACTCTCTGAGATACATATATACTCACAAGTGTCCATGATAACTCTCTGAGATATATATATACTCACAATTGTCCATGATAACTCTCTGAGATACATATATACTCACAAGTGTCCATGATAACTCTCTGAGATACATATATACTCACAATTGTCCATGATAACTCTCTGAGAAACATATATACTCACAAGTGTCCATGATAACTCTCTGAGAAACATATATACTCACAAGTGTCCATGATAACTCTCTGAGAAACATATATACTCACAATTGTCCATGGACACTCTCTGAGATACATATATACTCACAAGTGTCCATGATAACTCTCTGAGAAACATATATACTCACAATTGTCCATGATAACTCTCTGAGAAACATATATACTCACAAGTGTCCATGATAACTCTCTGAGATACATATATACTCACAAGTGTCCATGATAACTCTCTGAGATACATATATACTCACAAGTGTCCATGATAACTCTCTGAGAAACATATCTACTCACAAGTGTCCATGATAACTCTCTGAGATACATATATACTCACAAGTGTCCATGATAACTCTCTGAGATACATATATACTCACAATTGTCCATGATAACTCTCTGAGATACATATATACTCACAATTGTCCATGATAACTCTCTGAGAAACATATATACTCACAAGTGTCCATGATAACTCTCTGAGAAACATATATACTCACAATTGTCCATGATAACTCTCTGAGAAACATATATACTCACAAGTGTCCATGATAACTCTCTGAGATACATATCTACTCACAAGTGTCCATGATAACTCTCTGAGATACATATATACTCACAAGTGTCCATGATAACTCTCTGAGATACATATCTACTCACAAGTGTCCATGATAACTCTCTGAGATACATATATACTCACAAGTGTCCATGATAACTCTCTGAGGTCAAGGTAGAGAGATATTTCTTTATTTCTGTTGCTGTATACTTCTTCCCCGAGTCCAAAGTAAACCAGATGACTTCCATGCTGGTCACTTTACCTGCAACATCAACACAGCACCACTCAGTACATCATCTCTCTCTCCCACCACTGGGGAGTCAATAGGAGGACGGAGGCAAGACAGTGGGAAGACAGTGGGGGAGACAGTGGGGAAGACAGTGGGAAGACAGTGGGGGAGACAAAAGGGAGACAATAGGGAGACAGTGGGAAGACAGTGGGGAGATAGTGGGGGAGACAGTGGGAAGACAGTGGGAGAAGACAGTGGGAGAAGACAGTGGGAAGACAGTGGGAGGAGACAATGGGGGAGACAGTGGGAGGAGACAATAGGAAGACAGTGGGAGGACAGTGGGAGGAGACAATGGGGGAGACAGTGGGAGGAGACAATGGGGGAGACAGTGGGAGAAGACAGTGGGGGAGACAGTGGGAAGACAGTTGGAGGAGACAATGGGGGTGACAGTGGGAGGAGACAATAGGAAGACAGTGGTAAAACAGTGGGGTAGACAGTGGGAGGAGTGGGGAAATAGTGGGGAGACAATAGGGAGACAGTGGGAGGAGACAATGGGGGAGACAGTGGAGAAGACAGGGGGAGGAGACAATAGGAAGACAGTGGGAAGAGACAATAGGAAGACAGTGGGAAGACAGTGGGAGGAGACAATAGGGAGACAATGGGGGAGACAGTGGGAGGATAGTGGGGAGACAATAGGGAGACAATGGGGGGGACAGTGGGAGGACAAAGTGGAAGGAGATTGGGAAGAAACAGTGGGAGGACAGTGGGGAGACAATAGGGAGACAGTGGGAGGAGACAATGGGGGAGACAGTGGAAAGACAAAGTGGAAGGAGATTGGGAAGAGACAGTGGGAGGAGACAATGGGGGAGACAGTCGGAGGACAGTGGGGGGACAATAGGGAGACAGTGGAAGGAGACAATGGGGAGACAATGGGGGAGACAGTGGAAGGACACAGTGGAAGGAGATTGGGAAGAGACAGTGGGAGGAGACAATGGGGGAGACAGTCGGAGGACAGTGGGGGGACAATAGGGAGACAGTGGGAGGAGACAATGGGAGGAGACAATAGGGAGACAATGGGGGAGACAGTGGGAGGATAGTGGGGAGACAATAGGGAGACAAGGGGGGGGACAGTGGGAGGACAAAGTGGAAGGAGATTGGGAAGAAACAGTGGGAGGACAGTGGGGAGACAGTGGGATGAGACAATGGGGAGACAATGGGGGAGACAGTGGAAGGACACAGTGGAAGGAGATTGGGAAGAGACAGTGGGAGGAGACAATGGGGGAGACAGTGGAGAAGACAGGGGGAGGAGACAATAGGAAGACAGTGGGAAGAGACAATAGGAAGACAGTGGGAGAAGACAGTGGGAGGAGACAATGGGGGAGACAGTGGGAGGAGACAATAGGAAGACAGTGGGAAGACAGTGGGAGGAGACAATAGGGAGACAATGGGGGAGACAGTGGGAGGATAGTGGGGAGACAATAGGGAGACAATGGGGGGGACAGTGGGAGGACAAAGTGGAAGGAGATTGGGAAGAAACAGTGGGAGGACAGTGGGGAGACAATAGGGAGACAGTGGGAGGAGACAATGGGGGAGACAGTGGAAAGACAAAGTGGAAGGAGATTGGGAAGAGACAGTGGGAGGAGACAATGGGGGAGACAGTCGGAGGACAGTGGGGGGACAATAGGGAGACAGTGGAAGGAGACAATGGGGAGACAATGGGGGAGACAGTGGAAGGACACAGTGGAAGGAGATTGGGAAGAGACAGTGGGAGGAGACAATGGGGGAGACAGTCGGAGGACAGTGGGGGGACAATAGGGAGACAGTGGGAGGAGACAATGGGAGGAGACAATAGGGAGACAATGGGGGAGACAGTGGGAGGACACAGTGGAAGGAGATTGGGAAGAGACAGTGGGAGGAGACAATGGGGGAGACAGTCGGAGGACAGTGGGGGACAATAGGGAGACAGTGGGAGGAGACAATGGGGGAGACAGTGGAAAGACAAAGTGGAAGGAGATTGGGAAGAGACAGTCGGAGGACAGTGGGGGGACAATAGGGAGACAGTGGGAGGACAGTGGGGAGACAATAGGGAGACAATGGGGGAGACAGTGGAAGGACACAGTGGAAGGAGATTGGGAAGAGACAGTGGGAGGAGACAATGGGGGAGACAGTCGGAGGACAGTGGGGGGACAATAGGGAGACAGTTGGAGGAGACAATGGGGGAGACAGTGGAAAGACAAAGTGAAAGGAGATTGGGAAGAGACAGTCGGAGGACAGTGGGGGGACAATAGGGAGACAGTGGGAGGACAGTGGGATGACAATAGGGAGACAATGGGGGAGACAGTGGAAGGACACAGTGGAAGGAGATTGGGAAGAGACAGTGGGAGGAGACAATGGGGGAGACAGTGGGAGGACAGTGGGGGGACAATAGGGAGACAGTGGGAGGACAGTGGGGAGACAATAGGGAGACAATGGGGGAGACAGTGGAAGGACACAGTGGAAGGAGATTGGGAAGAGACAGTGGGAGGAGACAATGGGGGAGACAGTCGGAGGACAGTGGGGGGACAATAGGGAGACAGTGGGAGGAGACAATGGGGAGACAATGGGGGAGACAGTGGAAGGACACAGTGGAAGGAGATTGGGAAGAGACAGTGGGAGGAGACAATGGGGGAGACAGTCGGAGGACAGGCGGGGGACAATAGGGAGACAGTGGGAGGAGACAATGGGGGAGACAGTGGAAAGACAAAGTGGAAGGAGATTGGGAAGAGACAGTCGGAGGACAGTGGGGGGACAATAGGGAGACAGTGGGAGGACAATGGGGAGACAATAGGGAGACAATGGGGGAGACAGTGGAAGGACACAGTGGAAGGAGATTGGGAAGAGACAGTGGGAGGAGACAATGGGGGAGACAGTCGGAGGACAGTGGGGGGACAATAGGGAGACAGTGGGAGGAGACAATGGGGGAGACAGTGGAAAGACAAAGTGGAAGGAGATTGGGAAGAGACAGTCGGAGGACAGTGGGGGGACAATAGGGAGACAGTGGGAGGACAGTGGGGAGACAATAGGGAGACAATGGGGGAGACAGTGGAAGGACACAGTGGAAGGAGATTGGGAAGAATCAGTGGGAGGAGACAATGGGGGAGACAGTCGGAGGACAGTGGGGGGACAATAGGGAGACAGTGGGAGGAGACAATGGGGGAGACAGTGGAAAGACAGAGTGGAAGGAGATTGGGAAGAGACAGTCGGAGGACAGTGGGGGGACAATAGGGAGATAGTGGGAGGACAGTGGGGAGACAATAGGGAGACAATGGGGGAGACAGTGGAAGGACACAGTGGAAGGAGATTGGGAAGAGACAGTGGGAGGAGACAATGGGGGAGACAGTCGGAGGACAGTGGGGGGACAATAGGGAGACAGTGGGAGGAGACAATGGGGGAGACAGTGGAAAGACAAAGTGGAAGGAGATTGGGAAGAGACAGTCGGAGGACAGTGGGGGGACAATAGGGAGACAGTGGGAGGACAGTGGGGAGACAATAGGGAGACAATGGGGGACACAGTGGAAGGAGATTGGGAAGAGACAGTGGGAGGACAGTGGGGAGACAATAGGGAGACAGTGGGAGGAGACAATGGGGGAGACAGTGGGAGGACACAGTGGAAGGAGATTGGGAAGAGACAGTGGGAGGAGACAATGGGGGGGACTTTCGGGGAGACAGTGGGAGGAGACAATAGGGAGACAATGGGGGAGACAGTCGGAGGACAGTGGGGGGACAATAGGGAGACAATGGGAGGAGAGTGGCAGGAGACAATTGGAGGAGACAGTGGTAAGACAGTGGGAGGGGAGTTTTGGGAGACAGTGGGAAGAGACAATGGTGAGACAGTGGGAGGGGAGTTTGGGAGACAGTGGGAGGAGACAATGGTGAGACAGTGGGAGGGGAGTTGGGGAGACAGTGGGAGGAGACAATGGTGAGCCAGTGGGAGGGGAGTTTGGGAGACAGTGGGAGGAGACAATGGTGAGACATTGGGAGGGGAGTTTGGGAGACAGTGGGAGGAGACAATGGTGAGACAGTGGGAGGGGAGTTGGGGAGACAGTGGGAGGAGACAATGGTGAGACAGTGGGAGGGGAGTTGGGGAGACAGTGGGAGGAGACAATGGTGAGACAGTGGAGGGGAGTTGGGGAGACAGTGGGAGGAGACAATGGGGGAGACAGTGGGAGGACAGTGGGGGGACAATAGGGAGACAGTGGGGAGACAATAGGGAGACAATGGTAGAGACAGTGGAAAGACACAGTGGAAGGAGATTGGGAAGAGACAGTGGGAGGAGACAATGGGAGGAGACTTTCGGGGAGACAGTGGGAGGAAACAATAGGGAGACAGTGGGAGGAGACAGTGGGAGGAGAGTGGCAGGAGACAGTTGGAGGAGACAGTGGTAAGACAGTGGGAGGGGAGTTTGGGAGACAGTGGGAGGAGACAATGGTGAGACAGTGGGAGGGGAGTTTGGGAGACAGTGGGAGGAGACAATGGTGAGACAGTGGGAAGGGAGTTGGGGAGACAGTGGGAGGAGAGAATGGTGAGACAGTGGGAGGGGAGTTGGGGAGACAGTGGGAGGAGACAATGGTGAGACAGTGGGAGGGGAGTTGGGGTGACAGTGGGAGGACACAGTGGTGAGACAGTGGGAGGGGAGTTGGGGAGACAGTGGGAGGAGACAATGGTGAGACAGTGGGAGGAGACAGTGGAAGGAGACAATGGGGGAGACAGTGGGAGGAGACAATAGGGAGATATTGGGGAGACAGTGAGAAGACAGTGGGGTAGACAGGGGGAGGAGAGTGGGGAGACAGTGGGAGGAGACAATGGTGAGACAGTGGGAGGAGAGTGGCGGGACAGTGGGAGGAGTCAATGGTGAGACAGTGGGATGGGAGTTTGGGAGACAGTAGGAGGAGACAATGGTGAGACAATGGTGAGACAGTAGGAGGGGAGTTGGGGAGACAGTGGGAGGAGACAGTGGGAGGAGACAATGGGGGAGACAGTGGGGGGAGACAGTGGGAGGAGACAATGGGGGGAGACAGTGGGGGGAGACAGTTGGAGGAGACAGTGGGGAGACAATGGGGGAGACAGTGGGAGGAGACAATGGGGGAGACAGTGGGGGGAGACAGTTGGAGGAGACAGTGGGGAGACAATGGGGGAGACAGTGGGAGGACAGTGGGGAGACAATGGGGGAGACAGTGGGAGGAGACAATTGGGGAGACAGTGGGGGGAGACAGTGGGAGGAGAGTGGCAGGAGACAGTGTGAGGAGACAATGGGGGAGACAGTGGAAGGAGACAATGGGGAGACAATGGGGGAGACAGTGGGAGGAGACAATGGGGGAGACAGTGGGGAGACAATGAGGAGACAATGGGAATACAATGGGGGAGACAGTGGGAGGAGAGTGGCAGGAGACAGTGTGAGGAGACAATGGGGGAGACAGTGGAATGAGACAATTGGGAGACAATGGGGGAGACAGTGGGAGGAGACAATGGGGGAGACAGTGGGGAGACAATGGGGGAGACAGTGGGAGGAGACAATGGGGGAGACAGTGGGAGGAGACAATTGGGGAGACAGTGGGGGGAGACAGCGGGAGGAGAGTGGCAGGAGACAGTGTGAGGAGACAATGGGGGAGACAGTGGGGAGACAATGGGAATACAATGGGGGAGACAGTGGGAGGAGAGTGGCAGGAGACAGTGTGAGGAGACAATGGGGGAGACAGTGGAAGGAGACAATGGGGAGACAATGGGGGAGACAGTGGGAGGAGACAATGGGGGAGACAGTGGGGAGACAATGAGGAGACAATGGGGGAGACAGTGGGAGGAGACAGTGGGAGGAGACAGTGGGAGGAGAGTGGCAGGAGACAGTGGGGAGACAATGGGGAGACAATGGGGGAGACAGTGGGAGGAGAGTGGGAGGAGACACTGGGAGGAGACAATGGTGACAGTGGTAGGAGACAGCAGTGTTTGTCTACATACTGAAGCTGCCAGAAGCGCCAGCGCTGATCCTGATAGGCTTGGTCTTGTCAGGCTCCAGTTGATTGATAAACTCCATGGACATTGGCTCAGTGGTGATCTTAACACAAAAACATTACAGGGACATCAAGTATCTGAACACAGATGTAACACACAAGGAATGTTGTCACAGCAATATTGTGTAGCTGAAACTATGCAAGATTTAACTCTGCATGTTAACATCAACAGTTGTGGCTCACCACATATCCTAAGAGGTCATTGCTGTCAGTGACAACTCACCACATATCCTAAGAGGTCATTGCTGTCAAAGACAACTCACCACATATCCTATGAGGTCATTGCTGTCAAAGACAACTCACCACACATCCTATGAGGTCAATTCTGTCAGTGACAACCACACATATCCTATGAGGTCATTGCTGTCAGTGACAACTCGCAATATATCATATGAGGTCATTTCTGTCAGTGACAACTCACCATGTATCCTATGAGGTCATTACTGTCAAGGCAACTCACCTGGTATCCTATGAGGTAATTACTGTCAGTGAGAACTCACCATGAATGCTATGAGGTCATTACTGTCAAGGCAACTCACCTGGTATCCTATGAGGTCATTGCTGTCAGTGACAACTCACCACATATCCTATGAGGCCATTACTGTCAAGGCAACTCACCACGTATCCTATGAGTCATTGCTGTCAGTGACAACTCACCACATATCCCATGAGGCCATTGCTGTCAAAGACAACTCACCAAGTATCCTATGAGGTCATTGCTGTCAGTGACAACTCGCAAAACATCCTAAGAGGTCATTGCTGTCAGTGACAACTCACCACATATCCTATGAGGTCATTGCTGTCAGTGACAACTCACCACATATCCTAAGAGGTCATTGCTGTCAGTGACAACTCACCACATATCCTAAGAGGTCATTGCTGTCAGTGACAACTCACCACATATCCTATGAGGTCATTGCTGTCAGTGACAACTCGCAAAATATCATATGAGGTCATTGCTGTCAGTGACAACTCACCATGTATCCTATGAGGTCATTTCTGTCAAGGCAACTCACCTGGTATCCTATGAGGTCATTACTGTCAGTGAGAACTCACCATGAATGCTATGAGGTCATTACTGTCAAGGCAACTCACCTGGTATCCTATGAGGTCATTGCTGTCAGTGACAACTTGCAAAATATCATATGAGGTCATTGCTGTCAGTGACAACTCACCACATATCCTATGAGGCCATTACTGTCAAGGCGACTCACCACGTATCCTATGAGTCATTACTGTCAGTGACAACTCACCACATATCCCATGAGGCCATTGCTGTCAAAGACAACTCGCCACGTATCCTAAGAGGTCATTGCTGTCAGTGACAACTCGCAAAACATCCTAAGAGGTCATTGCTGTCAGTGACAACTCACCACATATCCTAAGAGGTCATTGCTGTCAGTGACAACTCGCAAAATATCATATGAGGTCATTGCTGTCAGTGACATCTCACCACGTATCCTATGAGGTCATTGCTGTCAGTGACAACTCACCACATATCCTAAGAGGTCATTGCTGTCAGTGACAACTCGCAAAATATCATATGAGGTCATTGCTGTCAGTGACATCTCACCACGTATCCTATGAGTCATTACTGTCAGTGACAACTCACCATGTATCCTATGAGGCCATTACTGTCAAGGCAACTCACCACGTATCCTATGAGGTCATTGCTGTCAGTGACAACTCACCTCATATCCTATGAGTCATTGCTGTCAGTGACAACTCACCGCATATCCTGTAAGGTCATTACTGTCAAGGCAACTCACCACGTATCCTATGAGGTCATTGCTGTCAGTGACAACTCACCACGTATCCTATGAGTCATTACTGTCAAAGACAACTCACCACATATCCGGGGGCGGTCGGGTAGCCAAGTGGTTAAAGCGTTCCCTCGTCACGCCGAAGACCTGGGTTCGATTCCTGACAGGGGTACAATGTGTGAAGCCCATTTCTGGTGACCCCCGCCGTGATATTGCTGGAATATTGCTAAAAGCGGCGTAAAACCATACTCACTCACTCACTCACCACATATCCTATGAGGCCATTAATGTCAAGGCAACTCACCACGTATCCTATGAGGTCATTGCTGTCAGTGACAACTCACCACATATCCTATGAGGTCATTTCTGCCAAACACAACTCACCACATATCCTATGAGGTCATTGCTGTCAGTGACAACTCACCACATATCCTATGAGGTCATTACTGTCAAAGACAACTCACCACATATCCTATGAGGTCATTACTGCCAAACACAACTCACCACATATCCTATGAGGTCATTGCTGTCAGTGACATTTCAGCACATATCCTATGAGGTCATTACTGTCAAAGACAACTCACCACATATCCTATGAGGTCATTACTGCCAAACACAACTTACCACGTATCCTATGAGGTCATTGCTGTCAAAGACAACTCACCACATATCCTATGAGGTCATTACTGCCAACACAACTCACCACATATCCTATGAGGTCATTGCTGTCAGTGACAACTCAGCACATATCCTATGAGGTCATTACTGTCAAAGACAACTCACCACATATCCTATGAGGTCATTACTGCCAAACACAACTCACCACGTATCCTATGAGGTCATTGCTGTCAAAGACAACTCACCACATATCCTATGAGGTCATTACTGTCAAAGACAACTCACCACATATCCTATGAGGTCATTACTGCCAAACACAACTCACCACGTATCCTATGAGGTCATTGCTGGGGTTGTGCAGGATGATCCAGCCTCCAAACATGTTTGTCTGTGTCTTCTGGATGCACAGCCTGTGACCTGGACTGACAGACAGATGTACAGGGTAAATATGGTTGTTTGTTGGACACACAGATGTACAGGGTAAATATTGTTGTTTGTTGGACACACAGACAGATGTACAGGGTAAATAAGGTTGTTTGTTGGACACACAGACAGATGGACACAAGTTGCCTACCTGATTCACATGTTGCCTACCTGATCCACATGTTGCCTCCTGATCCACATGTTACCTACCTGATCCACAAGTTAACTACCTGATCCACAAGTTGCCTACCTGATCCACATGTTGCCTACCTGATCCACATGTTACCTACCTGATCCACAAGTTGCCTACCTGATCCACAAGTTGCCTACCTGATCCACAAGTTGCCATACTTATATGTATCAAAGGCCTGGGAGTCGGTGGTGGGGGTCTGCAACAGGAAGGTGATGGATGAGTGTGTCAGTCAGACAGATGTGTGAGGCCAACAAGACGACTACATTGTCACACAGGCTCACAACCAAAAATGATCACCATGATAAAGACAAACCCCATCACTACTGACATCACCATGCTAAAGACCGACCCCATCACTATTGACATCACCATGATAAAGAGTGCCCCATCACTATTGACATCACCATGATAAAGACCGACACCATCACTATTGACATCACCATGATAAAGACCGATCCCATCACTACTGACATCACCATGATAAAGACCGACCCCATCACTATTGACATCACCATGCTAAAGACCGACCCTATCACTATTGACATCACCATGATAAAGAGTGCCCCATCACTACTGACATCACCATGATAAAGAGTGCCCCATCACTATTGACATCACCATGATAAAGACCGACCCCATCACTACTGACATCACCATGATAAAGAGTGCCCCATCACTATTGACATCACCATGATAAAGACCGACCCCATCACTATTGACATCACCATGATAAAGAGTGCCCCATCACTACTGACATCACCATGATAAAGACCGACCCCATCAGTATTGACATTACCATGATAAGACCGACCCCATCACTACTGACATTACCATGATAAAGACCGACCCCATCACTACTGACATCACCATGATAAAGACCGACCCCATCACTACTGACATCACCATGATAATGAGTGCCCCATCACTACTGACATCACCATGATAAAGACCGACCCCATCACTACTGACAACACCATGATAAAGACCGACCCCATCACTACTGACATCAGCATGATAATGAGTGCCCCATCACTACTGACATCACCATGATAAAGACCGACCCCATCACTACTGACATCACCATGATAAAGACCGACCCCATCACTACTGACAACACCATGATAAAGACCGACCCCATCACTACTGACAACACCATGATAAAGACCGACCCCATCACTACTGACATCACCATGATAATGAGTGCCCCATCACTACTGACATCACCATGATAATGAGTGCCCCATCACTACTGACATCACCATGATAAAGACCGACCCCATCACTACTGACATCACCATGATAATGAGTGCCCCATCACTACTGACATCACCATGATAAAGACCGACCCCATCACTACTGACATCACCATGATAAAGACCGACCCCATCACTACTGACAACACCATGATAAAGACCGACCCCATCACTACTGACAACACCATGATAAAGACCGACCCCATCACTACTGACATCACCATGATAATGAGTGCCCCATCACTACTGACATCACCATGATAAAGACCGACCCCATCACTACTGACAACACCATGATAAAGACCGACCCCATCACTACTGACATCACCATGATAATGAGTGCCCCATCACTACTGACATCACCATGATAAAGAGTGCCCCATCACTACTGACATCACCATGATAAAGACCGACCCCATCACTACTGACATCACCATGATAAAGACCGACCCCATCACTACTGACATCACCATGATAAAGACCGACCCCATCACTACTGACATCACCATGATAATGAGTGCCCCATCACTACTGACATCACCATGATAAAGACCGACCCCATCACTATTCACATCACTAAGATAAAGAGTGTGCCATCACTATTCACATCACCACGAGAGGTACAGGTATCAGTGTTAGAAACAGCTGCCTGCCTGCTAGCCAAATGCCAGTGATCTTAATATTGGGAGGGGTAACATTTCAAGCTGGCCCAACTGTCAAGTTGAACATTCTGGTCAACATGTATTTATTCTTCGAATCATCAAGCCAGTTAATGCATCATTTATCAAAGTCTGTTAGCATTCTGTTTTCATTCTGTAGTTTATTTGAAGTGTTTTGGTATGGTAAATTATGAGTGCAATATTTTCTATTAACAAGTACATTGAAACAGGTGTATTTGTACAGGTGCATTTCCTATGAAGAACAGGTGTTTTACATCTATGTCAGCAATATTTTAGCAATATCATGGTGGGGGACACCAGAATTTGGCATCACTTTCCAATTGTGGAATTAAACCCATGCACTTGGAATGATGAGCAAATGCTTTAAGAGCTAGGTCTCCCCACCGCCCTTCAGCAAAAGGGATTGACCTTCTGCAATGGTGAACTTACTCCCCAGTGTCCGATAACTTACCTCCCCTTGTCTCAGCATCCAGGGGTCAAGGTCAAGCAGCTTGACCGCCTCACCCTCAGTTTTGAGAGCCACAACAGGCAGAAAGCCACCGGGTGGAACCTGGACCTGGTCAGTCTTGTGAACCTGCCAACAGGAAATAACATGACGTTACCTGGCAACAAAAAGTAACCTTATTGTATGCGGCGACAAAAAGAAACCTACTGTTACCTGGCGACAAGTGTCATGTTACCAAGTGACAAAAAAAATTGACGTTACCAATTGAATGTAGTAACCTGATGTTACCCAGCTACAACATTAACTTGATGTTACCAAGCAACATGGGTAAAAAATATGCTACATTGTGGTCAATTACTAAAGGTGACCGTGTGCTGTGCCCACCTGTTTGTTGTCTATACAGAAGGTGACTGTGTGCTGTACCCACCTGTTTGTTGTCTATACAGAAGGTGACTGTGTGCTGTACCCGCCTGTTTGTTGTGTATACAGGTGACCGTGTGCTGTACCCGCCTGTTTGTTGTCTATACAGAAGGTGACTGTGTGCTGTACCCACCTGTTTGTTGTCCTTACAGAAGGTGACCGTGTGCTGTACCCACCTGTTTGTTGTCTATACAGAAGTTGACTGTGTGCTGTACCCGCCTGTTTGTTGTCTATACAGAAGGTGACTGTGTGCTGTACCCACCTGTTTGTTGTCCTTACAGAAGGTGACCGTGTGCTGTACCCACATGTTTGTTGTCTATACAGAAGGTGACCGTGTGCTGTACCCACCTGTTTGTTGTCTATACAGAAGTTGACCGTGTGCTGTACCCACCTGTTTGTTGTCTATACAGAAGGTGACCGTGTGCTGTACCCACCTGTTTGTTGTCTATACAGAAGGTGACTAAGTGCTGTACCCACCTGTTTGTTGTCCTTACAGAAGGTGACCGTGTGCTGTACCCACCTGTTTGTTGTCTATACAGAAGGTGACTAAGTGCTGTACCCACCTGTTTGTTGTCCTTAAAGAAGGTGACCGTGTGCTGTACCCACCTGTTTGTTGTCTATATAGAAGGTGACCGTGTGCTGTACCCACCTGTTTGTTGTCCTTACAGAAGGTGACCGTGTGCTGTACCCACCTGTTTGTTGTCTATACAGAAGGTGACCGTGTGCTGTACCCGCCTGTTTGTTGTCTATACAGAAGGTGACTGTGTGCTGTACCCACCTGTTTGTTGTCTATACAGAAGGTGACTGTGTGCTGTACCCACCTGTTTGTTGTCTATACAGAAGGTGACTGTGTGCTGTGCCCACCTGTTTGTTGTCTATACAGAAGGTGACTGTGTGCTGTACCCACCTGTTTGTTGTCTATACAGAAGGTGACTGTGTGCTGTACCCACCTGTTTGTTGTCTATACAGGTGACTGTGTGCTGTACCCGCCTGTTTGTTGTCTATACAGAAGGTGACTGTGTGCTGTACCCACCTGTTTGTTGTCTATACAGAAGGTGACCGTGTGCTGTACCCACCTGTTTGTTGTCTATACAGAAGGTGACTGTGTGCTGTACCCACCTGTTTGTTGTCTATACAGAAGGTGACCGTGTGCTGTACCCACATGTTTGTTGTCTATACAGAAGGTGACTGTGTGCTGTACCCACATGTTTGTTGTCTATACAGAAGGTGACAGTGTGCTGTACCCACCTGTTTGTTGTCTATACAGAAGGTGACTGTGTGCTGTACCCACCTGTTTGTTGTCTATACAGAAGGTGACCACCTGCTCCTCTATGTCAAAGGAACAGGAAAGGGTCTGTCCCTCAAGAGCTTTGTCTGCTTTTATTTCCTTTTTTCCTGGACTTGACACACATACCCTGCGAACAATGGAAACCAAGAAACCTTTTAAACTATTGTCACCAGTGTTGCATTTATGAAACAACTTTGACCCATTTCTCCCTCTGCTTCCCCTATTTCGCTTGCCTTCCTCTATCCCACTTAACTCCCCTTCACCTCTTTCACCCTCACCCATCTGCCCATCACTCCTTTCCGCATCACCCTCTGCCATTATCCACCATTCCAGTTGTCATCCCTGCCAGTCTCAAATCTCCCTGTCACCCTACCCTATCCACTGTTCCCCCTCCCCTATCCCCCTATCCCGTTACCCACTGTCCCCCTCCCCTGTCACCCCACTCATCATCACCTCTCCCCCTCTCCCCCCTCCCCTGTTAGCCCTCCCACTGTCATCCTACCCCCTGTCACCCCACCCACTGTCACCCTACCCCCTTTCACCCATCCCACTGTCACCCCACCCACTGTCACCCTTCCCACTGTCACCCCATCCACTGTCACCCCTCCCACTGTCACCCTTCCTACTTCCACTCCACCCACTGTCACCCATCCCACTGTCACCCCACCCACTGTCCCCCTTCCCACTGTCCCCCTTCCCACTGTCACCCTACCCCCTGTCACGCCACCCATGGTCACCCAACCCACTGTCACCCTTCCCACTGTCACCCTACCCACTCTCACCCTAACCACTGTCACCCCACCCACTGTCACCCTACCCACTGTCACCCTAACCACTGTCAACCCACCCACTGTCACCCCACCCACTGTCAACCCACCCACTGTCAACCCACCCACTGTCACCCTACCCCGTCACTCCACCCCATCACCCTACCCCCTGTCACCCGACCCCCTGTCACCCTACCCCCCGTCACCCTACCCACTGTCACCCTACCCTCCTGTCACCCCACCCACTGTCACCCCACCCACTGTCACCCCACCCACAATCACCTCACCCACTGTCACCCTACCCACTGTCACTCCACCCCCTGTCACCCGACCCCCTGTCACCCCACCCACTGTCACCCCACCCACTGTCACCCCACCCACAATCACCCCACCCACTGTCACCCTACCCACTGTCACTCCACCCCCTGTCACCCTACCCTCCTGTCACCCCACCCACGGTCACCCCACCCACTGTCACCCCACCCACGGTCACCCCACCCACTGTCACCCTACCCACTGTCACTCCACCCCCTGTCACCCTACCCCCTGTCACCCTACCCACTGTCACCCTACCATCCTGTCACCCCACCCACTGTCACCCCCCCCACGGTCACCCTTCCCACTGTCACCCTACCCACTGTCACTCCACCCACTGTCCCCCTTCCCACTGTCACTCCACCCACTGTCACCCTTCCCACTGTCACCCTACCCCCTGTCACCCCACCAACTGTCACCCTTCCCACTGTCACTCCACCCACTGTCACCCTACCCACTGTCACCCTTCCCACTGTCACTCCACCCACTGTCACCCTTCCCACTGTCACTCCACCCACTGTCACCCTTCCCACTGTCACCCCACCCACTGTCACCCCACCCACTGTCACCCTTCCCACTGTCACCCTTCCCACTGTCACCCCACCCACTGTCACCCCACCCACTGTCACCCTTCCAACTGTCACCCCACCCACTGTCACCCTACCCACTGTCACTCCGCCCACTGTCACCCCACCCACTGTCACCCTTCCCACTGTCACTCCACCCACTGTCACCCTTCCCACTGTTACCCCACCCACTGTCACCCTACCCCGTCACTCCACCCACTGTCACCCTACCCCATCACCCAACCCACTGTCACCCTACCCACTGTCACTCCGCCCACTGTCACCCCACCCACTGTCACCCTTCCCACTGTCACCCCACCCACTGTCACCCCACCCACTGTCATCCTTCCCAGTGTGACTCCACCCACTGTCACCCTACCGCATCACCCTTCCCACTGTCATCCTACCCCATCACCCCACCCATTGTCACCCATCCCACTGTCACCCTACCCCTATCACCCCACCCCTGTCACCCCACCCCCTGTTCCCCCTTCACCGGTCCCACCAGAGATGCAACACAGGAGGTTGACTCACAGTCCTTCAGCAGAGTAGGCTGCCGACACGGCCTCCATGCCAGGCATCACGGTTTTCTTGTAGTACTTCCCAACAAGGCCAATGGATATGCTGCATTTCTTACCAGGATTCAGAATTCCTGCCATTGAATGTAACATGAGAAATAGTGGTAAATGATTGAAATGAACCATGTGCAAGAGAAAAGTAAAAAATTTATACAACATGTCCTTGTCAATAATCAATTTCTATTGACCATAGGCTATATATGGTCAATGTGTTACAGTAAAGATCTATCCCATGTTTTATTGTATTTGAGAACTTACTTATAGAGAAGGAATTACAGTCCAGGCTGAGAGGTTTGGAGGAAACAAACTGTCCCACTTTTCCATTAGAGCTGTCATAGCTGAAGCAGAAACATACAGCTTTCTTAAATATACAAGATTTGTTTGGTGATTAGTTAGCAAATAGTTTGACCTCGAATAATTAATGGTGCCGCAAGGCGGTGGAGATTCCCTACCAAACTACTCCTGTGTCGTGGCAGACACGCACACCGTGGCAGGTCAGTGCATGGTAGACCGGATGGATGTCCAAGATGGCCTCCTCATCCTGCCCCTCTTCCTGCTGCTGAGACTCGTGCTTCTGGAACAGGAGCATCAAAATCATGATGTCACCTGCTCTCTCTAACATTGGAATCATAATATCTACTTAACAACTGACTCCAACATTGGAATAACAAATATCTACTGGACAACTGACTCCAACATTGGAATAATAATATCTACTGGGCAACTGATTCAAACATTGGAATTATTATATCTATTTGACAACTGACTCCAATATTAGAATTAAAATATCTACTGGACAACTGGCTCAAACATTAGAATTATAATATCTACTGGACAACTGGCTCAAACATTAGAATTATAATATCTACATGACAACTTAATCTAACATTGGAATTATAATATTTACTGGACAACTGAATCCAATATTAGAATTAGAATTTCTCCTGGACAATCGGTTGAAACATTAGAAATATTATATATACTGGACAACTGACTCCAAAAACAGAAGTTTAACATCTTCTGGACAACTGATTGCAACAACAGAATTATAAAAACTACTGGACAACTGACTCCGACAATAGAATTCTAAGATCTTCTGGACAACTGACTCCAACACAACCACATCTACCTGCAGTACAACAACGACTCTTCAATACATTACCTGAATGTGATGCAATGAGATTTTCACTCGGTCTCCCACCAGCACCTGATGGGTCTTGACGTTTTTTTTGTTGCGGGCAATGTCGTTCCACTTGGTCATGTGTGCCGCGCCGGGCAACACCTGGATCAAATCCTCAGAGGAATCTCCATGTCTGCAATAGTCAGGAGGAATTGTGCAAATAGAAATGATTTCACAAGGTTAGCAATTAAATCGAACAGACAGGAATATGTTTGTTGCCGTTGTAAAGTAATGAGAACTATGTGACTAAATCATTCCCCATGGCCATAGTGTTTCTAAGACTTACATAAAAGTACTTCAGAGCTCTGAGTTCTGCAGAAAATTCTTTTTTAGAAATAGTTTACAATACTTTAGGCAAAGTAAGTGTATGCAAATAAAATAAACATAAATAGGTAAAAACTTAAATGTTTCTTTCACATTGTACTTATGATTCTCAGAATCTATTTAAACCGGAGGACTCAGTAACATAGATCAGCGTCAAGCCAAACCCAGCAGGCACATGCCGTTGTTTCAGTGTTTAAATTTGATTGATCTGAGGTAGTTATGTTGAAGAACATCCTGTCATCAATATTTCTTGACTCTCCAGATAGCTGACAAGACATGAAGAGCAGTCTGGTGAATCAAGGGAGATAATGCAGTTGGTTGGTTGGTTGGTTTGTTGTTTAATGCCATGCTCAGCAATATCCCAGCTATATATGACAGCGGTCTGTACATAATCGAGTCTGGACCACAAAATCCAGTGATTAATATCATGAGCATCGAACCAATCAATTAGGATCGATGACAAGCATCAACCAAGTCAGAGAGCCTGACCATCCGATCCCGTTAGTTGCCTTTTACGACAAGCATAGTCACCTTTTACGGCAAGCATGGGTTGCTGAAGACCTATTCTATCCCGGAATCTTCACGGGTCAGATAATGCGGCCCTTGTGCTGTCAACGCCATGTAGTGGGAAGATACAGTCTTCATTCAGTGAGTTAAGAACTGACATTGGACACTCGACACCAGGAGACCGTCCGAGGAACTTGCAATAAGACTAAATTGTGCCAAATCGTCATGGTGCCAAAAATGATTTACCCTTAATATGATTGTACGATGGATTGCACTTACTAAACTGAGGGACACTTTGGCTTGATATTTTACATTGAATCTTTCCATGTTTAGGCGTTCCTCTAAGGTTGTAATTTCTTTTTTAAGAGGGACTAAAACACTGTCTCTTGTTCAGACACCGTTTGCCTTGTGCTTTGTTTGGTGATGCTCCAAACTGGTTGGCTTTACTGGTTCAGAGATTGACGAGATCTCCAGATTTTGCTATAACTGAAACTACTAAGGGCTGGTAACTCTGTCCAGCGGATGGAGATAACCCGGGTTCTGACAGACTAATAGTGACATCAGACGCTCTTGAAATGCAGCATTTCACCCTAAATAAACCATGATACACTTTAAACATAATATTCATGAACCCTTGACCTTGAGTCTGGGACCAGTGCCATAGCCAGCGGGGAAGGGGGGGGTCCTGGATTTTTTTTATAGAAAATAGTTTTATTTGAATCATGAAAATACAAGTTGGGAACAAGTGATACTTGTACAAATATTTGCCCCCATTGTCAAAAAAAAGTTAACTACGGCCTTGGGGAGTCCATTGACCTGATTATAGAATGCAAAAGAGATGTATGTATCAACGCAGCCAATATTCAACCAATATCAAACCAAATTTTAACACTGATATCTGATGTTGAGTGAATGCCGATAAAACAACAAATCAATGTGATTTTAAGGTTGAAGCATGACATTGTTTCAACATTGAGATCTGATGTTGATCTAACTTCGATTACATCTTTCATTATTGTGCCTGGTGACTTACTTCTTGAGACATATTGCGTGATTGACTCCATTGAAGTTGATGAATTCCACCTCATTGAAAGCTACTCCATCCAGAGCCACATGACATGGAGCTTCAACATCGTCCACCAACGACGACGTCTCGCAACATGGGCGTAGTGAGGAGCGTAGTGCCTGTGGGGGACACAGTTAACAGAGTCTCAGAGTGGTGCTGATCAATTAATGAACTCACTGTACATAATGGTGTTTTAGACCTGCAATAGGTGATGAATTGATGAACTCTCTGTACACAATTGTGTTTTAGACCTGCAATAGATGATGAATTGATGAACTCTCTGTACACGATTGTGTTTTAGACCTGCAATAGATGATGAATTGATGAACTCTCTGTACACAATAATGTTTCAGACCTGCAATAGATGATGAATTGATGAACTCTCTGTACACGATTGTGTTCCAGCGAACCCCTTCTTCCATTTGAATCTGACTTACCCACAGATGCTGGGCGCACCTCCTACAGATACCACAAGACTTGCAGCCAGTCACTTTAGTCCCGCACTCACACTGCCGCAGGTACTGTCCCATGATGCCGTTGTACTTGCACTCTGACCCCAGGTCACAGCAAAGGTCACAGAGGGTGCAGATACTCTGAACCAGGGGAGAGTCAGACACGCCCCAGTCACCCCAGTCGTGTGTACATCCGATGGAGGCGTTGACTGTAACCATGGCAACCATTCTTCATAAAATTTGCATATGTTTTACACTGCAGTGAGCATGTACATGTCCTTGGCTTGGAACAGACAAACCTGCTAGTTTAAACATATTTTTGTTTTGTTTGGTTGTTTGGTGTATCCCAGCTATATGATGGTGGTCTGTAAAATAATCGTGTCAATCCAGACAATCCAGTGATTGACATCATGAGCATTGATCAATTGATCATTGAGCAACTGAGATCGATGACATGCATCAACCAAGTCAGCGAGCCTGACCACCCGATCCCGTTAGTCGCCTCTTACGACAAGCATAGTCGCCTTTTACGGCAAGCATGGGTTGCTGAAGATCTTCACGGATCCTTAAACATATTTAGTTGCAAGAAGTGTTTGTTTGTTGTTTAACGCCACACTCAGCAATATTCCAGCTATATGATGGTGGTCTGTAAGATAATCGAGTCTGGACCAGGCAATCCAGTGACTGACATCATGAGCATTGATCCACACAATTGAGATTGATAACATGCATCAACCAAGTCAGCGAGCCTGACCACCCGATCCTGTTAGTCGCCTCTTACGACAAGCATAGTCACCTCTTACAGCAAGAATGGGTTACGGGAGACTACAAGGAGAGAACGGGATTAGGGAACACCTCCTCCAACTTAGATTGCCCTCTTGCTGGTATTTACAAACTTCAAAATGTAATATATATATACATATGGTCCATACATCACTGTAGGAGAGATGTTTGATTGATGGGGATAGAGAGAGAAGGAGAGAGAGTAAAAATTAAATTTTAAAATTTTATACTACAGATTAACATGGTGTTGTTTGCTGATAAATATAATATGAATATAAACCAATTTAAGATATCTTCTGACTCTAGAATTTTTTTATTTATTTTATCATTCCATCTATTTGTATTTGTATGTTGTAAGACTAGTCCACGTCGGGATAAAGGGGACAGGTAGGGGACCATTAACTTTGTTGTTTTTGACTGTAGTTATTCTGGGAGGATACTTCTTTTACCCAAGCTATAGTTAGGCTTGGTGCTCCGGGGCACCAGGACAACAACCACTACCACTATGTCCTGACCTGGCACATAGTGTTTCATGTATATATGTCGACTTGTATAAAGCAATATTGTATATGTACCACAAGCCAACCGGCTAAGAACTGTACACGAATCCCTTGCCTATATATGCCTTGCCTTGTATATGCACATAATCCCTAATCTCTGTGGTCACCATGTACCGGATATGTGGTCACCATGTACCGGATATGTGGTCACCATGTACCGGATATGTGGTCACCATGTACCGGATATGTGGTCACCATGTACCGGATATGTGGTCACCATGTACGGGATATGTGGTCACCATGTACAGGATATGTGGTCACCGTGTACCAGATTTGTGGTCACCATGTACCGGATATGTGGTCACCATGTACCAGATATGCCCCCTTGGTCACCATGTGCCGGATATGTGGTCACCATATACCAGATATGTGGTCACCATGTACCAGATATGCCCCCGTGGTCACCATGTGCCGGATATGTGGTCACCATATACCAGATATGTGGTCATCATGTACCAGATATGCCCCTGTGGTCACCATGTACCGGATATGCCCCTGTGGTCACCATGTACCGGATATGCCCCTGTGGTTACCATGTACCGGATATGCCCCTGTGGTCACCATGTACCGGATATGCCCCTGTGGTCACCATGTACCGGATATGCCCCTGTGGCTACACACAATGCAGATCCCCTGAATGTAACTGCATCATGATATTTGAAGCATACACCTAAATGTTAAGAGTACAACATTCCATAAATGTCTTGTCAACTTACCAAACCACTTGGGAACTTCTTCTTGGATGATTGGAAGCAGCCCACAGCTGTCAAGATGGCTGTCGATGACGTCTGCTAGGATACAGAACACGTTCCAGGTGTATTCTTCAACATGGTAGCGGGTGTCATCATTGATTGGGCCAACATCAGAGTCTGGCACGAAACACTTGCACTCTATGGTCAGAGCATCAACTGGAACAAGGTAAGGAAAGATGGGCATATACACAAATACTTGGACTCTGGTCAGAGCATCCACTGGAACATGGTAAAGAAAGATGGGCATATACACAAATACTTGGACTCTATGGTCAGAGCATCCACTGGAACAAGGTACAGAAATATGGGCATATACACAAACACTTGGACTCTATGGTCAGAGCATCCACTGGAACAAGGTAAGGAAAGATGGGCATATACACAAATACTTGGACTCTATGGTCTGAGCATCCACTGGAACAAGGTACAGAAATATGGGCATATACACAAATACTTGGACTCTATGGTCAGAGCATCCACTGGAACAAGGTAAGGAAAGATGGGCATATACACAAATACTTGGACTCTATGGTCAGAGCATCCACTGGAACAAGGTAAGGAAGATGGGCATATACACAAACACTTGGACTCTATGGTCAGAGCATCAACTGGAACAAGGTAAGGAAAGATGGGCATATACACAAACACTTGGACTCTATGGTCAGAGCATCAACTGGAACAAGGTAAGGAAATATGGGCATATACACAAATACTTGGACTCTATGGTCAGAGTATCCACTGGAACAAGGTAAAGAAATATGGGCATATATACAAATATTTAACATCAACTTAGGGTAAACACATGAATTCTCCATCTCAGTTCCCCCTGACAGGGTAGGATGCTACTAACCGGCCTTCTCCACGGTGTGCTTCACGATGGTTGTCTGAACAGCTCCACTCTGGAAAACTCCTCCTTCTTTCATCATCAGTTGGAGTCGGGAGAACTGCGAGCACAGCGTCACCAACGCAGTCAGGAGTCCGGTCGGCATCCCCACCTTAAACTTGTACGTCCTCCACATCAACACACTGTCTGCAGGTCTCTTGCCCTTGGCCCAGTAGTCAGACTAGAGAACAGGAATGTTAGGAACACATGGAGGACAATAGGACTTGACCAGTCACTGTATATGTAGGACTAGAGGACAGGAACAATTAAAGAGTATGAAGGACAAGAGGACAAGAACAATTAAAGTTGTTGCTGATATCCAATATGACAAGCTGCTGAACCGGCGTGCCGTGACATGGAGGGAGTGACCCACTTACCATTCTGACATTAGGGTTGACAAGCTGCTGAACCGGCGTGCCGTGACATGGAGGGAGTGACCCACTTACCATTCTGACATTAGGGTTGACAAGATGCTGAATCGGCGTGCTGTGACATGGAGGGAGTGACCCACCTACCATTCTGACATTAGGGTTGACAAGCTGCTGAATTGGCGTGCTGTGACATGGAGGGAGTGACCCACTTACCATTCTGACATTAGGGTTGACAAGATGCTGAATCGGCGTGCTCTGACATGGAGGGAGTGACCCACCTACCATTCTGACATTAGGGTTGACAAGATGCTGAATTGGCGTGCCGTGACATGGAGGGAGTGACCCACTTACCATTCTGACATTAGGGTTGACAAGATGCTGAATCGGTGTGTTGTAGTAGGGTTGAGTGACAGACTGCTGTTTGGCTTTTGCATTGGCAGGATCAGGCTTGCGTGTCCTGGGGAACGGGAGTCTCAGAACCCCCATCTGTATCAGAAGGTGCCTCACCACCTGGACCTGCATGAATAGGACTCAGTAGGAACACAGCCACAACACAGTGGGACATTGCTGTATCACTAAAGAAAAGTGTTGTCAACAAAATCAGTAGAGAACAATATTGTTGTGAAAATTATTAGTGGACATTAGTGGTCACAAAAATCGGTGGAAGAACAACTTAAAGGCATATCTTCTTGAGCTGCTGCTTAATACCTGTTCATTCTTGAAATTCTTCTTTTTGTTGAATGCATCGGCAGCCCAGAAGAGAGTTCCCTCCCCTGTTGTAGTTACGTTCTGGTCAGGTTTGCCTTCCTTGTCAGTCAGGATCTTGTCAAACAGCATCTCAAGGTAACCCATGTCGATGGCATAGATATCGGCATCATACTTGAAATATACAACTCTACCCTGGAAAAAGAAGAGGTGAGGTGAAATTGGGACTTCGTTGTGTTCAAGATGATTGTTTGATAGGCATACATACTCATGAGTGCATTTGCCAAATTGAACACACTATTGCTTGTAACAACTTGAACTCACCATTGCTTGTAACAACTTGAACTCACCACTGCTTGTAACAACTTGAACTCACCATTGCTTGTAACACCTTGAACTTACCATTGCTTGTAACACCTTGAACTCACAATTGCATGTAACACCTTGAACTCACCATTACTTGTAACAACTTGAACTCACCATTGCTTGTAACACCTTGAACTCACCATTGCTTGTAACACCTTGAACTCACCATTGCGTGTAACAGCTTCACTGCTGCAATGTAGACCTCATGACTGCCACCCAAGGCCTTCTTGCCCATCTCTTCAGATTTGCACAATATACTGCAAGACGTCACTTTGGCAGTGATGGTATCCAGGCCCTTCTGGACAAATGTGTGGACGTCGTATTGCAAGGGGTAGTGGTTCCAGTGACTCTCATGGAGGTCGATCAGCTTCTCCACCAGCTGGTCATAGCCCTGGACACAGAATGGAAACATATTATCTACACCATACAAAGTGCAATGCTATAGCTTCTTCACCAGCTGGTCATAGCCCTGGACACAGAATGGAAACATATTATCTACACCATACAAAGTGCAATGCTATAGCTTCTTCACCAGCTGGTCATAGCCCTGGACACAGAATGGAAACATATTATCTACACCATACAAAGTGCAATGCTATAGCTTCTTCACCAGCTGGTCATAGCCCTGGACACAGAATGGAAACATATTATCTACACCATACAAAGTGCAATGCTATAGCTTCTTCACCAGCTGGTCATAGCCCTGGACACAGAATGGAAACATATTATCTACACCATACAAAGTGCAATGCTATAGCTTCTTCACCAGCTGGTCATAGCCCTGGACACAGAATGGAAACATATTATCTACACCATACAAAGTGCAATGCTATAGCTTCTTCACCAGCTGGTCATAGCCCTGGACACAGAATGGAAACATATTATCTACACCATACAAAGTGCAATGCTATAGCTTCTTCACCAGCTGGTCATAGCCCTGGACACAGAATGGAAACATATTATCTACACCATACAAAGTGCAATGCTATAGCTTCTTCACCAGCTGGTCATAGCCCTGGACACAGAATGGAAACATATTATCTTCACCATACAAAGTGCAATGCTATAGCTTCTTCACCAGCTGGTCATAGCCCTGGACACAGAATGGAAACATATTATCTACACCATACAAAGTGCAATGCTATAGCTTCTTCACCAGCTAGTCATAGCCCTGGACACAGAATGGAAACATATTATCTACACCATACAAAGTGCAATGCTGTAGCTTCTTCACCAGCTGGTCATAGCCCTGGACACAGAATGGAAACATATTATCTACACCATACAAAGTGCAATGCTATAGCTTCTCCACCAGCTGGTCATAGCCCTGGAAATATAAAGAAAGAAGCTTTTAGAAATGTTAGCCACAAAATCCAGAGACTCTTAAAGAAACAGGCCAACATTGAGAAGTCATACCACTCAGAACACCATTAAAGCCTCAGGAAAACCACCAACCAGCCAACAACAACTACCCTCAGGAACAGTGTACTACATTCTGTGTAAATGTGGACAAGCTTACGTTGGCAAAACATCAATGCCCCTGCAAATCCGAATTAAAGAACAGTCTCTAAAGTTGACTATAAGTAAGACCATATCCGTGACAAGCAAAGCCACAGCATCCAGTGGGACAAAGTCAAAGCCCTCACCACCAACCTCAAAGACTTCAATCAGAAAACTACAAGAAGCCATCAACATCAAAAGATTCCAACCACCAATCAAGGCTATAACATACCCCCTGTGAGCCATCAACTCATCAAAGACCCCAATCAGTCATAATCCTTTTGTTTATCCTTCTGACTTCACCTGTCAAAACGTTTACCTTATATCACATAGTGGCTTCTCCACTCCAGTGTAACTACATACTCAACTGTATAAATACTGCCTCCTACCTGATATATACTTGTCAACCATACTCTGTACATCACTTGCTTGATAAAGGTGTTAGAACCTACACCGAAACGTCGCTCCTTATTGTAATGAAGAAGTTATACATCCATATATCTTATCCTTATTTACTTGTCCATACTTGACAGGCGCCGCGAGAAACCTAAGATTGTGGGTTCGAATCCCAGTTCACCCCAATTATGTTTCTAGGTTTGTCAGCACCCTTCTCGTGAGATTCACCAAAGTGGTAAAGGTCTGAGACCTGCATCACTTCCGGCTTTCCTCCCACATTAAGCAGGCATGCCATGATTTAACTGGAATACTGTTAAAAGCGGCGTTTAGCCCAACTCACTCATTCCATACTTGACCTTGAGAGATTATCTACCGACACCTACCTCTCCTGACTTGACCATGAGAGATTCTCTACCGACACTTACCTCTCCTGACTTGACCTTGAGAGATTCTCTACCAACACCTACCTCTCCTACCTTGACCTTGTGAGATTTTTTGCCGACTCTTACCTCTCCTGACTTGACATTGACAGACATGAAGTGGATTCTGTCCTTGTGTTGACAGATTCTCTGCAGACACTCCATGTTCCAGCACAGACGACTGTAGTAGTTCTGGCCCTGGAAGTCCAGGGAGGCCAGCTTCCTGGAGCAGGAGATTAATATGTAATACTCTATAATACTCTATACCCCTAACCATACCCTTGTATAGCAGCTGAGAACCACAAGATAGATGAACACGAAAAACATATCAGCCAATGAAAACCTCTGTGCCAGTCGCTTTAGGCCACGCCCCATAATAGTTTTTTGGGGGAAGCCGATAAATGAGAGTGTTATTTCAGCACATTGACTTGGACTATTAAATTCTTTCTACGAATACTATGAATATTTCTCTTTTGGAAGCTGACGAAATGTATCTAGGAAAATTGATGTTCGCAACAAAATCGCAATATTTTTTTTTCAATTCTCTTGCCCCTTAAGACCCTGTTGTTGATGATGTAGGCTCTATTCACAGATAAGAACTTAGGCTATTAGTAATAAACATGTGTGTCAAATAGTTGACATGAATGTTGTTACTAGGTAAACATGTGAGTCAAATAGTTGACATGAATGTTGTTACTAGGTAAACATGTGAGTCAAATAGTTGACATGAATGTTGCAACTAGATAAAAATGTGAGTCAAATATTTGACATGAATGTTGTTATTAGGTTATTTGTTCTCACCTTTCAAGCTTCTGTAGTTCAACCTTCAAGTCGGACATCAAGGTCAAGTCTTTGTCAAGGTCGAGCTGGCTTTTGATCTGTTTTATTTTGTCCTTCTCGTCTGCAGCCCCCGTGCCAACAGATACCACCACGAACTGACATCCTTCAGACATATTGTCTGTCTTCTCTTCCTCCACCTGTGGGTTCATACAGATCTATTACAGTAGTCATTGTATTCACACCTCACTGAGCCATATTGCATTTGGCGGCCTTATTGGATTTTTTGGGGTGGCCCCATATCTGAAAATATTTGGAATGCCATTACCTACAATTGTGCCAAGTGTCATGCTTTCATCACAAAGTGCAATTTTTTTATGAAAAAGCTCCACTAATAATAGTCCGGGGTCACCAAAACTGATCACCAGATTCAGTTAAGTGGCCTCTCATGACAAGCAACAGAGTGCTGGGGATCTGTTCTTTCACAAATCCTGATGAGAGCAACTTGCATGTGATGTGATTGCTGTATTCATAGTGTAGCTGACACAACATACGCTGTGACACAAGTAGAAGACTGTTTTCTGATGATGATGATGATGATGATGATGATGGTGATGATGATGATGATGATGACAATATCCCAATTTGGTATCCAAGCAACATGCATGTCATTTGATATAATTGATGTTAATTACTGTAAATCTTTAAATTAATAGTCTCCAAATTAATATGACAGCTGACCACTAGCCAAAAATGTGACTCCCCCCACCCAACCCCACCCCGAGTACATATCCTTTAACCTTAAAAAAGCACAGTTTATATGTTTACTCTGTTGACTGGCATTAAGGAAGTTCAAAGGCAATAGAATAATTGAACCAACAACAGTTCACTGATTAGACTGGTCAATGATAGCTAGTTTGACACGAGTGGGTAGAACTCTTGACCTCAGCAGTGATAACTCACCGGATGCCTATTGTGTAATTCATATTCTTTAAATGACATTGTTATGTACTTGTTACAACTGCTGATCAATAAACTGTGTTTGTGTAAATATTCAAGTTGGTATTTCCGCTACCCAAAGTGTGCAGTGAGGCCGTCTTATTGTTAATAGTCATTTTGGAGACATACATGCGAAGTTTCCTTAATGCGAACAAAGACCACTCGCATTTTTCGGATTTAATTCACGCTGGTGTTGATTTCAAGGTTTATAGTATTAAAGTGATGCTAAATGCTCAAAACCTCCCTCCATCCCTTTCTTATTCACTCATGGAGCATTTTATAACAACATCATGAAAGCTATTTTTGGTGTTGAACCATGTATCTGCATAGTCAACCTAAACGTGCCCTGTTTAGTTTATCTTCCTGAGGCAAGTGAGTTTACTGACTATAATAGTCTAGTTTCCACGCTTGCTAACAAGGCTGGTATTATGGAGTTACATTTTGGCTGGACTACCGATTGTGCATAGTCCAATCAAAATCGCGCAATGAAATCACAATCCGGTTCGTAAACTGTCATGCAGATTTCAGTCGATTGCAGGATTTGCCAAGCATTTGCCAACTCATTGTCAACAGATATTTTCTTTATCTTTTCGTGGTAAATATTGAGTAAAGCTTTATTTAGGTTTAACTCAGTAAGCACAATGCAGGCGATCCGCAACTCAGGTCACGATCTGCATGTGCTTCTGGTACCGCAGTTTTCTCATTTTATCACAATATAGATCTTGATTATCGTCTTGTCTATGCGCCGCCATTTTGTTTGAAGCAAATGCAACTAATAGGAGAGGTGGAACCTGATTGGTCCTTAGGAGAGGCATAGAAGGGACATAACTCGTATTAGCCACTGGTGGCGCTACGATCGAGCCCAGAAATACAGTCTAGCTCGGCAAGTGTGGAAACTGGACTTTTAAAGTCGGTTAACTCTCTTGCCTCGGGAGGATGTGTTTAGTTTAGATGTGGTATAAATTATGAATAGAATCTGGCAGGTAGATGGGAGAAGCTAGAAAAGAGAGTATTTGATTGGCATTCTAGAAATTGGTGAGTAAAAAATAAAACATACAACTTGTATAAGACGTCTGGGTTATTACATTTCGCAATGTTTTGATATAGATTCCTACACTGTTATCAAGCTAGAGTGACTGCAGCCAAGTAATGAGAGGTATATATACATGATAGGTTGTGATAAACAGCAGATTAACATCAACAAGAAAAGCTGAAGGAATTTCTTTAAGATTCATTTAATACTATGGGACCGCCTCTGTGGTCTAGTAGTAGAGTGTCCGCCCGGAGAGCGAAAGGTTCAGGATTCAATACCTGGCCGCGTCATACCAAAAGAGGTTAAAAGATGGTACTTGTTGTTACCCTGTCTGTCGCTCGGCATTAAGGGGCTAAAACAAGGACTGGTTGGCTCGGGAGTCAGTATACTGTGTCTGAGTCAGGTATTCATGTTAAACTGTGGCATGGTATCTAAGTGAGCTAGCACTATAAACATGTATCGGCATCAGTCCAGACTAGTACAAGCAGCCACACACACACACACACACACACACACACAGACACAGACACAGACACACAGACACAGACACACAGACACAGACACAGACACACACACACACACACACACACACACACACACACACACACAGAGACACAGACACACACACACACACACAGACACAGAGAGAGACACAGACACAGACACACACACACACACACACACACACATGCGTCAGGGGGTATCTAAAAGGTGAATACATGTCACTTTTTATGGACAGCAACTTCTTTTATTCTTTGTCACGTTTCAGAGCTGTTTCTTGTTCCTTCATCAGGTGAATACTTAATATCTTTGGCAAACTTTTCTCAATGACGAAGGAGATTATGTTGAAACAAATATCATTTTAATGTCTTTAGGTCAAGTGTTCCTATCTCATGCTCAGAGCCCCACATATGTAAGAGATAAAGTCTTCTTTATAATATGTATTGTCACTCTGACTCCTTGATGTGTAGTGTGAGTGAGTTTGGTGAACACCGCTTTAAATAATATTCCAGTTGTCAGGGTGTGTTAGCTTAATATGGGAGGAAAACCCCAAGTGATGCAGGGTTCTGGCACCAAACTTGCCTGGGCCACCTATGCCCCCACTTCTTGCATAACCTGGACCCATGGCCTATATATAGCTACTTCTGAATAAACAATTGAGGTAAAACAAGAAAGAGTACTGAGATGGAACCTGTACCTACCTTTTTTTTAACCTGTGTCGATTCATCCTGTAAGAAAAATATAAAACCTTAGGTCATTGAGCTTACTTTTGTCTGAGACAGATGAGATGTCTCTATATCAATAGGCTCTATACACATTTAAATATATAATAAACATTAAATAAGCAAGACTTGATTCCATTTAGATAAACGCACTGGAAACATTTTGGGCATGAGTACTCCGTATGGCAGGGAGCCACGCAGGTCCTTCAACTCACATGGATCTACTCTGGCTAGTCATATGGATCTACTCTGACTAGTCATATGGATCTACTGTGACTAGTCATATGGATCTACTCTGACTAGTCATATGGATCTACTCTGACTAGTCATATGGATCTACTGTGACTAGTCATATGGATCTACTGTGACTAGTCATATGGATCTACTGTGACTAGTCATATGGATCTACTGTGACTAGTCATATGGATCTACTCTGACTAGTCATATGGATCTACTCCGGCTATTCACATGGATCTACTCCAGCTATTCACATGGATCTACTCCAGCTACTCACATGGATCTACTCCAGCTACTCATACTCACATGGATCTACTCTGACTAGTCATATTGATCTACTCCGGCTACTCACATGGATCTACTCCAGCTATTCACATGGATCTACTCTGACTAGTCATATGGATCTACTCTGACTAGTCATATGGATCTACTGTGACTAGTCATATGGATCTACTCTGACTAGTCATATGGATCTACTCCGGCTATTCACATGGATCTACTCCAGCTATTCACATGGATCTACTCCAGCTATTCACATGGATCTACTCCGGCTACTCATACTCACATGGATCTACTCTGTCTAGTCATATTGATCTACTCCGGCTACTCACATGGATCTACTCCAGCTATTCACATGGATCTACTCTGACTAGTCATATGGATCTACTCTGACTAGTCATATGGATCTACTCCGGCTATTCACATGGATCTACTCCGGCTACTCATACTCACAGGGATCTACTCCAGCTACTCACATGGATCTACTCCAGCTACTCACATGGATCTACTCCAGCTATTCACATGGATCTACTCCGGCTACTCATACTCAAAGGGATCTACTCCAGCTACTCACATGGATCTACTCCAGCTACTCACATGGATCTACTCCAGCTTTTCACATGGATCTACTCCGGCTACTCATACTCACAAGGATCTACTCCAGCTACTCATACTCACAAGGATCTACTCCGGCTACTCATACTCACAAGGATCTACTCCGGCTACTCATACTCACATGGATCTACTCCGGCTACTCATACTCACAAGGATCTACTCCAGCTACTCATACTCACATGGATCTACTCCAGCTACTCATACTCACATGGATCTACTCCGGCTACTCACATGGATCTACTCCAGCTACTCACATGGATCTACTCCGGCTACTCATACTCACAGGGATCTACTCCGGCTACTCACATGGATCTACTCCGGCTACTCATACTCACAGGGATCTACTCCGGCTACTCACATGGATCTACTCCGGCTACTCATACTCACAAGGATCTACTCTAGCTACTCATACTCACAGGGATCTACTCCGGCTACTCACATGGATCTACTCCAGCTACTCACATGGATCTACTCCGGCTACTCATACTCACAGGGATCTACTCCAGCTACTCACTTGGATCTACTCCGGCTACTCACTTGGATCTACTCCAGCTACTCACTTAAGTCTACTCCGTATTGACAGGGAACCATGGAGGTCCAGTTACTCACATGGATCTACTCCATATTGTTTGTTTGCTGTTTAACGCCACACTCAGCAATATTCCAGCTATATGATGGCGGTCTGTAAATAATCAAGTGTGGACGAGACAATCCAGTGATTGATATCAAGAGTATCAATCCACGCAATTGGGATAGGATGACATGCATCAACCAAGTCAGCAAGCCTGACCGCCCGATCCCTTAAGTAGCCTCTTATAACAAGCATAGTCGCCTTTTACTTTCAGACCTATTTATTCCAGATCTCCAGGGGTCTACTCCGTATTGACAGGGAACCATGGAGGTCCAGTTACTCACATGGATCTACTCCATATTGTTTGTTTGCTGTTTAACGCCACACTCAGCAATATTCCAGCTATATGATGGCGGTCTGTAAATAATCAAGTGTGGACGAGACAATCCAGTGATTGATATCAAGAGTATCAATCCACGCAATTGGGATAGGATGACATGCATCAACCAAGTCAGCAAGCCTGACCGCCCGATCCCTTAAGTAGCCTCTTATAACAAGCATAGTCGCCTTTTACTTTCAGACCTATTTATTCCAGATCTCCAGGGGTCTACTCCATATTGACAGAAAATAAGGAAAGTCGTGTGACTTACATGAGTCTTTTCTCCAGGGGGGAAGCAGCCAGGGTAGAAGCTGATGAGTCGAACTTTACATTCAACATGGGATAAAGAGACACATGGAAATAAAGTATCCCCCAGGAAGTTGAACCGGGTCTGGTGGACCTGAAGGAGAAGAAGGACAAGCCATCACTTACAGACACGCAGACACATGGCAACATAGTGTTTGATATGAAAGGACATGGGTCATGTGTACACAGGGCAACACAGTATAGCGTATATTAACACAGGGCAACACAGTATAGCGCATATTAACACAGGGCAACACAGTATAGCGTATATTAACACAGGGCAACACAGTATAGCATATATTAACACAGGGCAAAACAGTATAGCGTATATTAACACAGGGCAACACAGTATAGCGTATATTAACACAGGGCAACACAGTATAGCGTATATTAACACAGGGCAACACAGTATAGCGTATATTAACACAGGGCAACACAGTATAGCGTACACAGGGCAACACAGTATAGCGTACACAGGGCAACACAGTATAGCGTATATTAACACAGAGCAACACAGTATAGCGTACACAGGGCAACACAGTATAGCATATATTAACACAGGGCAACACAGTATAGCGTACACAGGGCAACACAGTATAGCGTATATTAACACAGGGCAACACAGTATAGCGTATATCAACACAGGGCAACACAGTATAGTGTATATTAACACAGGGCAACACAGTATAGCGTATATTAACACAGGGCAACACAGTATAGCGTATATTAACACAGGGCAACACAGTATAGCGTATATTAACACAGGGCAACACAGTATAGCGTATATTAACATAGGGCAACACATGCCCCAGGAAGTTTGATGTGAAAGGACATTGGACCTGAATCTACAGCATGTTGCTGACCTTGACTCCATTCTTGGTGAAGTACACATCTAATATCTGATGACTCTTCAGCGTTTTGTCAGTTCTGAACTTGGCAGTCTCCACGTTGATGCCACAGCCAATCACATCCCCTGTCTCAAACTTGAAGCTTTGATGTTCAGTGGTGTATATCCCAGGTAGCCCATTGATGTGGACCCTGCAGACAGAGGTCACATGTCACACACAGGTCACATCTCAAGTCACACATGTCACAGGTCTAAAGTCACAAGTCACATGGCATGTCACATGACACAGGTCTCAAGTTACAGGTCATGTCACACATGTCACTTGTCTCAAGTCACAGGTCACATGACATATCACACAGGTCACAGGTCACATGTCATATCACACATGTCACAGGTCTCAAGTCACAGGTAACATGACATGTCACACGTCAAAGGTCTCAAGTCACATGTTATGTCACACACATCACAGGTCTTAAGTCACAGGTCACAGGTCATATCACACAGGTCACATGTCACAGGTCTCAAGTCACAGGGCACATGTCATATCACATAGGTCACAGGTCTCAAGTCACAGGTCACAGGTCACATGTCATATCACACAGGTCACAGGTCAAAGTCAAAGTCAAAGAAGTTTATTGTACAAAAGGCCACCGGCCCATATACAAGAAAGAGTTATGCATGTAGATACAATTATATTTGTTACACATTGGGATATACACGTTGTTTGATTAATTCATTTCTTTTGGCTAATGCATGCTTAATATAAAGAGAAAGATTTAATATATTTGATCCGTTCTTTGTCGTCAGCATAACTACAAAGGCGTTTATCAGTGAAATTGCTATTAAATAATCTTTTATATATTTCTTTCGGAGATCATTGTAAATTGGACAGACAAACACAAAATGAATTTCATTTTCTATCTCTAGCTTACACAATGGACAAATTCTTTTCATTATTTCAATGGACAGTTTTCTTCCTTCATTTACAAATCGGTCTAGCAAACCAAGTCGATATTTAATTAACTGTTTTCGTAAGTTTTCCGTAGTGAGTACTGATAAATATATTTCTGGTTGAAGTAAAGTCTTGAAAGTTTTGTAATATTCATAACGTGAACTATCCTCTAAAGTGGAGTGCCATTCTTGGTAGAACATATTTATAGACCGATTCTGAAATTCATTAAGAAACATATTTACATTTCCAACTGACTGACATAGCCATATAAAACCAAAACCATGCGAAAATAAAAGATTTCTTATATGCGATGTCCAAGTATTCTTTCCCATGTTATCTAAATGTAGAAGCATGTTATATGCTAATTTGGCAAGACGTTATTCATGCATATGAAGAATTTTAAACCAGTATTTTAAACATCTGATCTGAGAATTAATATATAATGGGTATCTACCACATTCACCATAAACCATGCAATTTGGTGTAGAAGATCCGACACAAAGAAACTTTTTACATGCTAAAAAATGAACCTTCTCTAAACAGTCATAACGTTGAAATCCCCATACTTCAGAACCATACAATAAAATTGGTTGTATCTGGGTATCAAAAAGCTTAAAGAAGATATTAGGTGACATCGATCCCACTTTATGAGAAATAGACATTACACTTATTAAAGCTTTCTTTGCACGCAAGGACAAGTCAAGGGCACATTTTTTCCAATTCATTGTGTGTGAGAACCAGATTCCTAAATATGAGTAGTGATCTACTATATTGACTAACTGACCATGGAATGACCATCTCTCTTTCGATGCTATTGGACCACCTTTTCTGAAGATCACAATTTTAGTTTTTTCCAAGTTTACTGATAATTTCCATTCTTTGGTGTATGTACTTAAAATATTTAATTGCCTTTGAAGACCAACAACAGTATCTGACACTAGAATGACATCATCTGCAAAAAGTAGCATTCATATTTCTATCCAATCTGGGAACATTTGGATACCATGTTTACCACTGGCAGCTATTTCGTAATATAATTCATTAATGAAAAATGAAAATAAGATCGGACTCAAAATACAGCCTTGTCTTAGGCCCAAAGGACAATCAAAGAAATCTGTTAAACTATCCCCACAACGAACACATGATCTCACATTAGAATACATTGATTTTAGAATAGTAAACATTTTCCCACGTAAACCAGCTTTTTGTAGACATGTCCATAGCTTAAAGCGATTGACAGAATCAAAAGCCTTTTTAAAATCTACAAATGCTACATACAGTTTATGCTTACGCCATGACAAGGTTTTTTGAATAAGTGCATAAAGTGTAAATACATGATCTACGGTCGAATAACTTTTTCTAAAGCCAGCTTGAAAATCAGGAATCTTATCACGCATGGTCGCCCATTTCGAAATTCTATTGTTTAATATTGTAGTAAATACTTTTCCTAAAATGCTCATTAATGAAATACCTCTATAGTTATTTGGGTCACTCCTGTCTCCTTTTTTATGCAGGGGGATTATTATAGAACATGACCAATTGCTTGGGAAAACTCCATTTTCAAATAGCTTATTAAAACATTTGCAAAGAAAAGGCATAACTTCAAACTTAGAACACTTCAACATTTCGATAACTACATCATCATGCTTTTCCCTTCTTGAGGTGATTTATCGCATCTAATATTTCGTTTTCAACATTGGATGAATCTAGCAGAACTTCATCAACATCCGTGTAGCATTCACTAAAATAATTTTGCTTATCATCAGTTGCCATAATGAATATTGCATCATTTGAAAAAACCTTCTTAAAATGACTAAGCTACTGAGACTTTGTTATGTCATCTGTAGCAGAAGATCTATTCTTAAGAGATCGTACTTGTTTCCAGAACGCAGAAGGGTTGTTAATAGACTTTTTCAGTTTGTCTTGTCTATGTCTACGCATATCGAATTTGTATTTCCGACAGCAACCTTTATATTTATTCCTACTTTCGCAATATTTTTTTCTGTCAAGACTAGTACGGGTTGTTCTAAATCTTCGCAGCGCTTTGCGGGCGTTACGCCTTGCAATTCTACATCCAGTATTAAAAGTTTTAGTTTTATCCATGTTCAGTTATAATTCTTTTCTCTTACAAGCTGCTGAAGTTAGCATAATTTCAACAAAGTCATCAATTGCCCCCTCAATATTGTTATCAAGTTTATCTAGAAGTAACTGTTTAAAATATGTTATACTTTATTGTAGTTTGCTTAGAAAGTTGTTCGAAAGTTCGTCATTCCATATTAGTTTCTTCTTAGTGACACCCTCATATTTTAATTTGGTATGTATTTGATTCATATGAGGGAACTTACAGGTCAATTCCAAAGGTAAATGATCAGATTCTAGACGATCGCCAATATTCAACATCTTAATATAATCGAAAAAATCGGGGGAACATATAAAGAATCATTAACGCTCGCACCTTGGTTTCCACAATAGGTAAATTCTCCAAGGGTATCCCCATACACTCTCCCATTGACAATGAACAACTGAAATGTATACAACATATCTAGCAGTATCTGACCAAATTTATTAATAACGGTGTCATGGGATTTCCGATCTCCAACACATACGTTTTCATCTTCTGGGAATGAACAGTTACTATGAACAAAATCGTTTTGTATATCGACTAGAGGATTGTTTTGTTGACGAGTATGAGCATTCATATCTCCACAGACTACACTGATTGAATCTTTGAGCTGCGACTGATTATCTAACATAAACTCTTCAAGATGATCAAAACTACAATTTGAGACCACATGGTTATAATACGGCGAACCAGCTGGTGGTATGTATGTACATAGCAAGTTTACGTTCTTGTCAATTGTAAGTAACACTTTTGATATGTTCAAGCACAGGAGATTATCTACATCTGATTTAATTAGCTTACAAAATTTACTGACGGATTGATGGACACATACACAAATACCACCTGACAGCCTTCCGTAGTCAGATAACTTTATTGCTGGACTATAATAGATATCATAACCAACTAACCAGTTATTATCAAAACTCCATTTGACAAAAGTTTCCACAAGACATGCTATTTTAAATTGTTGTAAGTATGATATAAAATCAGCATCATCAATTTTGTTTCGAAGTCCATTAATATTCCAACTTAGAAAGGTGAATGTTTTGCTTGGACAATCAGCGTTTAACGGAACACCGGTGTTGATAGTGTTAGGATCTTGTGAAAAACTATCCGGGCCTCGGCCGATATCCTAGCTGATAGAAGCATGTGACACTGTTGTTCCATCCGGTCTTCTATGAAAAGATCGGCTTTCTCGTGTCGTGTTTGAAGTGCTAAACGTTGTTGATGTTGTTTCCATGGTGCGGGGTTTTGTTACCGAACGACCGTCTTTGAAATACCCGAAAGTGTTGGTTCCCTTAAGTGCCTGAGGCTGTTGACGTTGATGTGACGTTAAGTCACTAGAAATTCCGAGTCCCCCTTCCTTGAATGTGGGTCTCGCTTTCAATGTACGAACTTTGTCGTCAGACGAATGTAGCTTAGCAATCATTGGGCGAGGGCGATTTGCATTTACATTTAACGCCAAGTCTGTGCGCATGTATTATGTCCAATGGTTGCCACGTTTTGAATTTAGCATGTTCATTGAGGACAGATAACACAGTATCTTTACATGCCATTGACATGACATCGCCTGCAGCTTCCGGTATTCCGTGGATGATGATATTATCACGTCTGCTATAGGACTCAAGTCTATCTAGTTTGTTATCAATTTTTGACATCTGATCAAACACAGTATCCACCTTGCCTGAAAGTGCATCAATGTCATCATACATTATATCATGGTTCTGTTTCATAGTGTTTAGATCACGATGTAATTCTGTAACAGATTCCTCCAATTTTTCACATTTAAAAATGATAGTGTGGATGTCGTTCTTTAGTTCTAAAATTTGTGTGCTTAAATCTGCTTTGACGTTTTGTATCTCCAATTTCATGCTCCCTTTTTCTGCCAGTATTTTCTCCTGTACTTCTTGGAGAGTTATTTGGCCTGGATTTGTCTCTATATCGTTAGAGCACAGTAGGAGCTGTGTTATGACTCCCACGGGAATCGCGTCACCCCCAAGGAAACACTTTTCACGTGCAGGTGAGGCAAGATTCGGTGACAAAACTAGGTCACAACTCGGGTTGGTGACGTCACTGATCAGTAATGGGGACAACGAAAGGTGCGCAGTCAGCAGCAA